GCAATAATAATGTTTATGTTGAATATGAATGGAAAAAAAATAACAAACAGAAAAAAAAATTGTCAGGCGTCAAATCAGAGAAAAAAAATTTTTTCATTCTCATTTTGTCACAATGATGATGATCTGGATGTAATAAACATTTTTATATCCACGCATTTCAAACGCCAGAACCATTTGAAGAAACAAAAAATGTTTATAGCCTAGATCTCTGGTGATTCATAGAGTTTTTTTGGTGGAAAAAAAATCATCAATATGCAGATGAATCATACTTTTAATGCAAGGTTCTTGACCAAACAAACAAAATTTTGATTTTGGTTCTCTCTATTTCTTTTTTTTTGGGGGTGGGGAAGGGGAATTTAAGCTAGTTATTTGCATGGACAAATCAACAGTTTGTCATTTCATTTTAATTCCAATTTTTTTTCTCTGGTTTTTGTCTGTGTCTGTGTGTGTATGAGTGTGTGCAAATGCACGTATGCATGCATGTATGTATGTATGTTTTTGCTGAGTAAACAAAACAAAAAATAATAAAATAAAAACGACATCAGTCATCATCATCATCATCATCATCATCAACAACAACAATATATTGATACATTATTTAGAAGCAGAAAAAAAAGGAAGAAAGGAAAAAAGGAAAAAAAAATTTTGGCACACCATCCAACTTATCGTCATAACAACAATCGTCAACATTCATCTATCGACTATGATGACGATGACGACGATGATATTGAGATATTAATAAAAAGAAAAAAATTTTTTTCATGATATTCCATCAAGTGATCGCGATTGGTTAGTAGATTTGATGATGATGATGATGATGATTGAGCCCCCTGTATGTGTTTTTTTTACCTGTCTTTTTGTCTGTCCATCACCATCGCCACCACTATGGCGTATTTGATTTATATTTATCACAAAAAAACAACAACAAAATGTTGAGAGATTATAAAACAATATATCGCGCCAATTTCAGTGATAAATAAAAATAAAAATAAAAAATGATGGAAAAAAATTCTTAAAAATCAACCCCAACTAGACCAGAACATAATTTCCATAATTTTTTTTTCAAATCATCATCTCTTTTTTTTCTCACAATCGATCATCATCATCATCATCATTTATTATATGTTTGTTTGTTTGTGATGAACGTATCTCAAAAAAAAAAAAAATCGATATCTTATCTTTATTCAAACTACCACTATTCTATTACTGCCACTTTATTTATCAAATCAATTGATAAAAAAAATTTTTGTTGTGCATAACAAATTTTTTTTTGTTTTGTTTATCTGTATATAATATCATCATCAAAAAAAAACAATCCATTTTTTTATCAATAAATCTCATCTATAGTTCCTCATGATTGATTGATCATTGGAAATCAAAAAAAAAAAAAAAAAAGAACAATCTCCAGTAGGCTAATAATCAATCCACATCAACAACCAACAACTGGCTCATCATCATTATCAGTCACAAGTGGTAAGAGCGTTATATTTGCTAATAATATATAGAAAAGGGAATTACAGCAGACAAACGATTTTGATTATCAAAAAAAATTTTTTTTATTCTTTTTTTTTGATATAAATCTATACACTTGATGAAAAATAAAACGCCTCAGTGCAATGCATTTGATACATATCATCATGACGATGATGATGATGATGATTATCATCAACAACAACCAATTTTATGATGTGATAATTTTACTTTTCATCAATTTTATCGCTCATAATCATTCATTCATTCATTCACGTTCATTAATGTACCACATGTATATAGGATAGAAAATAAATAGACAGTTATCAATCAATCATAATATAAATCACAAAGTTAAGAAAATCAACAGAACAAAACAAAACAAAACAAAAAAAAAATCGAGTGGGGGCTGGTTAAAAAAAAAAAATAAATAATAAAGGGGCAAACAAAGTTCTGGTCATCAATGATGATGATGGACCTAAAAAACCAGAAAATTAAAATTAAGAAAAAAAATACAACCATCAGGTCTATTTATTCACACCACAAACACTCATATATTACATTGAGAGATAGCCTAAAACACTGAACCAATGTGTGTGTGTGTGATCAATGATATGATTATTGTCACTCATCGTCATATCATTATCATCATCATCATCAAAAATCAAAAATCGATCGATGTAGACTTTTTTTTTGTTACTGTTTTGTGTGTGTGTATTGTTTGTGTGTTTATAACTGTACATTTGATGTGTTCACAAGTGTGTGTGTGTGTTTTGGCCACCACCACCACCATGGTGCAACAACAACAAAGACGACATCTTTATTCGTTAAAAAAAATGCTTTTTTTTCCCATTACAACATAAATCTTACCATCATCGTTTTTTTTTAATTTCATTTTTTTTCACGCATTTTTCACGCACACACACACACACACATACATTTTTTTTTGACATGATGATGTTGTTGTTGCTGCTGCTGCTGCTGCTGTTAATATCGACAAATAAAAACGTTTGAAATTCATCATATTTCGGTCTCATTTTTCAAATATTCGATTATGGTGATGAACACACATAAAGAAAATATAAATATATCAGCTATTTGATCGATCAGTTGATCATCATCAACGACATTATCCATAATCAATGAAAAGAAAATTTCGATATTTACATCATCATCATCATCAATTGACAAAAATTTAATCATTTTTTTATCTTTTATTTGTTTTGTTTTGTTTTTTTGTTGTTGTTAATGTTGTAGAATTTGATTAAAAATTGATAATTGCTATCAATCAATCAGTTATAGCCATGAACAAATGAATAATAAATAATTCTGCATATACAGAATCAATAAATCATCAGAATTTTGTTATCGACTACTATTTTTTTTTTTTTTTTTGTTTTCATTCATCTATTTTTTAATTTTATTCATCAATCAAATTTGCTTTTATAACAAAAAAAAAAACAAGAATTATCAAGCAAACAAAAGAAGATCTAAATCATCATCATCATCATCCACAACAACAATCATATCAGCAATTTGATATAGACAGCAGCATCAGCAGCAGCAGATGCCGCTACATGAAACCGTTATCTGTGTATAGTGAGTTTATGTTTAGCGAAGGATATAGAAAGAAAATAAAACCTCGTGCTGCGTTTTCACTGCTAATATAATATATACACAATTTTTTATTATAAATCCACACAATACACATATATATCCAAACAATGTCCAAATCTATTTGATGATAATGATGATGATGATGATGATAGTTTTGTCTGAGTGTATAATGTGTATGTTTGTATGATTATCATCATCATCAAAAATAAATATATAGTGTATATACCAGAGAATCATCATCAACCAGAATTTTTTTTTTTTTTTTTTTTTTTGATAAAAAGTATCGAGTATTTCATTTTTAATGATAAACCAAAGTAGATAGCTGGAAAATGAAGATTTAAAAATAAACTCAAATCAATCAATCAATTGATCAATTCCATTTCATCATCATCATCGTCATCATCATTGGTATATATAGAGATTAGACAACAACAGCAGCAGCAACAACAACAACAATAAAATTGTTTCCATCGACAATCGAATGATGATCATGATCATTATTAGAAAGTAGAAACAAAACAAAACAAAATTTTTTTTTGTGAAATAAATCCCAAATTTTTTTTTTTACATTATCAATCTATCTATCTATCTAGTTTATTCATCCGATATCATCATCATTTTATATTTATATATATTCATTGATTGATTGATTATAAACAAACAAACAAACAAAAATCAATCTTTTGTGTGTGTGTGTGTATTCAATAATCAATCAATCAATCATCATCATAATCATCAAATATAATTGTGTTTGTTGTTATATCTGGATTCCACATATCAATAAAATTATCGCCATCAGTTAGTTTCTGGACCTAATCTTTTATTATTATTTTTTTTTGACAAGATATCAAATTTTTTTTGGCCAAAACGAGATAGTGATCGAGTGTGTGTGACATTCTGTTTTTTTTTCTTTCATCATCATATCTATGTTTGAAGAAAAAAAAATTGTCTTTTTAAAGGTAGATAATTTTTTTTTCTAATACAAAAGTTATCGATATCTTGTGTTTTACATGTGTTAAACGGGTTGAAGTGAATATATTCTGATTTAATAAATTAATTATTCTGTTTTGTTTTGTTTTTTTGATTTTTATGTAGTAAAAAATAAAAATGCAAAGAATTAAAATGGAACATCAACAATCGAATGAACGAAATGAAACAACAACATCATTATCATCATCATCATCATCTTCATCGGTAATAATGAATAAAACGGCGACGATGATGACAAATGATGATGAAAATAATAAATCCGATATAATTAAAAAAAATGTTAATGATGGTGATCATGATGAACAATTAATGGGGAATGAAACAATAACAACAACAACAACAAATACAACAAAGACGACGTCAATGATCAAACGTGAAACGCCATCATCACCGGATGAAATTCACACTAAACGGATTAAAATGGAATTGAATGAAGATAATGGTGATGGTGATAATGGCGATGGTGGTGGTGATGGATCACCACATCATCCACATGTTATTACTGAGGCACCATCATCATCGTCATCATCAACACGTGTTGATATCAATGAACATCAATCATTGGAAAAATCGGCCATTATCGTTACACAACAACCGACAACAACAATGGATGTAAATGAACATAATGGATCTAACTCATCATCCATGTTGATGACTATAAAAACATCACCAGGATCATCACCAAATCCTAATAATAATGGTTCATCACCAACATCGAATCAAGCTAACGTAACGATTCATGAATTATCACAAGCACAAATTGTTCAAATTAATCAAACATCATCACATGAACAACAGCAACAACAACAACATTTAGTTTGGTCACAAAATCATCGAAATCAAAGAAATCAATTTGATACGGATGATGATGTGGTGGTTACTCACCATCAACAACATCAACATCAACACCATCATCATCATAATCATAATAATAATGATAATGATAATCCATTACAGCAGCAGCAGCATCAACAACAACAAACAAATGGAAATTTTTATACACAAAATTTACAACATCACCATGGTATCACCTCTAGGTAAGTAAAAAATTTTATTTAAAAAGTTCAAGATCAATCTTGATATCAACATAGTAAGCATTAGATTGATTTTTCATTTATCATCCTGCTAGAAGCGGCAATAATGATCCACAACAACAACAACAATCTACATCAACATCAACATCAACATCATCATCGTCGTCGTCGTCGTCGTCGTCGACATCATCATCTGGACAACCGCAGGCTCAACAACAAGGTCAACATCATTTTCATGGAAACGATAGTGGTGGTCACCATCATCATATAGTGTTGGATCATGGATCCACAACCTCATCATCGACAACGGCAACTTCATCATCGACTACTAATTCGATTACAAATATTCATCATCATGGATCATCACCATTCCATCAACAACAACAGAATTCATCAACAATGTTAACCGATGGTCATCGTGGTCAGGTACAAGTTGTTGTTAGTGGCAATAATGTAACCACAGCTACTATTACTAATGATGGTGATGGTGGCAATGAATCATCTGGATTAGAAACCGGAACAAATCAATGTTCAAGTCCAAAAGATTCGAATAATAATAGTGCACGAACGAATACGAATAATAATGGTAAAGATAATTTATCAATAGCCGTAGCTGTGGCAACTGGAGGTCAACAGCAGCAATACTCTTCAACTAATGGTAATAATCATCATCATCAACAACAACAACAACATCATCATCAACCTCAGCAGCAACATCAACAGACATCATATGATTTATTTTATGCTGATAATGGTAATGCTGGTGGTAATCATCATCATTTAGTAACCGTATCGACTACTGGTCAATTAATTAATGGTCATGGTACACCTGTGGTTCAATATGCTGCCGCACCACAATCTCATCCTCATCATCATCACGGTCATCATGGTCATCATCATCATGTAAGAATTTTTTTTTGTTTTTTAAATTTAGAATCAAATTAACACTGGAAAAATTTGTATTTAAATAGATTCAATCACTAAATCAACAACAACAACAACAACAACAGCAACAACAAGGACAGAATGGTTCGACTGGTGGTGGCCATGAAAGTCCACAAATGTGGTCTCATGATAATGTTGCTGCAGCATCATCTGCATATATGACCGGTGGTAATATATCACCATCGAATTTACAATTTGCAGATCCGGCCAATCCTATGGAATCGGCATCGATTACGAATCAGAATCGTTTAATCAATAATATAATAACATACAATGGAAATTGTAATGGAACAACTGCCACTACAGTAGCTATGGCCAATGGTTGGAATTCGTTTCCATTATTTGAACAGACCGGTTATACACCGGCCGCTGTTAGTGTAATGACTGGCCAATCATCGACCGGTGTTGTCCATACTAATGGTGGTGTTGAATTGGCTGGTTTACGTGTGGCTAATCCTGCTATCGGACAGATTACTCATTATGGAATCGTAGGAACAGCAGCTGCAACCAATATTCATGGAACAAATAATGGAAAAGGTTTAATGCCTGGAACTGGTACTGCGACATATTCATTATCACATGAAACCGGTGCCGGCAATGATGGTGGTGCTTATCTTGATTTATCACGTGAATGTATCAATTGTTCAACGGCTACAACACCATTATGGCGTCGTGATAATTCAGGAAATTATCTTTGCAATGCTTGTGGTATATTCAATCGTTCCAATGGCATACAAAGACCATCGAATCGATCGCATAAAAAAACGGTTAACAATCGTAGGGTAGGATTGACATGTTCAAATTGTAAAACAACATCAACAACATTGTGGCGACGAAATAATTCAGGTGAACCTGTTTGTAATGCATGTGGTCTTTATTTTAAATTACATAATGTAAGTTTGATTTAATTTAAAAGAAAAATTTCTCAAAATTCGACATGCATATATCCACATAGATAAATCGGCCATTATCAATGAAAAAAGAAGGCATACAAACACGAAAACGTAAACCTAAAGCTGCTACAACACCGACAACAACAGGAACAGCAACAGCGATAGCTTCCGTTGGATCAACTGGAAATGTGGGACAATTGGCAATTGTAACGGCTGATGTACCGGCCACACTTCAACATCATCATCATCATATGACAGCTAAACAAGCAAGTATGTTTTTAATCATCATTTATTCTATGTGTGTGCCTGTGTATCATCAACTTATAATCAACTCTTTTACGAGAATACGAAAATGTACGTGTTTCAGTTGTGTGTGTGTGTGTGTGTGGTCATTTTAATTGAACATCATCATCATGATCATGATCATCATTAGTATTATAGTGTCATTTTTTTCGTAGTGACTGGAGCTTCTTTGTTTCTCTCACAATCGTATTTTTATGTAAACGCACACAAACACACACACACGCAAACACGTACTAAGTTTAGCAAAAAGAAAAAAGAACGAATCAGCCATTTACATTTAGATGATAACGTTATTTTTTTTTTGTTAATTTGAATTTTTTATTCATTTCACATTTATATCTTGTGACTACTGATATCACCTGATATATATGTGAATAATTCCAGGGTGTTTTTTTTCTCGTTTGTTTGTTTGTTTGTTTGTTTGTTGATGTTGTATGTGAATGTCATTTATTCAAATTCTGGAATTTCATTGTATATATAGGATAGATTAAACAATGATCATTCGTTTAAAAATTCCTGAAATTGAAAATATGGTGGTAATTTCATTGAATTGGTATAGACACACACACACAAAAAAAAATTTTTGATAGTTCTCTTACTCACTCACTTTCACTATCTCTCTCTCTCTCTCTCTTCTTCTTCTTCCTCCTATAATATCAATTTATCCAGAATAATGGAATATATACTCGCACTCACACACACACACACACACAAATGACCGCCGGAATTATTTGCTTGGATTTTCGGATCATCATCTGGATATATCTGGATCATAGGTGTAGGTGTCAAATATGTTGGAATATATAAAAAATATTTTAGAAAAAAAAAAAATGAATAATCAATTATAATGATGATAATTCATTTTTTATTGTGATGAAAATATAAATCATTACAATATTATCATTTTCATCATCTATATGGTGACTGACTGGACTGCTACTGATCTACACATTTGTCTATCTATCTATTTCTCTATTTTATTTCATTTCATTTGAACATAAATCATCGACAATGAATGTTGCAATAATATTGTTAGCAGGAACAAAACTAATAATCATCATCATAATGATAATATTCAGGTAGCATTTTTTTTGTTGTTGTTGCTGATAATAATGAGAGATAAACATGACTTATGAGTGTGGACTTTTATCGACAAAGTTTTTTTTTTTTTTTACCATTAAAATTCATTTTTTTCTGTTGTTGTTACCCGATACCTGTTGTATACACATATTTTCATTGTGTGATTGTATTTTGATCTAAAAATAATTTATTCACGAAAAAAAAATATTTATTTCTGATGATGATTGTTTTTTTATTGATCCTATAATGAAATAAATTTTTCTTTTTCTCTTTGTTGTTGTTGTCGTTTTTTTTATATATATAGAAAAATATCTCAATGCTACAAACGCATATTATCCGCATCATCATCAACAACAACAACAACAACATCATCATTCGAATCATCATCATCAACAACAACAACAACATCATTCACATCAACAACAACAACAGCAACAGCAGCAGATGCAACATCATCATCCGCATCCTCATTCTCATCATCATCAACATCAACAACAGCAATTACATCATCATATCAGCAGCAGCAACAACAACAGCAGAAACAGGCAATTTTACAATTGAATTCAACATCGTCTTCTTCACCATCATCATCGATAACAACAACAACAACAGCATCAAATGTACAACATGGCCATCATAATAATCATCATCATTTGATCATTGATGATGATTCAGCCATTCAACGGCAGCAACAACAATCACCATCATCAATGCCAACTTCGCCAATATCTGCATCATCAGCATCAACGATAGTGCCACCAAGAACAATAACATCACCAATAATACCATCATCAGCTACATTAAATCGACAATTACATAATTTAAATATACCACCAGTAGAATTACCGATTATCTATACAACAACAACAATGCAGCAGCAGCAGCAACAACAACAACAAGGATCACCACAATTGACAAATGCAACAACAACAACAACAAACGAAACAATTCAACAACAATCATCGATAGACGAATCATCATCAACTGGTATCAATAAAAATAATAAATTGATATCATCATTATCATCATCGACATCCGCATCACCTAATGAAAGTCCAATACAATCACCACAATCGAATCATTTATTGATACAACAACATCATCATCATCATCGTCATCAGAATCATTCATCAGTGATACATGAAAGTCATTCATCAACAACAACAATCAATAGTAATGGCCAAAATGGACAGATTGTAATACCATATCAACAACATAATAATAATAGATCAACAACAGTGGCAATAACAACTCCGACTTCAGCTTCCAATAATTCAATAGCTTTAGCATCATCATCATCAGTTGCTACAGTTGTCACAACTAATTAATTTAATTTGATTGATTAATATTCACTTTACTTGACACTTTTTTTCTTCATCTTTTCATTTGTTTTTTTTCTTTGACAAAAAAAAATTTTCTATTTTGATTAAAAAAAATTAGAGTGCTGCCTGGCCACAACATTGACTTTTGTCTGATTTTATATTATGCATATTTGAAAGCAAATCTGGAAAAAAAATTCATTCCGCTCGGTGTGTTGTTGTTTGCTGTAGGTTTTTAAATATTTCGCAATCGATTTGATTTGGAAATTTTTTTTTTTGGTAAAAGGTTTGCTGAAAAACATTTCCCATGCCTTTATTTATCTATTTATTTTTTTTTTTGGGCCAATTTTTTCCATCATTCCACAAAACCATTAGTATTTATTTGTTTGTTTGTTGTTGTTGTTTTTTTCCCACTTAATTTTTTTTTACCCATTCAGTTTTCGTTGATAATGATGATGATGATAATTAGTATGTTTTTTAAAATGGGCCATTCGAATGGAAAAAAACCTGGACGAAAAAAAAGAAAGAGAGAGAGAGATAAGAATAATGAGATGATCAACATCATCAAAATTCGATCAGTGACGATGATTGTTTATCGATACTTAATTCGAACGTTGGACAAAGCAAATTGTTTTTTTTCAAATCATCAAATTATTTATTTATTTATTCAAAAATAAAACCGTATGTTATTCGTATGTCAAAAAGGATTCATCATCATCGTCGTCGAATGATTTTGTTGTTGTTGTTGTTGCGAAAAGATGATAGTGAGGAAAAAAAAAAATTTAATTGATTTACTCAATTCATGCTGTGGCTGATGCTTATGACTGCATTCAGCCAAGATGATGATAATTATAATTTTTTTTTCATTTAATTAAAAAAAAATGATGATCACGATGAAACCCACACACACACACTTGAATTTTTCTTTTTTTCGACTATTTAAAACGTGTACGACTAGATGGCGCCATCAAAGGGTCCTTTGATGTGTGTGGGTATTTTTTTTTTTTTTTTTTAAACTAAGCAAATTATTAACCCTAGAAAGGTAACCTACGTAAAATTTATGCTTTTTGCACTTCAAAATGTTCCAAAAAAACACTCACGATGCTAAGACAGCTGGAACCCCTTTCTATTCCTCAAGAATATATTTCTACACCTTTGGAAATAGAAAAGATCCAGTTTTTGCCTTTTATCTGTTATCTATAAGCTCAGGCGTAAAAGCTTGTACGTAAAATTTACGTATGGTTGCCTGAATCAGCATAGAAAAATCTTTGAAAATTTTGCTGAGAGCGATAGTTTCGGAAATTTTTCCCAGAAAACGTCATTTATGAATAGAAATAATTTTAATTTTTTTCTTTTTTTATCTTTTCACTTGTCAAAAACGTTTTTTGTCGCAATATTTCAATCATGTTTCGAAACACAATCATCGATTGATTAATCATATTTACAGGATCATTTTTTATTTTTTCTTGACGCTGTGATAATTTCAAAATTGACAATAAAAAAAAATTCAAAATTTACACCATATTTATGATCTTTGATTTGATATTTTTGAACTTTCAACTTTTGAAAAATGATTTTTTCTTCTTTAATATAAAATAGAGGTGTGATTCAATGAATAAACGTTAAAATTTAACATAAATAATCAGATTAATAATTTTTATAGCGGAAATAAGTTAGGCATATCAACTACGTAAAATTTACATAGGTTACCTTTCCCGCAATATCGATAAGGTTACCTTTCTAGGGTTAAAAAACAATCATCACTGCCAAAAATTGTGCCATATGATTGATGATTTTTAATGATAATTTTACGTTTTACTGAATCAATCAAAAATTTTGCTTTTTTTCAATGTTTTGAGTTTTTTTTTAAAAATTTTCTTTTATTAGAAGATTTTTCTTGCTGTTCTTTTTTTTCTTTGATTAATTGATTCGATTTGAAATCATGATAATCATCATCATCATCATCATTTTACTTCAAAAAAACGTAAATCAATTCACAAAATTAACATGAATCAAATTGTATCTGGCAGAAACAAAATGATCAAATCAAGTATTTGGTAATTTGAAAAAATGAAAAAAAAAAATATTCAAAAATGAATGAAAACCACAAAGTATCCCATTTATTAATTATTTTCCCTCTCTCTCTCTCTCTCTCTCTCTCTCTTGGCCATAATCATTATCACAAGGATGATCGTCCGATTGTTTTGTAATTTTGCTGACCAAAAACAAACAAACAAACAAACAAAACAGAAAGAAAGACATAATTGCCCAAAATAAAGAGAAAAATTATTGAAATTTTAAATTCTCATTATTCATATATAGAAATATATGGAATGTTGAATTCCTTTTATAATTACAAAAATGAACAGAACAGTAAAAAAAAAAAATGTTGATCATAATCATTTGTAAAAAATACTAAATGGTCATTGTGTATGCAAAAAATAAAATGGCCACCACGTATTTGATGATGATGATGATGATGATGAAACGTAAAAAAAATGCAAATATAATGGTTTCATCGCCATTCCTATTCCTATATTGAATTCAAATTTCAATTTTTCGAGAATGAAGAATTTTTGTTTTTTGTTTCACAATGGCCAATAGCTTCTAATGTCATCATTATTCTTTGTTGTACAGACAAAATAATTGCCAACAAGCTACCCATTCACCACAAGCCTGAATGATCATCAAATAATGATGATGGCCAAATGATTATTATTAACCAACCCCGGCCATGAGAAGTGAAAAGACGAGACATGATTATAAATCATTGAATCATTATATGATGAGGCAAAAAGGACAAACGGGGGTATCCTGTGAACATTAAAACGAAACGAAGCCCATCGTTGCGTGTTTGTTTTTGTTTTTGTTTTTTTATTCGAGTATGTATTCTCTCACTATATAATGACAGAAAAAAATGTTCTCCATTGTGTCTTTTTTTTTATTCTAAGGGTAGTGTGTATCCATTCTCTCATTCTTTGTCTAAATTGGAATCAAATTGCCTTTGTGTGTGTGTGTGTGGCTGTCTTTGTTGCCGTTGTTGTTGAAAACAATATTCGGTAAGATCGTATTGGCTGATATCTTTCGTTTTTTTTATATATATTCATTTGATTGTGTGTGTGTGTATATGTAGCACACATATCTCTAAGTGTGCATAACGCATGTAACTTGAATTTAGAAGAAGAAAAAAAAAGAATGCATTAAAATGGAATAGATAAAACAACAAACACTCCCAAATGGTGTGGCCAATGCAATGATGATGACCAATCATAATGATGTGCATGTATGCGTGTGTGTGTGTGTGTGTGTGTGAATTGAATTTGTTTCATTCTTTTAGATGTAAAATTTTAAAAAATTTTTAAAAAATAAAAAATTTCATTTGAATTTGACAATGAATGGATTAGGGTTTAATTTTTTTTTTTTTTTTGCTTTGAAATAGTCTAAATCCATTCATTTATGATAAATAAACACCTACATGGATATCTGTGTTTTTTGAATGAGGAAAAATAAAAACATGAATGAAAAAAAAGAAGTGAAAAATCCAAGCCAATCTTTATCACTATTATCGATATCATCATCATCATCATCATCATTCGTAGTTGATGATTTTCAGAGTTTTTTTTCACTCAATATTCAGATGTTTACTACATGATATATACATGAAATAAATGGAGAGATCATAAAAAAAACAACAACAACAAATAATGATGATGATGATGATGATATGCGATAATATTTGAGTGAGCGAACAAGCATGCGGTAAACTTTTTTTGTGTGTGTGTGCATGTGTGTGTATGTGTGTGTGATATGAATAAAACTACCAAATTTATTCAATTCTGTTCCAATCACATAAAAAAAAAATTTTTTTTGTGGACAGAAACAAATTAGTCTAGGAATTTAAAATGAATGTGTGTGTATGACACAGGTAAATGTTGATGAAATGAATGAATGTTGAATCAATAAAAAAAAGAAACCTAAATTTTATATATAGATTTTTTTGACTTTTTTTTCCGTGAACAAAATAGGTGTGTAGGTGGTGGTAGTTACTTTTTCATTGAAAAAGGCATATGTTCCATTTCTATGGCATCATCATCATCATCATTTTTATCAACTACTACCAAAACACCATCCATCCATCCATCCATCCATGGAAAAACATTTTTACTGTAAAGTGAAATAAAATCAACATTGAATTTCATCATCATTTCAATGAATGGTAACATCATTAGCGAAAAAAAAATATCATCATTAAAGCAAAACCAACAACAACTCTTACTGTACATAATATAATAATACATGTGAAAATGAGAATTTTGAAAATACTAAAAGAAAAGTAGAAAAGAGACAAACCTGAATGATATTTAGAAATTGAAAAAAAATACATACATACATACAGATAGATAGAGATAGATTGAGTGAGAAAAAAAAAGAGAGACTGTCATTCAATATTTGAGTGAATAGCTTCATCATCAATTCAAAGATGATGATTGTCAGCATACACACACACACACACACACACATGACATAGGTACACTCGCATAAGGTATTCTTCAATCATTCTACATATTCGTGTGTGTGCATGTGTGTGCGTTCACTCTGTGCGTTTGTCACACAATCAACATGAATAGTTAATCTCAATGGACAAAAAAACAATAATAAAGATTCAAATTTCAAATTTATAACAAAAAAAAAAAAAAAAATATTCTTTGTGTATTTCTGTATGTTGTGTTTCATTTATTTTGTGGTCACAACTAGTCAATAGTGATATTTTTGTTTTTTTTTTTTTTTTTTTGATTATTCACTGTTTCATCATCATATATATATATATATTTTGTGTGTGCGTATGTGTGAGGGGTGGTAGCTTTGTGGCAATTTATAGCCCATATAATGATCGATATTGATCGAGTGTGTGAATTTTTCGTACGTTTTACCTATCTACCTATATATTGAAAAAAAAGTTTATGGTTTGTATTTCTTGTTGGTGGTCAGCTATCATTTTCTATATTAATAATTTTTTCACAACTTTGTCGTCGTCGTAATCTGTGTAAATCGTTTTTGTCTTATTTATTGTTTTGTTCAATCATCAATCATCATCATCATTATTTTGTTGTGAATTTTTTGTCAAATAATTTTTTTCTCTTCATCAATTTGTAATTGGAAAAAAAGGATTAAATTCCTGACATATATATCACACTGGCATCTGAATCTAAACAAATTGATTCGCACCAATGTCCATTATCTTCCAATAGCACCAACACTACCACCAGCACCATTATTAGCAGCAGCACTACCGATAATAATCACAATAACTTTTTATCATATCATTTGCACGATAATAATGATAATCACAATTTAATTGGAATTAATAATCAATATGACAATCAAGATCATCAACAGCAGCAGCCCTATTCAATCTATCATCATCATCAGCATCAGCAGCAACAACAACAAGAGCAGCACTTTATCGTCGATAATGATGAACACCTTGAATACCTCCATCGACAACAGCAAGAGCAAGAGCAATTGAATCAAAATGCACATTTAAATCAAAAATCTATTACACTATATTCCTCATCATCATTATATCCATTGTCTTCTTCAGGATCTTCAAATAATTCTTCATCATTTCAATCATATTTTCTATCACAATTAGTTGATTGTAACGATAACCAACCACAACAACAACAACAACAACAACAACAAGAATCACATCAGTTAAATCATCATTACGATCAACAACAACAACAACAACAACAATTATCGGCTAATATAATTAGTGGATCAGGCGCTAATCACAATCAATCAAATAAAACTCATCATCTAAATTCAACTGGTGGATATAGTAGTAGCAGTAGTGATAATAGCACTAATTCATCATCATCATCTTTGTCTTTGTCATCATTATCATCGAATTCATCATCACAAGAACAAAATCAGGAACAAAATAACGACAATAAAGGTATGGAAACAGTTTTTCTTTTTTTATAATAATTTATTATGACGAAAAAAAATCCGGTAGTCAATAATCGAATTCATCATCATCATCATCATCGATTATTTCCGTTTTGTATATTGCATATTGATAAAAAATTTGAAATCGATTATCGATTATTGATCATTTCGATGAAATGTTTGACATTCATCACAATTCATTCGTTTCAAATTGAAGACAATTTGATTGAATTGTCTTTGACGACTACCTGTATTTCTGTGTGTCTGAACTTGGCAAAAAAAAAAATGATAAAATCATACCTTATTCACGTCATGTCTGATCGATATATATCGTTATCATAATCGATAAATTGATTCGTCATTTGATCAAATTGACTAACAATGACGTCGCCGACATCATCATCATCATCATCAATGATTATTGATAATTCAAACTGGTCATTCATGTGAATATATTCTGTTTGTTTGTTTTAGCCAAATTATATTTTCAATGATAAAACCCACCCAATATCATTTATGCAATATTGAAAACATTCTGGGCGCTATCCAAAAAACAAAAGAAAACAAAATTCATTGAGCTAAAAATATCTTGACCAACCACCATGTGTAGGTAAAATGTGTGTGTTTTTCGTTTTTTTTTCATGCGAACAAACAATAAGGCCCCAAATAATAATAGTTTTTTTTCCTGAAGTAACCTATCTTGATTATAGGTTATAATAGGTTGTATGTGGTTGTAGTGTTTATATTTGTTTTTTTTCTTCTTTATTTAATGACACACATACACACACACGCAAACAATCACACAGTGGACAGAACTCCATAATTTCATACAGGGTGAACAAAACAAACAAGAATCAATCATCGTCATTGTTTATGTGTTTCCTGTTTCAAATAAAGTGGCTAAAAATAAAAACAAAAATTAATTATAATTGATTCTAGCCACCAATAAAACAATAAAAAATGAACACCACCTACATTCGAATTGAACAGAATTGTTGGGCAAAGTGATAATTGAAATGAAATGAAATGTGTGTGTGTTTGTGTAGTGTAGTAAAAATATTTAGTTTTCTTTGGTTATAATAACGTAATTATAAATTGAGTTTTTGAAAAAAAATATTCACTGGTCAGCTGACATTTTTCGATTTTAATCAAATTGAAAAATTATTCCATTTTATATTGAATTTGGTTCAAAGTTTTTTTTTGAAAATCCATTTGGTTATCGTTATTTTTAGGTGGCCCATAAAAAAAAAAAAAGTTCATTCATTATTCTTGATGCTTTTTTTCGTGGCAAACTAAAATGTGCCACACGCGAATAACGAAACCAAATATCGATTTCACCACCACCAAAATAAAAATTAGAACAATCTAATCTGATCAGATATATATTAGATTTTGATCAAGGTAAGAGAGAGAAAGAGAGAAAAGTTGATTGGTTGATTAGCAACAACAGTTGATCACTGGGTAATAAAAAAAAATGAATTTGTTCATGGTGGTGGTGGTGGTGGTGGTGGTGATAGAAAATCTTAACCACAAAACATCGCACACACACACACACGGATATTTGAAACATTTGTTTGTTTGTTTGTTTTACACTGAACTTTTGACATGTTTTTTTTGTTGTTTACGTAAAATTTTCAAATAATAATCCATTCAATTGTTCATAGAGAGAGAGAGAAAAAACGAATTGATGACGAATTTTGATCAAATCGATCAAATTGTTAGATATAATGGAAACATACACACACACACACACACTATGACGACCGTAGGAATGATTGTTCGCAACAAACAAACGAACAAATGACAAAAAAGTACAGAAATTTTTTTTTTGTTTCATGTACCACGATTATCATATCGATGTAGATTAGTTTGGCCAAGCAGTATCTATTTTTTTCTGTCCAAAATAAACAGTGTGCGTGCGTGTGTGTGTGTTTTATTAAATTTTCAAGTGAAAAAAAATAGATTTTATCGATTCTTTAAAATCTTTCATGTCTTGTCTTGTCTTGTCGTTTGTTATGGTTTTTTTTTTTTTTTGGTTTTGTTTCGTATCTATTTTTTCATTTGTTTTCTGTTGTTGTCTTCGTTTGTTCTTATGAAAAAAAAATTTATCCAGATCATCAGATTAACAACATCATCATTTGAATCGATTCTCGAAATAAAATACGATTAAGCTAATCTACACACACACACACACACACACATATACATACACGCGTGTACACGATCATCATCACATTGTCATCAACAATTTGACATCGATCGATAATTTGTTTGATGAAATTTTCATTTTTATTTTCAATTTTCCATTTTTTTTTTTTTTTGATTAGATCAAAAAACACAAGTTGTTTGTGTGTGTGTGTGTGTGTGTGGTGTGTGGTTAAAGTGTTTAATCAGGATTGTGGTTTTCACCCCACAACATCCCCCTTCCATTCAATTCGAATCTCTAAAATTTCCGGTAAGTGGATCATGCGTATGTCCATATTGATTATTTATAACATTAATTGATTGATGATGATGACAAATGATTTGTTGCTAAAAAGAGAGCGAGAGAGAATTTTTATATGACGGATATCGATGATCTAATAATAACTGGACGATGGTAATTGCTACCTAACCATCGATGGATGAAAATTCAATCAATCAATCAATAGATACATCGTTGACATTTTGATTTTCATTTTCAATCGACCTAATCGTTAATTTATTTTGTCAAGTCTCCATCATCATCATTATCATCAACATCACTGTTGTAAGAATGACCAAAAAAAAAAAAAAAAAATTTCCAGCGGTCAACATCAAAAACAACAACAACAAGCCAACGCAAAACAAAATTTCCAACCTAGACCAACCGACTAAACATTTTTCGATTCACTGTAGACTGAAAAAAAGGAAAAAAAAAAAAAAAAAATCAAAATCAAAATTGAACTTGAAAATGTGACCGAAAAAATTTTTTTTTCTTTTTGGTGATCGAATCGTCGACGACGACGCCAAGTTGCTGAACACACACACACACACACATGAGCCAATCAATAAGTCTCATCAGACGCCATCCAGTCTATTTATCAAAATAGCCTTAAGTACCATCGTTATTTTTTTTTTTTTGCTTCGTTGTAGTTTTGAAATTGTGAAAACAGAAAGAAAAACGAAAAAGAAAATGGCTTCGAAATGAGGTACCGAACAAACAAACTATATCGGATTTAAATGCGAAATTAACAACAACAACAACAACAATAATGATGATGAACTTGATCGGTTTTTTTCTTCATCATAATCATCAAAATGATGAGTTTGGACTTTTATCAACAAAAGTGATGCTCACACACACACACACACATGCACTTTTCATTGAAATGCGTGTGTGTGTGTGTGTGTGTGTTTAAGTGGTTTGAGGGAAAGAAATTAAATTTTAAGCAAAATTAAATAAACAACAACGATATTGACAGAAAAAGGGTTGCCTCTTTTCAGTGGAAACATTTTTTTTGTTTTGTTTTTATTTTCTTTCCTATATATTTATATAATGAACTGATATCAGTTTTGTTTTTCGAATCTTAATTATCTAACTGATGATGATCATCCATGTTTTATTTTGTTGATTAATTTACTTGAGAGTGGTGTTTTTTTTAATGCTGCTGCCGCTGCCGCTGCTGCTGCTGCTTCTGTTGTTGTTATGTAATCGTTTTTTTTTTTTTCTTGCTAAAAGCTGTGATTGTTAACGTTATGTTGTTTTTTATTATGATGAAAACCAAAAAAAAAAAAAATCAATTAATTGATCGATTAATTGAAAATTTATGGTTTCGAATATCCAAAATCGATATCATCATCATCATTGTCGTCGTCGTCGTGGTAGAATTTCTGATTTTATCTTGTCCCTGTGTGTGTGTGTGTGTATGTTGTTATTGATTTTATTTCGATCGTTTTTTTTTTTTCTATTTTGGAACAACAATGTTTGACCTTTATTTTTTTTTTTTTTGCTGCCCCTACGGTCGTGAGAAAATGTCGTCGCCTGTGTGTTTGTTTTTTTGGACTTTGACATTCTGCTAAAATGGTGGAAAAAAAAGAAACCAATCATACTGAATCGAATTTGAAAGGTCATTGTCATATGTCAATTAGACAAAATAATGAGTGAATTTATATTTTCTTTTTCTTGGGTCCAACATTTTTTTTTTTTTTTGAGTGCTGTTGTTGTTATGTCGTCTTGATTCGTGAAAACTGGTGACAGTCTGTCGTTTGTCTTTTTTTCTGTTTTTCGGCCGTTATCATTGGTCGCTAGGTCCTTGTCTTATGATTATGTTTGTAAAATGTAATTGCTCCATTTACTTTGATTCAATTTACCAGCAAAAAAAAATATAGCTAAATAGTCAGTCATATAGACCATAGTTTCATTTCAACCATAAAATTGTCGTCGACGTCGTTGTCGTTGTCGTTGTCGTCGATCGAGACAGACGTCTGTCGATCAATATTTTTTTTGTTTCGGGACCAAATTTAAATTGTTTTCACCACCACCACCCAACCAACCAACCAACCAAAAACGGATGATTCATAAAAAAAATAACATTGACACAATCTTCATGAGATTATCATCAACAACAACGTCAGCACGCGAATCGTAATTGTGTGGTCATCATCATTGCCTAGTGTAAAGGCTTCTTGTTGGCAAAAAAAAAACGAAGAAGAAGAGACTGAAAAAAATAGTTTCAAATTTCACCTGATCAATTTACGAATCAAGATTGATACCTTATGTCAAATTCAAAGATAGACAGATAGATTGTCAATATGTCAAAAGGTCAAAGTAACCAAAAAAAAAAAAAAAAAAAAAAAAAAAATTAAAATCAAAACCTGAAAATAGAATCTCCAAATTGATGAATAAATAGGCCAATTCAGTTTATGTTTCGTTAAAACCAAAAAAAAATTCAGATAGGTCAAAGAAGAAAAAAAGAAAAAGAATCATAAAAATCGAGCAACGACAACAAAATTTTAAAATTTGAATAATTTTTCAATTTTAGTTTGTCTTTTTTTTCTGATTGAATTGTTGTTGATGATGATGGTGGTGGTGGTGGTGATGGTGGATGAAATATTTGCTATCTATCTGCGATTATGATGATGATGATGATGACATTTCATGATGATAAGATAATAGGTATAAACATCATTCACTTGGTGCCATTATCATCATCATCATCATCATCTGACCATCATATAAGAGATGGTCATAAACATTTTTTTTTCTCTCTCTCTCCAAATGAATTTACCTCAGATGGATGAATGGATGGATGGATACCTTGTTTCATAACATGAACATTTGTTTTGTTTTGACCATAGAAAAATGAAATGAAATGAAATGAACTGAACTCTCACTTTTTATTTCTATTCGATCAAATAATAATGATGATGATGATCAAGATACGATTAGCGTATCGTTTTTTTTTTTTGAGAAAAAAATTAGGCCAATAGTGATATGATGATGATGATGATGATAATTCTTGATTGTTTCAAAGATTTTTTTGGGAAAAATTTTTCATTTTTTCTCCACTCTGATATTGTTTTTATTGAAAACAGAACAAAAAATTTGAATCAATTAATGAATTGTTCATGATATCATTTGTCTTTATTCAATATTTTGAGTAGAATAAAAAAAAAAAACTCAGGTAGCCAGCTGCATAGCCATTTTTTTGCATTTGAATTCAATTTTTCATTTCATTCATTCATCCATCCTGTGTGTATGCAGATTACACACACACACATACAAACACACAGAGCGACAAAAAAAAGCGGCAGTAAATTAAATCTACATTTGTCTTGTTTTATCGCAATCTTCATCGTCGCCATCGCCATCATCTTCATCATCATCATCATCAACATTGGCAATGGCCATCGTGTTCGTCGTCGACTTTGTCGTTTGTCGTCGTTGTTGTTGTCATTTTTCAAATGTCAATGTGGACCAAACACAACACGTTTCTTCTGTTTTTTTTTTTTTTTTTACTTCGGCAAAATGTGTCTGTCTCATGTGTCTCTGGTGTTTTATTTTGCGGAAAAATATAAAAAAAAACAACCAACAACTACCTACTACTCATCATCATCATCATCATCAGGTAAAAAAAAAAGAAAAAGAAATCATTCTTCCATGAGATAGAAATCTATGATACCTTTGCCTGCTGCTGCTGCTGCTGCTAATGCTGATGCTGCTTCTATCCATCCATCTCGTCATCATTATCATTATTATCATCATCATCATGATCATCATCATCATACAGTCGACATTATTCAAAATGGCTAAATGCGAAGAAAAAAAAAACTTGCATTCTCCCCTCCCCGCCCCCCACAACGTGTCTCAACCCTCGAATTTATCATTGACAAAAATTGTCATCATCATCAATGACCATCAAATTGACGACTGTTGTAGGATGAAAAAAAAAAAAGCTAAATGTGAACACAAAATTCACACACACACACACACACAGCATGAGGTAATGAGAGCAATCAACAGCTACCTTAAAAATGAAACAAAAAACTTTTGTTTATTTATTTATTATTTTCTTCCACACTCAACTGGCTTCTGGTCATCATGAATTTCAACACTACGGAATAATGTGAACAAAATCTGTACAACAAGATTTATCGGTTAGAACAGAATGAACGGGACAAAAATTGAATTTAAAAAAAAAAATTTCAAATTGAAAATTATACCTACTTAAACGATATATTTATAATCATCATTATCACCAATAATTATCATCATCATTATTATTATTATAATCGTGATAATGAGATATCTAATCTATTGTAGCCATCTATACAATTCACATAAAAGTCTGGTCGACTGTCTTTCAATCGTCGACGTCGTTGCCAACGTCGTCGCCATTTGTTTCTCGAAGTAAGAAAAAAAAACATCCTGATGTGATTGATTTTTTTTGGGGAAATGAAATGAAAAATTTTTTCTTGTCATCATCATTTGATTATGATCATTATTGACACACACAGAATTTGACTGGTTTTTTTTGGGACTTTCGATTTCGAAAACGAAAATTTTTCTATTAATATCTACCAGTTTGTTTGCTATTAGAATTATTATTCATTCTTTTTTTATTTTTTTGCACTTGTTCCATTGATGATGAGATCACGAATCCATTTTACTCTAATTGAAAATCATCATCATCATCACCATTAGACCATGGTTGTCTAGCGATAAAAATCAAATGTAAATGTTGTGGACAAATCCTATATAATACGTATATGTGTAAGCGTTTGGTATTTGAAAAAATGATACGCATGTGTGGACACGCGATCCTGGAACATTTAAGTACATAATATCTGAATATAGTATAAATTCACTCATGATGATGGTGGTGGATTATGTGTGTGTGTGTGTGTGTGTGTGTCATTAATTATGAGTTCATGGCGCCACTGCCATCATCATCACCATCGAAATAATAATTACCGGTAGCCTTATGGCTGGAGCTGACAATTTATTATTATTCTGCATATAATTTTTTTTTGTTTCAACTTAAACTCCAACTTTAATGACAAAAAAAATTGAATGAATGAATGAGATTCACACACGAATGAATAAGAGAAAGACCTGTGTCATGGTGATGATCAGAAATTTTTTTTTCTATTTGTTTGTTTCTGTTTCACTTTTTTTTCGTTGACGGTTATTATAGCGTTGAATCTATTGTTTGTGTCAATTTTTAATGGTTTTTTTTCCCAAGGTAAGGTCAGTGGCAGTGGAAGTTTAATGGCAAAGAATTTCTAAATCTAAAAAACAAATTTAGGTTTTTTTTTCACAATTTTATCAATTAGTTGTTTGCATTCATTCAATATAAATATTCAATTGATTGATTGGTGTGAAATAATAATGAAAAAATGGCAAATAATCAGTCTTATCTTGATGAGATTAAAATCAAAATGTGTAGGTGAGTTTGTTCAATAAATATATTGGGCAATGAATCAACGAACTCATCATTCACGTAATGATTTGCAATGAATTGGGAAAGAAAAAAGTTAAAATAAATAAATGATTCGATGACGTTTGTTTGTTTGTCGTGGAAAATGTCACCAATGACAAATAAAACAATTTTTTTTCTTTGGTCTGATGAAATAATCATCTATAGATTGATTCAATTGGATCAATGTTGATGAAATATGAAAATTTGATTTGACACACACACACACACGCAAAACAAAACTAATTTGAATTCAAGGTGTGTGTGTGTGTGAAATACTGAACACAAAACTATCAACCAAAACCAACCAACCAACCAACGCCAACAATCAACAAGGGAGAGACCGTTTTATTTTTTTTTGTTTTATTTTATTTTTTTTTTTTACTTAGTTTTCATCAATTTTTCTGTAATGTCGTCGTTCATCGTAAATGACAAATGTTTAAAATGAGGAACGAAACAAAGATGGTAAAATGTCATGAATGTCACCAACTATAGTTGGTTTTTGTTTTGGCCAAACTTTATACTACAAAGATGATGACGAGAGACAAAAAAAAAAATAGGAGGAGTATCGATCATTTGTATATGAAAATTTGGTAGTGGGCGGGATTCATTTTTACGGGAGAAAAAAATTTTTTTTTAAGAATTTTTCTGAAAAAAATTTCATTTTTTCTGGTTTGAAGAAAAACTTTTGAAAGAAAGATAATGACGTTTTTGTTTTTTCCATGACTACTACACACCAAGGGCAGGGATACACACACACGCACAAACACAAGATAGCACAACTTGTGTGTGTATTTTGTGGACGGGGCTAGGTCCAGTTTACCAGTACCACAATAACAACAACAACAACAACAACAACAATGGAACATTGGAAAATGTTTCATTATCATCATCATCATCCATTGGCCAACAGCAAATGTTCACCAATAAAAACTTCGATGAACGATGATAATGATGGTGATAATATTGTGTGTTTGTTTCTGATATGATCAGAAAAAAAATTTTCAAATCTAATCATCATCTGACCAAACATCATCGATCGCCACGAAGAATAGAAATGAAATTGTCTTTTGTTGTTAATTTTATTGATGAAAAATTTTTTTAATTTTTTTTCTTGGTGATTCATATTTGTGTGTGTGTGTGTGTGTACGAGATTAGATTCATTTGATAAATTTTTGGTTTTGTCTTGTTTTCTGATTGAATATTGAACCCGTTTTGTTGTTAATAATTGACCGTTATATATCGAACATATCGATAATAATAATGATACCACCATTACGGCCATCACCACCACTACAACCACCATCATCATCATTGGCATTGATTTTGGGTATGATGATGATGATGATGATGATGATCAATTGATAATCGATTCGGTCATAGTTTGAATTTAGATTAATTTTGTTCATGTTAAAAAATCAATAATTTTTTTTTTGCAATCCCAAAAACAGAAATCGATACTGGATCCAATCTAATTACATCGAACAGTCATCACAATAGTTATAAAGATCTATCATTACAACACGACCATTATAATCAATTACATAATCACAATGGACAACAACTAAATTCAAATCATTTACAATATGAAGCAGATTTAAATGACACCGCAATCAATAAATCGGATAAAATTCTAATTAATCATCAATCAATACAAAATCCATTTCATCATCATAATCATTCACAGTTTGTTTATCAACATTTAAATCGAAATAATGGTGAAATTGAACAAAATTATGATTCAAATGTCATAACCAGTGGTGATCAGAATTATCATTCACATTATCAACAACAACAACGACAACAACAGCACGACGTATCATTTATTACTAAATCTAAAGTCGAAAAAGACGAAGAAAAAAAAGATCAAGATAAAGATTTTAATATTGCAAATCATTTACGAATTGCAGCGAAAGGTCAACAATCAACAACCAGAACAATGTTTCAGAATTTAATGTCTGGCCATTATACCGTTGGTGGTAGTGGCGCTGGTGGCCAAAATCACCATCCTAATCACCATCATCCTCATCATCATCATCATCATCACGCAGCAGTTGCGGCTGCCGCTGTACAACATCAAGCTGATTTAGCAGCCGCTGCTGCTGCTGCTTATCATAATCATCCATTATCATCGATGTATGCAGCTCGTACACAATATGGTACATCGATTTCAACATCATCACCTGAACATAATAATAATGATACATCAGCTAACGATCAACAACAACAACAGCAGCAGCATCAGCAACAACAACAACAAAGTAATATCGATGAAAATAATGGTGATAATAATAATAACAACGGTGATGGTGCAAATTCATCGACGGCAGATGTTGGTGATGAAGATGATCGTGCGGCAACAACGCCTACATCGTCAATTCTATTAACGAATGGTAATGCAAACCGAAGTCAATCATCATCGTCATCATCATCATCATCATCAGCTACTGCTGCTGTTGCTGCTTCTGCATTCCAGAATTCTCAACATTTTAATAATTCAACCACAAGCAATGATACATCACCATTCGGATCGAATAGATTCCCATTTCAGGTTTGTTGTCATTTCATTTTTTGTTATTTTGGATGAAATGTGAATTCAATCCATTCGTTTAGAATGTATCATCATCTTCATCATCATGTTCGATAACGGCTTCATCGCCAAGTCCTACTGGTGTCCAAACAAATAATCCTAATGGATCGAATGGTGGATCATCCAATTCTCAACAACAAAGACAAAGATCAAACAACGGAGATGGTGGTGGTAGTAATAATGGAAATGGAACAACATCATCATCATCGTCATCATCAACAATATCGGATCCTCCTACAACATCGTCATCATCAACTGCTGCATCATTAGCAGCAGCTGCAGCTGCCAATTCATATGCATCAACATTTCGTTCAGCAACAATGAATGGTCTACATCCGGCATATGCTGCCGCATCATATGAAGCTGCAGCAGCCGCAGCTGCTGCATGTGCATGGGCCGGTAGGTTAGAACATTCAGTACCATCATCATTAACCGGACGTTTAACCGATCCTCATCATCATCATACAACAACGGCAGCGGCTGGATTTCCGGCCGGTTTAGCAGCTAGTCAAGCGGCAGCATTCCGTAGATCGGGTAAGTTTTATTTTAGAATTCATTACATAATGTTGTTGTTATAGAAACACAAGAATAGAATAGAACAACAACAAAAAAGGCTTGACTTTATTGACAATAAAATTTTGTCTGAATTAAAGAAGAATCAACAGCCAACAACAAGCGAATCCAACGATGATGATGAAATGGATGAAGATGGGCAGGTTTTGTTTGTTTGTTTATTTTGAACAAAAACTGAAACCATCAATATTACCATCATTATCATCAGATCATTTTACTTAATGATGACTTGGTTATATAAATAAACGCATAAAAATAGAAGAGAGAGAGAGAGAAAATAAATGGCCAATCAAAAAACAGAGTAACAATAAAAAAAAGGGTTATACGAAGCTTAAATTTGTGAAAACAGAAAAATATCATCATCGGATAAAAGGAGATGGAGAGAGTGAGAGAGCAGAAGATGGATGAATGAATGAAATCTAGACCTATAATGGAAACAACAACAACGACAAAAGCAGTATGTGACAATGAACAAATTTTTTTTTTGAAATTGTGAAATAAAGAGCGAGGGTTTTCTTGTTTGAAAATTCAAAAAAAACAAACAAACAATTCTCTGAATGACGATGATGATTATGTTTTATGTTAATTGATGAATGTAGAAAAAAAACGAAACAAAACAATTACATCCATCATCATAATAATCATCATGAATTCTTGGTGAATTTTGAATAATTTTCATGTCAAGCAAGTCGGCAAGTTGATTTTTAAAAAGAAATTAAAAAAAATAAGAAACGCACACACACACACACAGAGAGTGAGTGAATAAACCGACGAAACAATTATATTCGCACAATTTAACTATATGATTCTATCATCATCATCATTCCATTTTAATGGGCCAGAAAAAAAAGAAAATATTAATTATGATGAACAATTAGCCAAATGAGAATGGAAGAAAAAATGAACAAGATAATGATCTTGATTTGGTTGATGATGAAAAAAAAAATTAATTATTCAGAACCATCATAATGCCTGTCTGTGTGTGTGTGTGAGATCTTTATTCATTCATTCATTTCTTTGTTTTTTGTTTTTTTTTTCATCATCATCATGATGAACTAAATTCAATTATAATTGTGAATGGATTGAATAATCTTTTGGTTTTTATGTTCCTTCTTTTTTCTCTCTCTCTCTTGATATCATTCCATTCGCTTCAAAGAAATTATCGACTGAATTTCAAAGAATTTCTTTTCCTTTTTTCCTATTACAATCTAATTGATTGATTGATTATGATTGTGATTGTAATGATCGATTATGATGGGCGAAAATAAATGACACACACACAAACTGAACGCTTCTTGTCTTTTTCTTTCTCATCAAGAAAGTAAAAGGATTATGCATACACACACACAAACACAGGGAGACAGATTTTGTTTAAACTGGCTAGATTATATCAGAATTCAGTCAGTCAGACAGTCAGTCATTCAATCGCTCTCTCAATCTGTCATTTGATCATTTTTTTTTTCGTTGTTGTTGTTGTTATCACCAAACCATCATTCTGTGTGTTAATCAATCAATCTTGATCTTGTTTGTCAATTCTATTTTTTCAGTTTAGTTTTTTAGTTCAGTTTTTTGCAGGGTTTATGATCATCAAAGACAAGACAGACAGTCGTCAAAGACAAATTAGTCTCATTTTTCACATACTGATTATTCTTTTTTTTTTCTTTTTTGTTCCTTCTTGTTTTTTTTTCGCCGTTGGAAATTTTTTCTTCTATAGATAATCATAACAATCATACGAATGGATTGGATTTCTTTTTTGGTTCACCAGCAGCAGCAGCGGCAGCCGCTGCTGCTGCTACCGCTAATTCACCGGTAACAGCTTCCGTTACATCTGCTGCTGCTGCTGCTGCAGCATCAGGACAATTAAATATTGCAAATAGTCATCATCATCATCAATCAAATCAGCCACATCATCATCATCATCAACATCAACAGCAGCAACAACAACAACAACAGCTACAACAATCACAACAACAACATCATCAAGGACATCATCCATCTCATCATCATCATCATCATATGTCCGGTATTGGAATGTCAACATCGCCTATTAATCAAGGTCTTATTGGAACCGGTAGTAGTAATGGTATGAATGGACCGGGTAATGGTGGTGATATTTGTGGTGGTAATATGCCCGGTGGTTTAGCTGCGGCTGCAGCTGCTGCTGCAGCTGGACAAGCAGCATATGCAGCACATTTTAGTGAAGGACGTGAATGTGTAAATTGTGGAGCAATATCGACGCCATTATGGCGCCGTGATGGTACCGGTCATTATCTATGCAATGCATGTGGACTTTACCATAAGATGAATGGCGCCAGACGGCCATTGATCAAGCCTCAACGTCGTTTGGTAAGTTTTTGATATATTAATATATTCGCTTTTTTTTTAGTAAATCATCATCAATTAATTTTTCAAAATAAATGAAAAAGTATTTCAAACATCATCCTGTTGATATTTGATATAAAAAAAGGTCAATTTTTTTCGTCCACTCCAGTTTATTTTTTTTTCATTCATTAACACTCAAGAAACTCGATAAAATTGATTTTCCATTTAATCAATCTGGAATAACAATTAGGAATTTTGTGTGTGTGTGTGTGTGTATCTGCAGAATTATTATCTCTGTGAAAAATTTTTCAACACACATCATCATCATCGTACCAATTAATGATGATGATGATCATTGAATCATAATTTATTCATTAATCAATGAATGATGATAATGGTCAGTAAATGAGAAAAAAAACCATTAAGATAATAGATTTGGACGACATGACGACATATCGAGTGAAAAAAAGGCTTAAAAAAAACTGAATCTGTCAATTTGATTGATTGATTGATCGAATTGAAATGAAGTGACAAATTTTTTTTTTGCTTGTTTTGTTTACATTCGAAATTCACATGAAAAAAAAAATTAATTTTTTATCATCTATTTTTATCTATGATGTTGAAATAGGCTGCCTCAAGACGTTTAGGACTTTGTTGCTCGAATTGTGGTACGACCACAACAACATTGTGGCGACGTAATAATGAAGGTGAACCGGTCTGTAATGCATGTGGTCTTTATTATAAATTACATAATGTAAGTCGATAATATTTTTGTATTGATTTTGATCAAAAAAAAAAAACTTAATTTCGTTTGTATTTAACACCATTTTCAGGTAAATCGACCATTAGCAATGAGAAAAGAAGGAATACAAACACGAAAACGTAAACCGAAACAAAATTCTGCTAGTTCAGCAGCATTAAGTTCTTTAGGTTTAACCGGTGCAACGTTTGGTCTTGGTGGTGGTAGCAGTAGTGCACTTGGATCATTAGCATCTGGCGTTGTTGCTAACAATAATGGATCAAACAACAATTGTATTGGATCAACAACAACAACATCAATGCAAAATGGTGGCGGTTTACAATCACATCATCATCATCATCATAATCATAATCATAATTCAACCGGTGTATTCCATTTGAATCATAATAATAGCAATAATCATCATCAACAACAACATCATCAATCTGGACAGCAACAATTATTACAACATCAACTTGGTAATGCTAATAGCAGTAGCAATAATTCATCAACATCACCATTAAATAGTAACAGTGGCAATAGTAATAGTAAATTAGGATCATATCATCATCATAATAATCATCATCTTAATCATTTAAATCACCATCACCAACAACAACCACAACAACATCATCTAAATTCATCTGTAGGTTCATCGTCATCATCATCATCATCGTCCGGTTATTCTTCATCTAATCATCATCATCATAATCATCATTTATCTGGATCATCATCATCATCACATCATAATCAACAACAACAACAACAACATCATCATCATCATCATCAACAAGCAGCAGCGGCTGCAGCTGCAGCCGCTGCTGCCGTTGCTGCTGCAATGGCAGACTCAGCAAATTCTGTAAAATTATGTACTTGATAATGGAATCATCGATAATGATAATCATACACATCGCGTATTTGTATCAAGTGAATATCGATACATGGAATCGATTCAAATGAATACAATAATAATAAATTGAGCTCTAATCTATCGACCTCAATGAAATTGATTTGATCTCAACATCGAAAATCGTCGTTTGCAAAATCCAACCAGGTTAAACATCGTTTTTATTGATTTCATAATGAAACAGAATCGTTTAATTCTTCATTCTCATTTCTTCTCATTATTCAACATCATCATCACAGAATTAAAAAAAAAGAATTTTTTCTTTACTATTTACAAACGAGATGATCTCACACACACACACACACACACATCAGATCAAATGTAAAAGCTAAAAAAAAAATCTCGCCGGAATAATTGCATTATCAACACATACACACACACAGACAGACAGAGAGAATCTTAATCTTAATAATTTGTCCCATTTTTGTGTTACACTAAGAAATACGAAAAACTATTATACGTAAATCATACACACACACAGAAATTCTTTCTCTTCGTTTTCACATTTCTATTCGGTCACATTCATTCACATACACACACGATATATATCTATCCCAACAGAAATCAATCAATCGATATTGTAATCATTGTGTAATCACCTTTTTTTCGTTATAATTTAAATGATAATGATATTATTATTATACAAATACCAAAAAAAAAAAAAATTGCAGTTACAATCCTATATAGATGATAATTTTTTATTGAAAAATAAAAAAAAATGACCAAAAGTTTAACCAAGTTGTCGAGAATGAGAAAAAAAAATTTTTTTATATCCTTATTAATATTGAAAAACTGAAAAATTTTGTCACATGACAATTTAAATTTTTTTTTTTATAAAGTTTCTGTTTTTTTCTAAATGCAAACACACACACACACACTGGTTATTTACACAACATATTAATTCGAATATATATTTTCTATATATAAATATAATTTGTGGTGATGATGATTTTTAATTATTCATCAAATGATGGCAAACCAAATAGTTCGGGTCGAAAATCTTCCAATGATTTCAATATCATTGTTGCATTCTTTTGTTTACATTCAAAACGTTGATCCGGTACCATAATACATTGCATGCCGGCTGCACGTGCACCATCCACACCTATTGATGAATCTTCAAATACAATACATTTTTCCGGTTTCGGTTTATCCGGAAAACGTGATGCAGTGATCAGATAAACATCCGGTGCTGGTTTTGGTTTTTTTACCTCTTCATCATCACGTGTGAAAACAATATGTTGAAAATATTTTCTATCACCAAATAGATCTTGATGTGCACGTGTTTTTATTACATACGATTGATTTGTACTACCAGTTGCAATGGCCATAGGTATGTTATGTCGTTTCAAATGTTCCACTAAACGTTTAGCACCAGGCATCAATTGTACTTTTAACATTTCTTCTGTATAAATTTCACGTTCCATTTGCATAAATTGTTCCACAGTCAATGGTAGTTTGGTCTGTTTAATTATCTCTTCAATACCTCTAGCCACTTCCATGCCAAGAACTTTTTCCTGTAATTCTTTACTATATTCATTAACACCTGTTGGTTGTTTTTATATAAAGAATAATGATAAGTTTTTTTTCATATAAAAAAAATGGACAAACTTACCATAACGTTTCAATAGATTACGGATAGCATTAGCAAAACAAACTTCACTATTGATCAATAGACCATCCAAATCGAAGATAACATGTGTTACCGGTTTAAATTTTGTTGTTTCAATCAGATTGGAACAACAATTTTTCATCTGTTCATTTTTACAACATTCAACATTACTATTGTTGTTGTTCTTATCCGAATGGCAGCATTTATTTGTTTGATTATTATTATCTATTTTAAGACATTCACAATTGTCACGTTGTTTTTGAATGGTTGCTTGATTTTCTGGCATCTTTTTTTTCTTTGTTTTTGTTCGGTCGTATCACAAAAATGATGTTGATGGTGGCAAACGAAATAATTATCTTTTGGTCCTCGTTATAATTATTCTTATGCTGATGAAAATGGATAATGGGATAACAGAAAACAAAACAATGGTTTTTTTCTCGTTACTAACGATTCTTTTTTTTCTTCTTTCTTTAGGTTTTTTGAATAATTTTCTCTTGAGATAGAATGCGATCGTGTGTGAATAATCCTACAATAATAATGTTGATTATGGTTGTGATATGAGCAACAAGTTCAGATGATGTAAAGAAAACAAGACCACCGAAATGATGAAAAAAAATGATAATGGATTTTCAACGATGAACGAGATATTGCTCTCTCACTGAAACAAACAGAAACATTAAATTTCTAATAATAAAAATGATGAGAAAATAATTAATTGACACGAATTCTTTTTCTTCACTGCTTTATTGTTGATTTTAATGACGACGACGACGACGACGAAGAAGAATGGTTATGGTTGATTATCCTAAATGAAATATGGAAATGTTAAGTGAATCATCGAACCATTCGAAAATAAAAAAAAATTCAAATGACGAACAAAAAAAAATTTTCAATCACTTTATAAATATACACATCACACAACCCGAAATAATAAGGGTAAATTGATAAATAAACGAAACGTTTTTGTTTCTGTTTTTTTTTCATTGATTATCAAATCGAATCGAATGATTTTCTCATATTTATCTCGATGGATGTTTTGCCAATTTTGTTTCCATTCAAAATATATCAAATCATGAAAAACCATTATTTACATTCACACACACACACACACAATTATCAATCAAACAATGTTGATGTGTGTGTGTGTATGATGGCATCATCATGATCAAAACAAAACAAAAAAGTACAAAAAAAAGTCTGAAAAGTTCCTATATTTCAAATATTGTGGTTTTTTTTTTCGTTTTCAATTTTTATTCACTGAATTATAAGACAAAACGGAGATAAGAATGGGCAAGTAAAATCATCATCATCTCAACTGGTAATCTCCGAGGATGGTTTCATTCAGATTTGATAAGAATATATATTTTTTGAATAAAGACATCATAATCATGTCATTTTTTTTTTTTTTTTTTTTGACATTACAATGCAAATTGTAATGAATTGAATTTGAATGGATTGACACATACTGCTTTGCAGTCCGGCACCGGTTTACTTTTTTTTTTATTTAATGTAATTAGTGTCACATGTTAATCAAGTTTCTCATCATCATCATTAGATCATGTGGTTGATAATAATAATAATAATAACGGGATGAATGGAGCAAATATTTAAATCGGGTAAATTATCTCCCAGTGATTATGATGAAAAAAAAAACAAAAATTCATTTTGAATATCCAACCAAGAAAAAAACGAGAGAGAGAGAAATCGGATCAATTTTTTTTGCATTCGTTCAAAAAAAACGATTAATTAACCAGAAAAAAAATGATTTATTTTCGACCAGTAAAATGTGATTTTTTGAGTGGCAAGAAAGAAATTTTTTTTTTTTTTTTTGAAAACTCAAACGAATTTAATTAACTTGAAATGGCCATTTGATTTTTTTTTTTTTTTTTTTGAGAATAATTTCCAATATGACAAGAAAACGAGGACGAAATTATTTTGTTTGTTTGTTTTTTTTTGTCCCATAAGATGAAATTAGTGTTTTCAAAAAAAAAAATTGAATCACAGATGATGACAATCAATTGATGGATGAATCGATCATGTGATCATTAAATGGTATGGCGATGATCAAATTATTATGGCTGCATAGTGAAAAAAAAACATCAACAGAAGCCATCATTATCATCATCATCATCATCATCAATACAAACATTTTTGTTTGATGATTGTTAAATTTCAATCATCAAAATTTCTTTTTGCAAGCTGATAATTTTTTTCATTTGATTTGATCATCGCTATGAATTTCAAATAATTCAACCACCCACCTCCCATATCTATAGCATGAAAAAAAATAATAATGTGGTGGCATCTTTATCCTTTTTCAACAAATTGATTGATTGATTAATCGATTGATCTCAATTATTCATTTCTTATCATTCATATGTATGCAATATTTACTGGTAATCAATATCAATATATCGATTTTAATGGTGGTAAAATATACTGATCAAATAACCGTAATTGTTGGCAAGCAATAAATGCAATTTTATCCGGAAGTACAAAGATCAAAAAAAAGAATGAAAAAATTTTTTATTTCAATTTTTCAACTGTTCAATTGGATCGAGATGTTCGGGTTGAAATAGAAAAAAGATGCTAATGCAAAATAGTTGAAAATTTCAACATCATCATTTGTTGATGAGTAAAACAAATGACCAGATTTCATCGATAAAAATTGTTTCAGCAACACACATTCCATAAAAATCATTCCATCATGGAAAATCATTCCATTTTTAAATCTAATCGTTGTTGTGTGATAATAACCGGTGCAAGTAAAGGATTCGGTCGTATTTTGGCTAAAAAATTTGCCCATTCTTTTTTCAATCAATTCTCAAATGATAAAGAATCGATTCTGAAATTTATATTAATCGCACGTAATGAAAATGAACTTGATTCACTTGCCAATGAGCTTAGATCAATTGATTCAAGATGTAATATGGTGACCAAAATAGTAACCGATCTTGCCGAGACAAAAGCAATCGATGATATAAACAAAGAATTCGAACAAAATCTAAATAATAACCTGTCCAAACCGTATGGCCATTATATATTGATTCATAATGCTGGATCGATTGGAAAAACTACTGAACTATGTGACACAGTCACTGTCAATGATGCTGCTAAACGTCATGTTTATTATCGTTTGAATCTCTATTCAATTATGGAAATGACCAGTGTTTTTCTTCGTCAAATCAAAACTCATCATTGCCATATCATTAACGTATCATCATTGGCTGCCATTAAACCGATGCCAGGATTGTTGGATTATTGTGTTGGAAAAGCAGCAAGAGAAGCTTATTTTAAACAGTTAGCAAATGAATTAATCACCACAAAACAGTCGAAAACAAAATATCGAATATTAAACTATGCACCAGGACCATTGGATACAGAAATGTTTCGTCAGCTACAACAAGAATCAACACTTCAAAAACAATTTCAAGAGACAATACCGCTCAAGCCAGAAGATTCAGCAAATAAATTGCTACAGATTTTGTATAAAGATGAATTTGCCGATGCTGCTCATGTCGATTATTATGATTGATTGATTGAATTTATTTCTTACAAAAATTGCATAATTAAATTAATTGTAGACAACATAACTATCAACTACTACTATTAGCCATTCTTTTCTGTTGCTGTTGGTTTTGTTCACATTTATCAAGATCTTTTGGAATATATGTCAGACCATGAAATGCAACAATGGTCGGTATAATCAATAGTTTTCGAAATAATTGTGGATTCGTTTTTTTCACCTTGATTGACAATAACAGATATGGCAAAGAAAATCCTAAAGTTGGAATGAAATTATTGATTGATGAATTGTTTTTTTTTATTTTGGACAAAAATAAACTTACCTATTGTAAAATATGCCAATCCTTTGGCATAACATTTAATTTTACATTCCGAAATCATATTTTTTGGTCAAATTGTTTATAACAAATAAAAAAAGAATTTTAACCTCTCATCATGTGTTTGTGTGTGTTCCACAGACGAAACGAGCGACGACCAACGAATCGATATATCGATAGTCGTTTCGATAGTAATATAGCTGTGGCTTTCTGCAGGTGAATTTATCAATTTTAATTTTTCATATTTTTCGGCACCGTTCATAAAAATATCTTACTGTTCATGAAATAATACAAGAAAAATTTATTTACACGTTACATGATTGCATTTTTTACTTTCAATGTATTAATCAGCCTCAATTTAAATGCCCTCGCTTCCTCATTATATAACCTCCTCCCAACGTGTATCTTTCGCTGTACATTATCACCCACGATTGAGGTTACAAATTTCTTACAGTGTAGAAAGAACATCGGGTTTAATCGACTTCCTTTCTAGCAGGGAATAGAAAATGTTGTATATTTAGTGTAATTATGAAACGTGTATTAGAACTTCAATGTTCGAATGTTCTTAGAACATTATTATATCATATATATTATATTATATTTATTGTATTGAACCTATGAAATGAAAACTCACTCGATTTTTAGTGTTTAAGCAAAACACATCGTGTTCATATTTTTCTTGTGTGATTGTAACTTATTAAATTTTTATCAGAAAATCCATAACAAGCAAAAATCCAGCATGGTGAAAACGTGGCATGAAGCTGATCAGTCCAATACATTATGTGCCCGATCTCTGGTTGTAATAAATTTTTTTTTTATAAAAAATGGATGTGTAAAACAGAATCAGAATCACTACCATCTAGACGATTAATGCAACCCAAGAAAGATGGGAAAATTCTGACATGTCAGTGGCGAAAATGTCATGAAAAATTTAAAAAAATGTGTAAATATATTCATCATGAATATTTCAAAGGTTCTTTCCAGACATTAAAGACAGGAAGAAGTGCCGTTTTATTCCAACATATATACAAACGCAATTCCTCTCTGGTCACGGAAGATTCGCTTCCTACCTCAAAAGATTTAAAATTCAAGAAGACGGGAACTGTTGGTGTGGTGAAAGCCAAACCCCAGAACATTTATTACTACAGCATCTGAGAGAAGCGTAGCCGAAGGAAGGATGTGCAAGGAACTAACATCAATCAGTATATCTCCAAAAGACTTGCCCCACTGGCTGGACCTCATGGAAGCTATCTACAAAAGGCTCTAAAACACTACTATATCTCCCGCGTTTTATTTTATCTTACTTTTTATTCTTTTGATTTTATTTTATTTCATTTTTTTTCTTTTCTTTATTTTTATTTTTTTTTTTTTTACTTATCTTCCTTTGTATTTTCCTTTTCTACATTTTGTCTCTTTTCACTTTTTGTAAACTTTTCTACTCACTCTCCCCTAGTCGTACCCGACTAGTTCTAGGGGACAAATTAAAAATAAAAATCAAATGCATCATTAATTTATATGAGAAAAAAATGAATTATCAAGGGAATGTGTGGTTCGTTTGTATTAGTTTGTATTTTTCTTAATAGAAATTAAGAAAAAATTACTGAATCTTTGATAGACAAAAATAAGGCAGGCAATTTGTAGGAAAAACATGGAAACCAATTTCATTGATGAACTTATCCATATCCATTCCTTATTGTGTATTTGAATAATAATAATGAGAATAAAGCATAATCTATCTATTTGCAACACTATCCAAAACATTATTAACGCTCTTAATATCACATTTGGATCTATCCACAACAACCAAACATTGGACATAATTGAACGTTTAAATTGTGTGCTCTTTATCATTAAGCAGTTTGTCGACATATCAACAAACAATGTATAAACCGAGTATTCAAGAAAAAACCATCAAGAATTCCTTTCAATATACGAGCTTCTTTGATGATCATTTTTGATAATTCGGCCATCACATATTATCATCAAGCGATTTTCACAATCAAACAATTTTCTTGCAGCTGGTCAATTTTCTTGTTTGTTTGTTTACGATTGCTCTTGACAAAGAGCCACATCCAAATCGAGCTGGTAAAACATCTTCAAATGATTTCAATACCGATTGAATATATACTGAAACTTGCGATTCTGATTTCTGAATGTTTGCAGCAATCACTCTTGCTACGGTACGTTGTTTATGAACGATGTAACAAAGTAATAAAAATTGTATGTTCGGTGAACTAATAACACGTGTGTGTGTGAGTTCTTGTCGTGAAATGATTTGTGCTCTGTTTTTTTTTGTAATCGGTATGAAATTGTATATATTTATTTTAATATTTCTCATTCTTAATTTATAAATTTCAGTAATAAAGATTACAAATTGTTGTTGTAACACACTCTATTTGAATCTCCGGTTCTCAATTTATTGAGAAATACGAACAACGCTTCGATTTTAGTTCGATTTCCTTTCAGTACAAAGATTCGTCGCTTCTATTGGAATGATTAAGTGGGGTACGGACCACGAACCAATAAGATTCGAGTACCTTGTTTTTTAATTAACCGCCAAAACTCTCCAATTCTATTGGTTAATGCTCTGTACACCACTTTTGTCTTCTGGAAACTTTTCTACTATTTCAAGCAAGGACAAACTGGGCCTGATACATGAGTAGCACATGGCCCACGTGAAAGGCAGATTGAGCTGGTTATCAACGTGAGGCGTGGTCTTAACCAATTGGCAGTTGGACGGTCCAAGAAATTGTATAAATATTCGGAGAAAACACACGATCATCACCATTATTCACGATCATTCTTGCTTGTTCGTCATTATCGTCATTATTGTTTAATTACCATTATTGTCGATTATTTTTTGCAAGTTGCTCGTCATCATTACTATTTTCAACATTACATACTTTTTTTTTGTTTACATTGAATTTTTTTTCTTTTTTTTCTAATTCAAAAATGGCATCAACACATAATCAACAACAAACTACACAACACTTATTACAAATAATACAACAACAACAACAAACATTACAACAACAACAACAAACATTACAACAAACATTACAACAACAACAACAAACTACACAACACCTAACACAAATAATACAACAACAAGAGAACACAATACAACAACTAACACAACAACAACAACCACAACAAGAATTGATACAACAACTAACACAACAACAAGAATTGATACAACAACTAAAACAACAACTACAACAAAAACAACAAATGATACAACAACTAACACAACAACTACAACAACGAAACGATGTTGACGATGGTGGTCCGATGCCGGAAGCAGCCGATGTCGATGATTATGGTCCTATGCCAGAAGCAGCCGATGTCGATGATTATGGTCCTATGCCAGAAGCAGCCGATGTCGATGATTATGGTCCTATGCCAGAAGCAGCCGATGTCGATGATTATGGTCCGGTGCCAGAAGCAGCCGATGTCGATGATTATGGTCCGGTGCCAGAAGCAGCCGATGTCGATGATGGTGGTCCGGTGCCGGAAGCAGCCGATGTCGACGATGGTGGTCCGGTGCCGGAAGCAGCCGATGTCGATGATGACAATGCAAGCATTGTCATTGAAGACATTGATGAAGATTCTTCTTCTTCAAGTTCGGCAACCTCTGCAATTTCGCAGATACCATCTTTACCATCAGTAACACCATCACCATCACCACAATCTTCACCAACACCATCAACATCACAACCATCACCAACATCATCACGACCACAAACACGAACACGACCACAACCCAAGCAATAAAAAAAATTGTAAACAAGAATTATTAAATTTGTATAAAAAAAATATAAAATAAAAAAACATTTTTATTGAACTTAACGATGATGCGTGTTCAAGTGTGTGTGTGTGTGTGTGTGAATGCGGACTCGGAATTATCTTTTGAAAGCTGCTTGTTTGTGTTGCCGATTTGGGGCGCGAGGTTCTTGCAAAAATGTTGATTACTTTGCAAATTGTCATTCGATGATGGCCAATTTATTTGTTGATTATCTTCATGTTGCCCAGCATCGTTTGAATTGGAATTTAACAACATTATTCAATGCCATTTTATCAACTTTTCGTCATTTCCGTATGTCATCTGAAAGAAAGAAAGAAAAACGTTAAGCAATGAGATAAAATGATCCAAGATGATGATGAGGATAATGATGGCATAACCCCACATGATTGATATGAATAAATATTCACCATAATTAGCAGCAGCTTCTGTAGTCGGAATTGCTGCATATGATTCTATATTATCGTGATGATAATCAGGTATATGACCACCACAACCACCAACCAACGCTAACCAACACCAGTTTGGCTGTGAAATCGTATAAATTTCCAAGACAACGTCACAATCATCATCATTATTGTCTTTTTTTGCAGTTTGGTCATTGTCATTATTTTCAACATTATTATTTTTGACATTTATTTTTTTTAATATTTAGTAAGTATCCGTTTCCGTAGCTGAAGAAAGCTATGCATAACAAGTATTTTTTTGAATTTTAAAAACTAATCAATTCACTCAAAATACTAACCAATTAAATTTATCTCTTTTATTTATACTCAATTGATATTTATTTTTTTACTCAATTTAGAAACATGGATCTCAACCAACAACAACAACAAATTATACAACAACAACAACAATTTACACAACTAATACAAACACCACCACCACAACCACAAACACCACTGATGTATATTTAGTGTGATAATGAAACGTATTTTAGAACTTGATTATTCGATAATTCGAATAATATATCGCTTTTATTGTATTTAATATTATACTTTTGAAAAATAAAATTTATTGGATGGTTATACGTTGTAATGAACACATAGTGTTGTTTTATTTTTTTGAGTTTGTGTATCACAACCATCATCATCTTCATCATCATCCCCATCTGGACGATCCTTATTACCGAATTTTGATGATGATGGTAAAATTCTTTGTCCATGGCCACGGTGCGGAAAAAAATTCCCTGAGATGTGGAAGTATAAAGAACACCAAAATACCTACCATCTAGGTCGAAAGATTAAGTGCCGGGGGACAAGAACCATTATCACCACCACGACCGCGACGAGGACAAGAACCATTATCACCACCACGACCACGACGAGAACAAGAACCATTATCAACATTATCAACATTATCATCACCATCTGAATCTGAATCACTACCATCTAGACGATTAATGCAACCCAAGAAAGATGGGAAAATTCTGACATGTCAGTGGCGAAAATGTCATGAAAAATTTAAAAAAATGTGTAAATATATTCATCACGAATATTTTAAACACCAAAAAAAAAAATTGAAATGTGCCAGTTGTGGAAGAAAATTCACATCAAAATCAGGTTTATACAAACATAAAAAAAACCATGAAAAAAATAAGCCACCCCAACCACCATCACCACCACCACGACGAGGACAAGAACCGCAAGCACCACCACGACGAGGACAAGAACCATAAACACCACCACGACGAGGACAAGAACCATTATCACCACCACAACGAGGACAAGAACCACAAACACCACCACGACCACGACGAGGACAATTCGATGATAATGACGAATTATCCAAACATCAAAATCGAGGACAGGAATTGAAGTGGGGTCCATCACAACCACATAAAAAAATCATTGGCTGAAAACACCGATTTGGACATACTCAGAAACCGCGGCCACTTCCGTCTTGAGGAGTATGCGGCATTTAACCTTATTAATTAGTTGACCAACAAAGTTTTTCTTCTCAACCGTTGCACGAACGTTACTATATTTCTATTTTTCTTATGTAAAAATAAAAATTGCAAACAATCATTTTATTCAAAATATATAATCATCGATCGATAATAATGAAAAAGTTATGGCAAGCAATATACAAATTTACAGAAAATGAATTGAAATTGTAATGAAATTATAGTATAAACATAAACATGAATTGTCATCATTGTAAATTTTGTGACGAATTGCAATCATAGTCAATGATGCTTACAAACATCTCATCTCTTTGTTGATTGACATTCGACGATTTTCGATTATATTTACGATAATAGTATATATAAAACATTATTGCCAGTGAAAAGAATATTATTCCAAGTATAGAAATGAAAATTGGTAACGAATTTTTTTCCATCGAATGCAGTAGATAATAATTTGATTCATGAGATTTCGATGATGAAACAATTTCGAATTTGGTAGAATTTTCAAAATATAATGGTGATGGAGACGTAAACGTTTGATTTGCCATTTGATCCAATGATGAAATCGAATTTATCTGCAATACAATAATAAGAAAAAGTTTTGACAAACAAATATTTATCATCGAGTTGATTGATTGAATTGAATTGAATTGTCTCGAAACAAAATTTGGAAAAACGCAAAAAGTTCTTTTGGAGAACAATGAGCAACACACCAAAAGGAAGCGTACCATAGATAGTGCTATAATTTTCTAGTTTGTTTAATAAAAGCGTCGATAGAGGGCAGCATATTTGATTCACATCAATGTTTTTCGATTTTTTTATTCGGACACTGAAAATTTTTTTTGTTTTGTTTTTGCTGCTTGACTAAACTATTGCTTGAACCGTAATAATAAAAAAGAAAAACTTTGATGACAAAAAAAAATCGAAAACAACATCTTCAGAAGCTCATTGTTTTGTAATCATTACATTAACAACAATATATGAAAATCATTTAATAAAGTATTTATTCATTTTTATGTGTTTAATAAATATTTTAAAGATATGAACTGGCTACCAAAACAAGGTCACGTTTTATCAATTTGCTTGCTTCCGAGAATTTGTTCTCCAAATCAATGTTACCAATCACTTTTGATGCTTGAAATATTCATGATGGATATATCCACACATATTTTTGAATTTTCTTTCTGAACACTGCAGCATAATTCAGTGAAAAATCGTTATCTATGAATGGTACAAGAGCCGAGCGCGCTCAACGAATTTCGCGCCAACAAGAAAAACAAAAGACAGACACACACACACACATGAATCTATACCTTTGATGTTTTTCTTTTTCTTTCCACAAATCGTTCTTTTTCAATAAAGTCAATTACAAAACATTCGTGTTCGAGTTCACATTCCTGTCCAAAAGATTATGAGACTGAGTTGGTGATCAGAAAATATCATCAATATCGAGCAATCATTTTTTCAAAGTTTTTTCATTCGTGTCTGAATTTCAATCCGTGTGTCAACCACAACAAACAGTTTCATCATGAGTGCTAACGAAGAAAATTTGGCTGGGTTGTTATCACAAAGAAAATCTTTCCGATCAGCAATTACAAGGGCGTACAATCAATTGAAATCAAATGGTGCAATGCCATCGTTGGAGTCAGCAGCCACGCTTCAATCTGAATACGCGGAAATTACGTTACAATTGGCGGATTTGAATCATGAAGATGACAGTGATTATATGGAAAAGATTAATCTCGTCATTGATTTCATATCTCTATATCATAGTGTTGATCGTCAAACATCGCGGCAAACAATGTCGTTGACAGCTAGAAATCGATGTCAAGTGAAGATCGAACAATTGGACAAACTGGTAGAGAAATTTCCTACTAGAAATGGATTATTGGATGATCTACATGAGAAATTGGAAAATATCGTCTAAGTTGGATCGAATCGACTAGTCTGATCGTCAATGTCATCGGCACATATTATATATTATTTTATTTAGCACATTTAAAATCATTATCATAATCTATTTTACGCAGTGCTTTTTCTTTGTGTGCCGCCAAATTTTGAGAAGCAATGTCATGCTTTCACCATTAGCAGTAGTCACGACTCCTAGTCCTAGTATATCATCGAGATTTCAAAGTGTTCATTCCGATCATGCTAGTCAAACGGCAAACGGTCATTCATTCACTGCATTACATCGTCAAAATGTCACGTTCGGGTTTGGTAATCGACCAACGCCACCGATTATAGATACTTTGCCAAACCATGAGGACATTCAATCACAAAACGGGTTTCAGATTCAGCAACCCCTTCTTCAAACATCACCATTGGTATCATATCAACAACCATATTTCACAGGCAACAATATGTTCAATCCACAGCAACAACCATATCAAGTGCCAAACAATATGTTCAATCCACAGCAACAACCATATCAAGTGCCAAACAATATGTTCAATCCACAGCAACAACCATATCGAGTGCCAAACAATATCCAAAATGAAGTGAATCCGTACGTTTCAACGGATATCAAAATAAAATCCGAAGAGGTACAAAAATTTGATGGTACAGCTGCAAATTGGCCCGATTTCAAAGATGCAGTTGAGGAACTAATCATCAACAATAAGCAAGTACCAACCCTAGGATCAAAGTTTCGTCGACTTATGAAATTGCTTCCACCGTTGGCACAAAAAAGAATCCGTGGTGAAAAGTCTAATCCGGATTTTCAACGAATTCTGAATGTCTTGGATGAAATTTATGGTTCACCCGCTCTGGTCATGAAAGAGTTGGGTCAAAATATACAATCATTGCCATTTTTACGACTGGATTCACATCATAGTTATTTCACAAAATTCTATGAAACGATGGTAGATATTAAAGGAATCGATTTAAATGAAGGCGACAGTCGTACGATAATAGGTAAAATTCTCGGAAAAATGGATCCCGAACACCGACGAAGAGCATTTCATAGTCCGAGTCAATCAATAACAGATGAAAAGAAGAGAATCGACAAGTTATATGAATACTTTCGACAGATTACTCAAGACGACTTATTGATCAATCAAATGTCCAACATTGGTGTTAATCGTCAACAACAAGGCAATGAGTCCAAATTTAATAACAAATTTAATCGTCAGAGTGATCAAAGAAAAACATTGGCAGCAACATCGAGTGATAACGGAAGTACATCCGACTACAAACCAAAGTGCATTTTTTGTGGTCAATTCCATCTTCATATACATTGTCCCATGTCGTATGACCAAAAGATGCTGGTGCTAAATAAAGAGAAACGTTGCTACCGCTGTGCCGGAAAAGGCCACGGCACACGAGATTGTACCAGAATCTTTAAATGCAACAAGTGTGGATCAAATCATCAGTCATATTTGTGTAAAGGTACCGCAAGTGGTAGCCAACATCCATCAAATCAAACTGCGGTAAAAACATTGATGACTTCTGAAAATCAACCGAGTACTTCCTCAGAACAGCCAGTACAAAACGATGAAACCGTCACATCCGCGTTGGCACGCTCAGAAAGTGCATCACAATATTTACAAACATTGACCACTGTAATCAACGGGACCAAAACCCGCGTTATCTTCGACAGCGGTTCTGAAATTTCCTTCATCACGAATAAATTGGTTAACAGATTGAATCTCCCGAGAATCAAAAATAAACCAATCTGTGTTAATGGTTACGGCGGACAACGTGGCCGCTACATTGGTCATTATTATACCACACTTCAATTACCGGATCGTGATGGATCGTTGAGTGAATTCAAACTTGTAGTCGATGATACAGTGTCACATTTCAATTTCAACGTTCTACCTACAACTGTTCAAAGCCAAGTGAACGACGAATACAATATCGATTTCAAAGACGAGGATATACGTGTCGATATTCTGTTTGGTAACAACGATAAAAATCGTCTAAAGTGTCTTGTTGCCGATAAAGTATACAACAATTCGTTGCTTATTGGTAAAACGTCATTGGGATACATCGTACATGGTCGATCGGATGATTATCGTTCAAACATCGTTGCTTGTCTATCGGAAATACATGATCCACCAATCGATATGTTAATCAATCCAGAGGATGAACGTGCAATGCAGGAATTTATTAACGGGTTCATCAAGGATGGTATTCTTTACGACACAAATGAACGAATCTACAGAATAAAATTTCCGTTTATTAGCAACAGTGTAGTCAATTCGAACTTCAACAATGCTAAACGATTATTGGTTTCTAAAAAATCATCGCTGTCCAATGCCGAATTCAACGACTACAACGATCTAATAAAGGAATTGGAAACCAATAAAATTGTCGTAAAGTGCAATATTCAACCAAACGAGGGTTATCATATGCCCCACTCAGTGGTGGTCCGAAAATTGGATTCGGAAAAAACGACAACTAAGAAACGTTTGGTATTTAACGCATCCAACGGCAACAACAATTTGAACCAAGCTATATTCAAAGGAATTACAACTTGGTGCTTGCCGCGATCGTTACTTCATTTTCGCCTACGAAACATTGCAATCATAGCAGATATTAAAGCTGCTTTCCACAACATACACATCCAATCCGATCATCAGAAGTATGTAAAGTTTTTGTGGTACGACAATAATAAAAATGATATCGAGTGTTACAAGTTTCTTCGACTTCCATTTGGCCTAACATCATCGCCATTCATTTTAAACGTAGTCATCGATCATCACATTAAAAAATACAAAACAAATTTCCAGAAATTGTAGCTGCCATCAACTCAAACTTGTACGTGGATGACTTGGTCCATTCGGTAAATAGCAAAGCCGAAGCGATTAAGTTTCATAATGTCAGTTCCGAGATTTTCAAAGACGCTTCGATGCAACTAAGGAAGTGGCAATGTTCCGATTCCGATATCGACAATTTGTGGTCTGACGGTTTGGGTGAAGACAAAGTTCTCGGCGTAATATGGCATAAAAATGACGACACCATCAAAATATCATTTCCATTGTTCAATTTTTCCAATGATATCACTAAGAGGTCATTGTTATCAACCTTGGCATCCATTTACGACCCCATGGGATTACTTTTGCCGTCCACCATTCAACTTAAATTTTTCATTAGCGAACTATGGACGCGTAAAATTGATTGGGACGATTTATTGCCGCCAGAATTACATGGCCAAGCTCGTAGAATCTTGACCGACATCAACAAATTGAAAAGTTTCAAATTATCAAGAAAGCTGTTCAACGAAACGTCGACCGAATATGATATGATAATTTTTTGTGACGCCAGTAAAAAAGCAATCGGAGTAGCAGTGTATCTTTCAAACGGTGTTGAAGCAACATATATATTCGGAAAATCAAAGATGCTAAAACCACGTAAAATTGTTACGGGAGAATTATTGGCATTATCTGCTGGCGCTAATCTTGGAAGCGCATTGAAATCCATGTTGCCAATCAACAAAATCATAGTTCTGTCTGATTCAAAACCAAACGTCGATCGATTAACCACGGATATCAACAAATTCCCACAATGCGTCGCCGTCCATTTGTACAACATTCGATCAAAAATCGACGCTGTTCATTGGGTATCAGGTAAACAGAATCCAAGTGACGCACTCACCCGTGGAGTATCATTTGAACAACTCAACAAATTGCATAGTCTTGATCAGAAATTTCTTGAGGAAATTTATCGTGATTCTCATCAGTTTTCTTCTCTCACCGTAAAAATTGAAAACCCCTTGACAATCAATATCGACGTCAATCAGTCGCTTTCGTATAATGAATGGATACAGCTGATCCAGCAACATATCAACGATGGAGATGACGATCCATTAACAGTCTTGATCAAACTGAACCAACAAAGGTTTCTTAGCGACTTAGATCATTTTCAGAATACGTTCGTCGACGAATCGGGCATAATACGGTGTAGCACCAGACTCGATAATTCAGATCTCGATTATGATTGCAAAAATCCAATCTTCGTACCGAATTGTCCTTTTTTGCTGTCACTATTGTATGAAATACACGAGAAGGTTGGTCACGGATCTGAATACAGAACCATGACTGAGTTCCGGGAAACTTATTATACACCGAAACTTCGACAAAAGGCGAAAAAGGTGATTAGCCGATGTAACATCTGTCGAATAAACAAAGCAAAACCATTGACGGTACCAAATGGAATTCCTCCTGCAAGCCGAGTCACCAGAAGTGTACCGTTTAATACGACCGGCGTGGACATGTTCGAGATTCGTCATCCGAATAAATTGTATGGGCTATTATTCACATGTTTCGTAACCAGGGCCATACATTTGGAGCCAGTTGAAAATGCATCCGCTTCAGAGGTGCTCAAAGCCTTAAGAAATTTTGCAGCGTTGAGAAATTGTCCTTCAGTAATATTCTCAGACAATGGAACAAATTTCAAGAAACTGGGAAAGCTGCTTAATCAATGTCTGGATCAAATTAAAATAGAGTGGCATTTTATTACACCATATAGCCCTCATCGTGGCGGAATTTGGGAGTCATTGATCAAGACCACAAAGAGAGCTATGAAGTCAATTGTTTGGAAAAAAGATCTAAATTCTGAAAATTTTCGCACGATTCTTTACGAAATTACCGCTATCGTCAACTCTCGACCAATTGCAGACATGAATGGTTCAATATTGACCCCAAATAAACTGATCTATGGTACCGAAATCCGTAAACCACCACAACCACCATTCAAATCAGATGTGAAAATGGATCTATTGACGGAATGGAGAAGCAAACAAAGAAATGTAAATGCGGCATGGAAAGTCTGGAAAGACTTGTATCTGAAACAATTACGACATTTCCAACGTAACAAATCAAAATATGAATATCTCAACATCGGTGACCGCGTATTGATAAAAGATCATTATCAAAACCGTGAAAAATGGCCGATTGGCGAAATAATCGAAACCGTACCGGATTGTAAAGGAATAATTCGCACATATCGTATCAAAATTGGTAACGAAAAAATAACCAGAAGCAACCGGGACGTTTTTCCTCTAGAAGGGGGAAAACTTGCAGCATAATTCAGTGAAAAATCGTTATCTATGAATGGTACAAGAGCCGAGCGCGCTCAACGAATTTCGCGCCAACAAAAAAAAAAAAAAAAAAGACAGACACACACACACATGAATCTATACCTTTGATGTTTTTCTTTTTCTTTCCACAAATCGTTCTTTTTCAATAAAGTCAATTACAAAACATTCGTGTTCGAGTTCACATTCCTGTCCAAACACTTTCTCCACTGACATTTTAAAATTTTCCCATCTTTTTGGGGTGGTATGAATGTTAATGCCCTTTGGCATTTGATATTAACCCATTAATGCCCAATGGAGGAACCTAATGGTCATTTTGGTAAATCCAATTTTCCTACGAAATCGAAGGTTACGAGAATTGATATTCGATTCGAACCTACGTTCCCAATGGAATTTGGATTACCATGACAACATTGGTTTTTGGTTATTTAAATTTAAAAATAACCCAATTTCATCATCATCCGTTTATTCTAGAATAACGGCCTTATTAGTGGGATTTTGTTATTTCAATTTTTAACAAAATTGCATTTTTTTTCTCATCATCATCATAATTGCACTGTGTATAAACTTTGCATTTAATGCGGCGAAGCTGAGCCGGCTTGTTTAATAAAGCCGTCCATAGAGGGCAGCATATTTGATTTACATCAATGTTTTTCGATTTTTTTTTCGGACACTGAAAATTTTTTTGTTTTCTTTTGCTGCTTGACTATATTTATTGAACCGTAATAATAAAAAAGAAAAACTTTGATGACAAAAAAACAACATCTTCAGAAGCTCTAATGTGCAAAAAATCTTTCTCAATTGCCACCAAGATATAGTGGTCGATACAACGATCGTTTTGTTTTTGGTTACATCAAAACATGTAAAAGCGAGAGAAAAAATCATTGCGACCGGCTAACTTGACCCTAATCGAGACAAGAAGACAAAAAAGAATCATTTTCGGGTTCAATATTTTTCTTTTTCGTTTGTCTGGTATATTTATCGTCCTTCAACATCATTTTTCCATTGCCGTGAAATGAAAAATATAATAAATCACAAGTAAATCGTGAATGAACTAAACAAGATCTGTTTATGGATCTATGGCCATTTTCAGTGTCAATAACTATCTATTTATCTGTGTTTGTACCATAGTCAATGTTTTTGTTGTGTCTCTATTGGCCCGAATCGTTTACAATACACACAAACATCTGATTTTATCTATCAATGGTGGCTATTCGTTGATAAGAAAAAAATAAAGAAGAAGAAACGAAAACGAAATTCTCTAAGCAAAGAAAAGCTGAAAATGAAATTAATGATTCTTTTTTCCAATTTTTTTTTTCATCATCCAGCATTTTACGATGAGAAAAGAATCGTTTTTCTTATTGTAATAGTTGGATCCACAAACCAGAAAAAAAAGAAAGAAAAAAACCCGTAGACGAATTTTCAAACACAACATTCGATTCGATTGAAATTGGAGAAAAAAAGGTTCGTAATATTTTGTTTGCTTATCATCAAACTGATCTTTTGTTTTTTTTCGTTTTCTTTATCAGAAATTCGCAATGTGATCGTCATCATCGTTGTTATATGATTCGTGATGATTGAAAATTAATAGATTTACTTCGATAATCGTCATCATCAGTGTCATCATTTTTTTATCATCTTTAAAAAAATCATCACTACTAAACAACCATATCTATACATTTTGCAAAGAGTTTCATTTCACTTTTTTTTCCATTTTGTTCGTTCGGGTTTCAAATGGATAAAATATTGTCACAGAAAAAAAATAATAATCATCATCATCAAACGAAGAGACAACAACAACAAAAGATAAATGAAAAATTCTTTTCCCGAATCAGAAAAAAAACAAAAAAAAGTTTTAATTATCTTTCTTGACAGCATTTTTTTTTTTAAATGATGAAATGATTTTTTTGCCAAGTTATATAATATTCTCTTGTTATGCGTATGCTTTTTTAAAGAATTTTCCCTTTTTTTCAACGCATATTCTGGCCATTGAAACAAACAAATACGAAAACTGAATAGTAAAAATACACACACACACACACACACACGAATGACCAATTTAAAAATAGTAGATTGGTGTTCGATAATTAGATTCGATATCCAACTGCTACTTAAACAATTGGCGTTTACGCCTTTCTGAATTAGTTTTAGAATTGCCTCGAACCTGCCTGTTATTTGTTTATCGTAATAAAATACAACTAAATGAATAAAATTTGACAATTTCAACTTACGTGTAGTTGGTTAAAAATAACAACATTTTTTATTTATAAAAAAATAAATATTCAAAATCGTTTACAGATACAGATAGATATAAAGCGTGGATAAATAAATAAAATGATGAATATTTGGCCCAGATTCTTTCTTTCATTCGAAAATCTTAGCATCCGATATTCTTTTTGGCCACTTTAATTCTTTCTAATTTACAAACGATAAAAATCGATACGAATATAGCACTAAATAAAAACGAAATAGCCGTAGCAAGAGCATAGATAAAATATGTGCTTGAAAAACATAGGCCATATACAACAGCTTCTGGTTTGCCTTCAAATACAGGCATCATATCCTGTGATATGTTCGGAGCAAATGATAGATCTAATGTGGTTACAACTTGAAATCCTTTTTTCAATCCAATCTCGCCCTGGTTATCATTGATATAACGACGACTACGATATAGACGACCTCCATTGGATGAATGAGACGGCGGTGATGATGGAATAGCTGAATTGAGTAATAATTCAAAATTATCATTCGGTATATTCATCATCATCGATGTTGATGGTAATGATGGTTGTTGACGTTTTTGTTGAAAATAATTTGATAATATCTGTGGTATGTATTTTTTATTACCACCACCACCACCACCACCATTATTATTGTTTCCATTGCCAAATAATTTTAATGAATTGAATGGATTCAATAATAATGAACCAAATCCATTCGATTTGGATGGATGCTGTTGATGAATTGGTGGTGTCAGCGGTCCCATTGTCAATGGCATTGGCATCGAATAAATTGGACTCAATGGGATAGTCATAACCTGTGCAACAGGTTCACCAAGATTCATATTTCTCATAGGAATTGGATAAGGTTTTTGTGGCGCTGGTGGACGAATAATTTTTTCTTTGGAATATCAATCATTGGTTTAGGTGTAGGATGTCTAGGTTGTTGATGTTGATGATTGTTATGTGATGATATTATTGGATTCGGTGTAGATTCCATTATTGTTTCGACTTGATAATCATTATGAATAATTTTATCTTTATTGGCGTCAACATTATGAAGATAATCGGCAATAATATCCAAATAATTTCGTTTACCATTTTCATCATCATCATCAATTAAATGTACTGGCTGAACATTTTTATTATCATTAATAATATCTGCAGGCAAATGAACATTTGTAGAGACAGGTTCTTTATTTGTATCAGCTGATTCAAGTAAATCATCTTTATTATCCATCACAAATCTATGGCTAGTGACATTTTCAATCTGAAATCGATTATTCTCTTTATGGAAATCATTTCGATGATGATCTTGTTTTTGACGTGGCTGTTGTTGTTGTGGATTACTTGAGATACCATCATTGCATGTATCAATACAACCATGTCTACATACTTCCACTGTACATTGAATTTGTACATCAACTGAATCCGGAAATTTGAATGCTAAAAATTGTGCATATGCTATGAGGGATGAAAAAACATATAAATAAAATTCATAATAATTGAAAATATTTGTATTTTATATTTCAATTTTTAAAATATTTGCATTTTAATTATCTTTTTTTTATTTTCAATAATTTTCTTTTCGTTATTTTTCAATCGAGTTCTTTCTTCTTCAAATTTCCTGTCCACATACAGGAAAATAAAAGTATAAGTCAAAGTTTTTAATGAAAAAATAAAAATCAAATGTATCATTTATTTATATGAGAAAAAATGAGATTTTTTAAAAAATGAATTATCAAGGGAATGTGTGTTTTGGACTGGTGGTTTGTTTGTAGAAATTGAAATTAGAAAAAATTACTGAATCTTTGATAGACAAAAATAAGGCAGGCAATTTGTAGGAAAAACATAGAAACCAATTTCATTGATGAACTACATGAAATACCGGTATGTGTAATTTGAAATTTTATTTGATCCAGTGATTGGCAGGCAATTTCTTTACATGGCATCGATGATGTTCGTTCTTTGCCCCAAATAGTGAAATAAAATGGACTACAAGAACGTACGCTATGATCTTCGCATGGATTACTCCATTCAATCGTTTCTTCTGATCCGGCTGCAATTTCTTTACAATATTCTGCACGTTCACGAGGTGGAAATTCACGATCAAAACAATATTTGATTGAACCATCAACAGCGCGAACCTGATTTATTTTAAATGGGAAAATGAGTGAAATTTTTTTTATCATAAAATATTAGAATTGAATTAAACTAACCTTGAATTCAATGCCATAACTTTTGAGAAAATACTCGGGATACATTGCCCATTGTTGTTTGAAACCGGGACTGACATGTCTTGTCATCACAGAGTTTTGTGATGGTTTTTCATAACATTTTTCATAGATAATTTGTGCTGGATTTTCACAAATTTTTTTCTCAAAATTTGTTCCAACTTGTGTTTGTGTTGTGCCCACTATATCTTTGCTTTTATCGGGTAGAATATCGACAAAATTTTTCTGATCATTTGAAATGATCAAATATCGGACATCTTGATTATCCTCTTTAAGCGATTCTTTATACCAATTATAGTCATCCAAATCTTTTGAATCGGTGGGCATTTTTAGTGTATCATAATCAACGATTATAACATTGATCGATGCCATATCATTCAATGATTTTCGTTTTCCATTCCAATATCTATAATTTGAAATGGTCTGATTCAATTCTTTGAAGAATTTTCCAAAATTACTTTGTGCCGAAAACATTAAATCTATTTGGATTTGAAAACAAGAATATATTACCAAAAAATTTCAATTATTCAATCTGAATCTATATCTTACTATCTTGTTGAAAGGCACAGGATACAGATCCAATATTGGTAGAATTGAAAATCAAAGCAGCTAGTGGCCAACCACCAGGACCATTTGGCATTTGAACCATATTTTTGTTGCTATTCGAATTAACAAAAACGGAAATTGTTCCAGCGTATCTGCCAATTTTATTCACTTTCGAGATGATATCATCAACAATTTGTGCAGTTTTATTCAGATTTTCTTGTTTAGGATCAAGAACGAAAATTAAATCCGATGGCGTTTCGCATGGTGCATTTTGATCCAAAGTAGTGGGTCTTGTACGGCAAATATCGGCTAAATTAATTGAGTGAGAGAATTAATTTCATTAAATTCTCATACCCATAATCAGTGATCATATTTACTTTGTGTTTGTGATGCTCTATCCAAAATGGAAGAGAATGAATTTGTTCTAGGATTCATTCCTTCCATGTCTTGCAAAAATCGATAAATCCTGGCATAAGTATCGATTTCATTGTTTAGATCACTCTGTGGTGGTTTTTCAACACTACGATCACAATAGCTTACGCCAAGATCTTGATTTTTACCACTTCTTGAATGAGGAACCGAATAATAAGATCGAAGTATGTTACTTAATCTCGTATTGGTTGAATCAAATTTTCGTAAATGTTTTCCAATAATATAGCCATCAAGTGCACCACGAATTTGAGCTAATGAACCACGATTAGAGAATCGTAATTTAATGATTGAAGAAATTGAATCCTTGATAGCATAATGATTACAACAGGGTTCATCAATCCATTCACCGGTAACACCATAAATAAGTTTTTCATTAAATCTATCATTATTGGTCGATTCGTAAAATACGGCTGTACCGGGCATATTGGCTAATGTTGTTGCAAGGAAAGGATCTTTGAATGAAACTTGTTCTTTAAATCCATGGGCGATTTTAACACCATCGGTAAGCGGATTTTTTGTTAGACCAGACACAATACCGATCAACACTTTTGATGGTGCAATAGCTTCAAGACTATTTTGTCGAAATGTTACAACACCTTTTTCCTTGATAGGATATTGAGCGTTAGCAAAATTTCCTACGGTTCCTGCTCTGCTATTGCTGTTGTCATATGGTTGATCAAAAACATAAACACCTCTTCGATAACGATTGTTCATCATTCGATCGGTAGTGTTAAGAAAAAAATGTGAAAACATGTTTAGCATTGTACACAGTTCTTGTTCGCTATATATTGAGTCGGGAAAATAGTAATCCGTTTCCACTAGTGTACTTAGACCAAGAATTTTCGTATCAATTTCTAAACGTTTTTGAACAACCGAAGTGAATTCTAATTCATTGAAATCAATATCGTCCAGATGAAATCTTACAAAAAAATATTTGAAAAAATTTTATCATTGATTGATATTTTAAAAAGAAATTACCTTTGCAAAATTAATCGAGCAACATCTTCGGGATTTTTAAATTTTGATAGAATCGTATCGGTAGTATTGGATAGCCAATCTTCCAGACGTTCAATATAATCGATTAATGTTTCCATACTTTGACTTGATGGTCGTGTATTTAGTGAATGAGGTTTATAGATGCAATCTTGTATGAATGAACTCATTTGACCTTTGTCAGCCATATATGCATGTTTATTTCGTATTAATGTCATTCCAGGTGGTACTGAATGCTGTTGACCAAACGATTGACCACATATTGTGATTAGAACAATGAATAAAATTTGAAATAATTTATTTGAAAACATTGTGAATTGTGAATTTAATATGAAAAACAAACAAAAACTAATCGAAAAATTTTCAATAATAAGGCACAATCATTGAGACATTAAAAAAAAATAGGTGCGACTCATAAAAAAAATGAAATTCAATTTTTTTTTATTTTTTTTGAAAATTTATCGCACATACAACAACGAAAAGAATAAAATGATGATGATGATTGACGACGATGGTTAATAATAATAATGGAGCAAACAATCATCAGAGGCATAGACCAATCAAACATCTCACCATCATCATCATCATCATCAATATCATCCAAATAGATGCGATAAGATTAGCCAAAAAAAATGATCAAAAGATTTTTTCCATTTTTTTTCATATATTTGAAATAATGGAGATTGATCAAAAAAAAATGATGGTGTGGATACCGAGAGATCACCATGCCGACCAAAAATCATCATCAACGATAAAATTGAACAACAACAACAGCAACAAAAAACAAACAATTTTTTGAGAGGTGGAAAACCATCACCAAAAAAAAAAAAAGAAGAAGAAATTAATATTGTTATTGTTATAATAAACTGATGTCAACATTTTTAGCGGATGTTCTCAATGAACTTAAATCATTGTATTATATTATTGCAACCAGAACGATATAAAGTGAGAGCAACCAAATATATATGATTAATAATAAACACAGTGTAGAAGCCAACTTGGAAAAAGAGAAAGAAAATAACCAGAAATTTTTTTTTTCACTCTTTCACTTTTCTACCTTTTGCATATTATAATTCAAAATCCAAACCTAAACTCACGATCAATTCAAATGAAATGAAATGAATCATCATGATGAATGAATAAACCAAACCAAATCAAATATCAACAAAATAGTCATAACAAATATACAAATTTTTAAATCAGGAAATCGTTGACGCAAACACACACACACACATACAAAGACACGAACATATAAACATCGAAACACACACACACACACACACATTTGAAAGGTAAATATCATTTTCATTCATTCTCATCACCATCACAAATGACAAATAAACAGACAATCGCAATGGTTTCCGTTTCCTATAATCATAGAAATTTGTAATAATTAATCAATCAATTGATGATACATTATCATTATTGTTTGTTCAATAACGACGATAAAAAACAACAGCAAAATATCTTACCCAAAGAACACCGAGACAACTAAATGTATCGATGATAATAAACCAAAACAGTCAACCAAATATAGCTAGGCAACCAGAAGAAAAAAAAATTATTTTCATTTGTATTGATTGATGATTTTATCCCAACAAAAAAAAAATGATGATTAAATTTGGTTTCATTTTTCTGGAATTTTTTGCTTTATTATCCGGGTGGTTGTAAACAAATAAAAAAAAACAACAACAACAACATTGCATTTAAGAAGATATGAAAAAAAAATTGCAATCAAACAACAAAAGATCAAACCTTTTTCTAATCATCATCATAATTATTTGTTCTAACCAATCTGTATTTCAATGGTTGCATCTTATCAGAAACAAACAAAAAGTTTATTGCAAATGAAAAACAATAAAAAAAAATTTTTTTCACTCACTTACTCACCAAAAAAAAAAAAAAAAAAATTGATTTATGATTATATGTGTTCTTTCAAATGATGATAAACAATAATAATTTGACTTAACCTTGTATATATACACAACACGAGTACAAAAACACGATTGAAAACAAAAACAAATGTATAATTTCGGATCAATCACATTGTAACATATTGGACATTGGTATTTAATCTTTTTGAATGAAAAGTTGCCTTGAAATGAAAAAAAATATATTGTCCGTTGTTGTTCATCACGACACAAGATGAACAAAAAAAAAATGAAACAATTAGAAATTTGTCAATTCGAATGACTGAATGAATGAATGATTGATTGATTGATTGAGATTTACGATTCATTTATAAAGATTTGAGCACCGACACACACACACACATGTCGTTTGACCTTATTGATTTAGGATTTGGATTCGATTGTCTGACCAAATGTCGATGACATCATATGACATGTTTTTGGCTCTTTTTCTTCATTATTTTGTGACACTTGATCATTTTGATAGCTAGTTTCTATATAAATAAAAGATTTCGAACATTGGGCATTTAATTTCACAACAAACTGGTCATGATGGTGGTGAATTCATTTGTTAAAGTGAAAATTTTCATATTCATTTCCATAATGAATACAGCGATGGGACAATTAAGGAGAAATTCCTATCAAACCATTCAACAACCGAATCAAAATCTATTTTCATCTTCAACATTGTCAATTGTACCAACATCTGTATTTGGAAGGAACTTTTTCCAGCCACAATCATTGAATTCAAATCCATCAACTACAACTACAAATGTATTCAATGACCGTGCAACGATTCTGTATAGGCCACAAACATCAGTTATTTTAAATGATGGCCAAGTGAAACAAGGAGAATGTCCTAAAACAAGACCAGCTGGAAATGGATATTATACATTCAAACAGGTAACTCCAGTGTATGTGTTTGTGTGAATTCATTGAAATGATAAATTCCTTTTTTCCATTTCCAAGTATGAAGGCATTTGGTACAAACGATATAGAAGCCGTGTACGATCAGGCGAACCATTTTTCAAATGTGCATGGATCGATTACATTGATCAAGGCGATAACCATATATTCATTATGGATAATCTACAAAATAATCGGTAAGATGGTTGTTGCAAACATTTGTAAAATTAAATAAACAACAATTGAAACAAATTAGAACGGGTGATTGGTTTCGACAGAATGCCACTACAGAGGTATGGCCAAATGATCCAACAACGTGGACTAGTACATTATCAAGTAAGTTTGTTTGCTCGTTTTTTTTTTTTTTGGCGGATTGAAATGAATTTATTTTGTCTATACCATCAACATCATAAAACACACACACAAACACTCAAAAAGATGGCGTCCGTTTTGACACGCATCTAATCTATTACGATGGCAACTTAGGTGTGGCCGTAATCTATAGCTGTTCACCAACATCGGATAATGGTCACCAAGGTAAAAAAAACAACAACAAAATCTTTTTAACCTCTATCTAATTAATCCCTTCTATCAAATCGATTAATCAATCAATCAATCAATCATTTATTAGGTATTGGCAATATTTACACACGATCACCGACAACACCTTTATCAAAATCTTATGTTGATTTTCTGTTTGACATTTTCTATCAAAATGGAATATATGATACATTACCATTACATTATGTTGATCAGGATAATTGTATGGGTGAAAATTTGCCCAAACCAAGATTCAGTATGATTTAATTATTGATTGTGATTCATGGAAACAAACAAGATACAATAAACAAACAATAATAATAAAACGAGCTTTGTCCAAAATCGAATGAATAAAAATCAAAAACAATAACAAGGTTCCGGTCAAATTTGGACAAAAGTGTTGCCCTCTTTTATTCAAACCAAATACTTTTTATTGTGACAATTTATTTCATGTATAAAATAAAGAAAGACTATGAATATGAATATTCAAATTTTCTAATTGTTTTTTTGTTTGTTTGTTAGCCTACAATAATTGATAATAAATTTTTGTAAAAGGGGTATCCATTATAGTTTGTTCATCGATGGGAACGATAACTGGGAACAATCGCATGCATATAGTATGGTCTGTTTCTGCAAACTTGTAGTCTGATTGGATCCCACAACAAAAAAACAACGATAACCCATTAGAATATTATTTACAATGTCTCAAAATTAGGTTTTGGTTTTGTTAATGTTATAATTAAAGGGATTTTTATTATTTTGTTTCATCATGTGATTATCGATGTGTGTGTAAGTGAATGAAAATATTATAATTTTTTTTAAATGATGCAAATTTCAAAATTTTTGTCCAATAAAGATCCATATAATAATTTATATTGAACGAAGTCCTTCATCAGCATAATATCGAACATCATTATCGCTATCGTTGATTAATTTTTCCAAACAAGGTTTAATTTGACTTTGAGTCACACTAGAAACATACATAGACGATATTAATTGATAATTTTTGAAACACAAAACAAAACTCACTTTCTATCTAATTCGGCTCCCAATAATTTCAATGTTTTGGCCACATTGAATCGAACATTCGGCACGGAATCAGTACTCAAACGTAAAACCGTTGGTAACATTGATTTCTACAAAACAAAATTCGGTTAGAATCAACAAAATTGATTTGATATGAACAACTTACAATTATAATATCAGGTCCACAGACTGAAGCCAAAACATTGATACTGAAAAGAAAAGTCATACGATGAAGATAATTTGGATCGGTTGCCATTGATAATATTTTTGGTATGACCGTTTTTTGTGCCCATTCGGCTCCGAATTTTTCCACCAATTTTTTAAGATTTAATGTTGCAGCCTCACGAATAGCAAAAACTTGATCCACAAGCCAGCCCATACAAAGGGAATTGAGTTTTTCCTCGAAAAATTCCACACCAAGTTGTCCAGCTAATAGGGGCATATATTGAATGATGGCTAATCGAACACGCCATTTACTATCTTCAGCCAATTCAACAATAGCCGGTAATAATGATTGACTCAATTGTTGTACACCGATAACTTCATTAACACAATCCAATTTAGAAATAACATTCAAACGAACTTCGGGACATTCATCTTTCAACATGGATAGAAAAATCGGCAACAATTGTTCGATGGTATTTTGTTCACCAACTATCGGTGATAGACCCATGATGACACCGGCCAATGCTGTTTTAACATGTTGATTAGGATCGATAACCAATTCTTTAATACATGGTAATATCTGTGTCATGATAATTTGTTCTCTAGAATCCGCAGGCAAATTCTGGCAAAAATCTTTGACTTTTTGTGCAGCGGCAGCACGAACTTCAGCTTCTGGATCTTTCAATAAATTTTGAAATGCTTGAACTAATTCACTTTTTGTAATTTCAGGTCCAACAACATTTTGTATGTCAGTGAATCTATCGGCAACCATATAACGAACACGCCATGATTTATCTTCGGAAGCTTGTTTCAAAAATTGTATCATATGCATCTCGATATCTTCATGAGTCAATAGACCAGCAATGGCAATCGAATCTTCAACCGCCAATAAACGAACAGAATCTTGATCATCGTTTAGAAATTTTGACCACAATGGTATGATTTCTGATTTGACATATTCGGGTTCCAAAACGACAGCAAATTCACCCAATTTGTTGGCAGCATTACGGCGTACCATTGGCGTATCATCATCACAAAGTATACGAAAATATCCTCGAAGATCGGCTTTAACCTGATTAGAAACACGTGGATAAACGACGCTGAATAAGCCACATGCACTACAACGAGAAGTGAACCAATCACCATCTGCCAAACGTTTTACCAATGGAACAAAATATTCTTCAAGATCATGCGAGGAATGATCATTGGCTACAATTCTAAGTGATTCGATAGCTTTTTCACGGACAAACGTCTCTTCCACCATGGCAAGACCTTCAAGCGGTGCCAAAAGAACATGAGCAAATTCGGGCCCACCAACCAATTTGGTAAATTGACCAAATTGTTCGGCCAATGCAACAAGAACTTCATCTTCATCATAGATTGTATCAGCCAAAAATGGAATCAATTCCGTACGGGTACGTTCCACACCCAATGCTAATGCAATGGTGGATAATTTTCGAATCGAATTAAGACGTACCTGAACATCTTCATTTCGTAGTTCATCAATCAATACGGCTATTGGATAGAGGCTTTCTTCATTGCTCACTTCAGCCATTATGGTTATTATGTGGTGGGTAATCAAGACGACAAGTAAATCTGATTAGCGAACAAAATAATAAAACTTTACTTTATGATTGAAAAATTGGATATATTTATGAAACGAGAGACAAAAAACCAATTGTGATGAGAAACCAACCGACTCCTTCACCGCCAATATATTGGCAACACACAACACTCAACACTTGCATTTTTTTTTTTTTTTTACTTTTCAATGTTCTCACTCGAACGACTATATCGACGCTTGATAGGTCAATTTTGTTGTTGTTGTGGAAATAGTCATCAAAAAAATTATCATGCGAGAATTTGATGATTTTTTTGAAAATTTCATTATCATTTCAAAATTTTGAAAATAACCCATTCGAATTCACACAATCATGACATCAAAATACGTTTCTGAAGCGGGTAAAACACTACTTAGAAATACTATTCAATCAACCGATTTTCAAAACAGAGTATGTGCAAACAAATCAAATTTTATTTTTGTAAATTATCAATTAAAAAATTTTTTTTTGTCAGAAAAAAGAAGAAGATCTCATGTGGAAATTGCGTAATGTATCGCGAAAACGAAAATTAAATGATGATGATGATGAAAAATTTGGGAATGAACAAAATTATGACCATAATAATCAACATCAATGTTGTTCGAGCAAAAAACCGCAAAATAATTGGCTGAAAAAATTGATGAATGCCGAGTCCAAACAGCCAGAACGATGGGGACACGATGGCTATAAAGAATTATATCCAGAAGAATTTTCATCCGATAATAATGATGAATCGAATAATGATAATTACAGCAATAAGAAAAAACGTCGAAAAAAATCGAAAAAGAAAAAACCGAAAATTGTTGAATCGAAAACCAGTAAGAAGAAAAAGAAATCGCGAAAGAAGAAAAAGAAAAAGATGAAACAATGAAAATATGATGATTTCATCTTTATTATTTTAAAATAATTTTTGGTTGTGAAAATTATTTGTTTGTATTTATATACATCATATATAAACAATCTCCTTAATTATCTGTGATGATGGCATTACAAAAATTCATTCACACATTAAATTTTCATCATCATTTTTTTATTATCAAATTTATTGGCAAAAGAACAAATATTTGTAAAAAGACAATTTTAATTTCAATTTATTTCTATCACTTATTTTGTCAAGTTTGTAGTTTGTAGTTTTGTTGTTGTTGTTGTTGTTGTGGTTATTGTCCAAAAAGAAAAAAGAAAAGTATTCAATTGTGAAGGCCATAAATGAAGAATATTATGTGATGTAAAATTCAAACAATCAAGCAAATCGACAAGTTGACTATGCAATTGTGTTGATACGATGATGAATTGTCAGAATTTCGTTTTTTTTAGATATAAAACCGTGTGGCGGATGTATGGATGATGATGATGATGATAATGAATTTTCAAAAAAATATGAAAATAAATTTTTGTTCAATCAGAATTTACATTAACATTCGACATAATAGCTGGATTATGATTGTTATTATTAGTTAAAGCATTATTATTATTATTATTATTAATAGCAACGACAGCAATAGGATTGACATTGACATTGTTCGTTGTCGTTGATACAGCGGCAGCAGCAGCCGCTGTAGCTACAGCCGCAACAACGGCAGCATTTGCGGTAACAGCACTTGAACGATTATTACTTAATAATGCTAATGTTTCCGGAGTGGCATGGGCTTTCAATATCTGTATATCGGATTCCAATTCTTTAATACGTTCTTTAAGCACATCAACTTCTTCACGTACAGCAAACATTAAATGCGATTTGACCAGATCCATTGCTTGTTCAATTTTATTATCGATTGCTACTTCAGATTGATCGGGATTCATTTGGCCACCAGATACTGTGCCTGTTTGACAATTTTGATCTTGTAATAATACCGATTGTTCCAATTGTTCATTCGGTGTAATTTTATTAGCCGGTACATGTTTCGATATATTGATTGTATTTTGATTTTCGTCATTATAATCAAAACAAGTCCATCTTCCACGTGTATATGGTTGTGATGAAACTAATTTTACAACTTTAAAACGATGTCTCATTTCAGTATCTTCAGTATTTGTTACCATCGCCGTCGTCGGTGGCTGTTGGATTGGTTGTTGTTGTTGTTGTTGATTATTATTATTTGGATTGGTCGTTATTACAGTTGTTGCTGTCAGCGGTAATGTTGTTGTTGTATTGGTTGTTAACGATGATTCGTTTGTCACTATCGTCGTTGGTAATAATGATGATGGTGATGATATATTAGGATTGGCAACTACCACAACCGATGTATTCGAATTGATCGCTATTGTATTATTAGGATTATTATTCACATTTTGATTTTGATTTGATTGTGGTTGATGATGATCATTATTTATACCACCACTACTAATAATGACATGGCTAATAATGTTGTCTGTTGTTGTTGTTGTTGTGGTGGTGTTGTTGTTGTTTGTATTACTATCGATGATAGTCATATTATTATTTTGATTTGTAAGTTGTTGTTGTTGTTGTTGTTGTTGATGGCGATGATGCTGATGATGATGATGATGATGATGATGTTGGTGGTGGTGTGGATGCGTATTATGATGATGATGATGATTAGGCGGAGGAGTATGATGCTGCTGTTGTTGTTGTTGAGGATGATGATTAAGAGTATGAATGGTATTTGTAGCAGCTATATCAACAATATCATTATTATTGATATTTGCGGCAGAAGTTTCCATAATAACGGCGGTAGTAGTATTATTTTCTATTGCGGCAATATTAAAATCGGTTGACATGGCATTACCGTTATTAATATTGCCATTTGTACCGTTGTTGTTGCTACTATTATCGTTGTTGGTATTTTGAATGCCTGTTGCTTGGGTTGTTTGCATCATCATAACAAAAAAAAATTATTTTTCTCAACTTTCGTGTGTGTCAGATTTCTTTTTGGTGCATTTTTTTCTCACTTTTTCATTCAATGATTGTATAGTCATTTAAGCCATTTATGTACACACACACACACACACACAACACAATGAGTGAGTAGGAGAAAGAAGAGAATTGTTTTGTGACAAAAAATGTTAAAATATTGATTTATTCAAGTGCAAGTGTTTTTTGATTTGTTTTGCTGTTGTTTTTGTTTTCGCCGAGTATATATATATTGTATTATGCACAAACACACACAACACACACGAGATTATATCCGGATGTGACGATTACTATTTGAAATATATATTGTTTATTATTATATATGATGGTTGAATCGATGATTGAATATAGTCATTTTTTTCGAAAAAAAAAAAAAAACTTTAAATCATATCACATATATAAAAAAAATTGGTTAAAAATGAAAAAATAATTCATTGTTGAAGCATCAGAATTGATTCGAAATCCCACTTACCATCATCATGTTGAAAAATATCCAATTGAATTGCAACAATGTTCAATTATAACTAACTGCAGCAGCAGCAACCGCAAAAAAAATTGTGTAATTCGTTAAAATGTAAAAGATGTCACATTCAAACAACAATGACAAAATGATGATGATGATGATTATTCTTACTCGTTCTCGTAATGATTAATTATTCATCATATCATCATCATATTTATTTTGCATGAATATGTCAAAAAATTTTTGCTTCTCAATATATAAGAATTAAGAACAAAAAAAGAAACGAGAATGAAAAGAATTCTTTTGAACGTCTACTCTGTTAATCATGCACAGCTATATATATTATGTTTATTCAATTCAATAAAGACGAATAATTTTTCTGTATGACAGTTAATATTCTTTTGTCGTCGTCTTTTGTGTTGGCCGAAATTCTAAATAAATTCGTCATAAAAATGATGATGATATTCATCTGATGATATAATGAATGAGGAAGATGATGTGTGTCTATCATGTCATACGTATACACTATTTTTTTCTTGTTATTAATGTTTCAATTGTTTTCGTATATCCAAAAGAAAATTCATTGAAATTTAATTGGAACGATAAAAGATTTGAGTCAATCTATAGATTGGATTTTTATTGTATAAATCAGAAAAAATGACCAATTCATATATAAAAATGATGATAATTAATTGAAAAAAAAATTATACCGCATAGGCAAACACACACCCAACAACAACAACAACAACAACAAAAAATTCAGAAAATTTGGTAACGTCATTTTTGAATGAATCTCACACACAAGAATATATGAAATGAAATGTAAAAGGGGTAATCAATTGCCTGTATATATAACGTTGCTATGGAGGAGAGGTATAGGCCAATGAAAGGAAAATTTCTATTGGCACCTGACTCGTTCGGCTGTTATGCTGCTGTTTTGTGTATGTGTGTGTGTGTGTGTGTTGATAATTGAAAAACACGTACACACCAATTTTATATGTGCAGTCACATCACATGATCGAAACGGTTTTTGGATTTGGATGTTTCTATCATTTTTCTTCGTTATGAAAAAATCCCAGAAGAAATTTTGAAATTATATTTCAATTAATAATTCACAATTTTCTCTTCATCTATTCATTTGATTGCCATTTTTATATTCATTGATCATTGTAATTCGTTTTCTGATGACCAGATAATATGGAATCTAAAAGGTATATTGTTGACAAGTTGCCAAAAATTTTAAATTTATAAATTTTCCACCATTTCTCGTAGTCCGGTACGTAAATTGATGAAAACACGATCATCAACAACACACTCATCGCCCAATATTAATGGTAATGATTGATGATTCGAAATTTTTTGACAATCCATAATCATGTTTTGTTTTTTTGTTTTTGAAACAGTAAAAACCGAATCAAAAATACTGAAATCAACAAACAATATAGCCACGTCTGCATCATCAAACGGTATGTATTCAGGAGAATTGTGCAAAATCTACCATTCTTAATTTATTAATCATCATTAGATGTGGCCAATATAGTGATACAGACCAAATCTAATCCACAAGTTTCATATAGAGTTGTCAATCTCAATCAATCCAATTGTAAGTGTGTTACAACAACTTTTTCAAACATCAATTGATCATTGAAATTTTTTCCAAAAATTTTCCAGCAACATTGTTACAAACTACAACATCATCTACGGGTAACAATGGTCCACAAATATTAGTAATGATGCCCAATAATAATACAAATAATGATAATAATCAGAATACGTTCGTTAAGAAAAGTATGATTGTTTTTCAACATGAAAACAAAAACATTGAATTGATTCAAATTTTAATCAATAATCAGGTGAATCATTTACAGCCCCAAAAAATGTAGCGGATCAAAAACGACGAATGACACATCGTGAAATTGAACGTAGACGTCGTGATAAAATTAATGATTGGATTTATGCATTATCAAAAGAGGTACCGGATTGTGCAACCGATCGTACAAAACAAGGCCAATCAAAAGGTGGAATATTGGCTAAAACGGTTAAATATATCCAGGATTTAAGAGCGGAAAATGTTTCACTACGGTAAATTTGTTGAACCAGATTTTATATTTTCTGATTTTTTTTTCTCACTTCAATTAGTTCGGACGTTGAAAGATTAAAAAGACGTATAACTGATATTGAAGAGGATAGAATTCATTATAAAGACGAAGCTATCGTTTGATGAAACGAACAAAATTCCTGTGTGGCCTTGACAACGTTGTTTATACTTGATATGGATGGATTGTTTTTCACCTGGGCAAATTTTTTCATAAAAACTGTCGAATCATCATCTTATTTGTAGATCAATCCAATATTGGCACTTGTTTCTTGTACATACAATCAAACAAAATGCATCGAATTTCTTATTTAAAAAATGTGTAAATATTTCATGGAAAAACATTATACATTATATTGTAATTAGAAAAAAAAGACGATGACGAATAAGAAAAAAAATCAGATCATATTTAGATATCATTTCTTCCGAAAATTTCTAGACTTGTTCTTTGACAGATCACATCATCGAATGGGTAAAACGGATTTTTTTTTTTTTTGATGATCTATCACCAATATCACTTACAGGAATGGCAGGTCGAAATGTAGCCGGCTTTTCATATGCTTCAAACCATTCACATCGTAATCGTTTAGCCTCATCATATGCTTCAATAATATTAGTACCATATTGTATGACGATTGTATTTTCGAAATATTTTCCTTGTAAATCTGGTTTCTGGATTTGCATTATCGTTATGTATCGTTTTTTCTGGTCTGGAAAAATTTTTTTTTTGACTTATCGAATTACTGAATTTTTAAAATTTGTAAATAAAGACAAAAATTATTTTTTTTTACTTTTTTCGTTTTTATTTATTTTTTTAAAATATAAATTAATTTCGATGTGAGTTGAGTTTATTTTTTTCATTTCCAAATCATAACACAATGTATTAGGAAATTTAGAAAGTACTGTCGTTTTTTGTATATAACTTTTTGGAAATGCCGTCTCAAAAATTTGGTAAAGGTTTTGACATCATGTATGACCTCGATTTATTCTTTGATAACCAGGCTTTAATTCAAAAATAAATTTTTTCCAACTTTGGCTACCGGAAGTGCTAGCCAGCCTCTGGAATTCGACCCATTAAAAATCAAAATTTTAGCCATTTTGATTTTTTGCTCGTGGTGACCCCGACGAAAGAGGTAATGGTCATCTGACCACTCAATGAAAATTCCACATGTCCTGGGAGTTGAAAAAAATTATGAGCGGAATTCTTCCGCAACTCATTTTTTCTAGAGGGCGGGTCAAAATCCGGTCGGCCGCTATCAGCCACTGTGTTATTCCGCCATAGGAAAAATTTAATGAAAGAAAAAACAACAAAAAAATAAGCAAAAAAAAAAACAAAAAAAAATGATGAATACAACAAAAGAAGAAATTTGCCAAAATTGGCCAAGTGAAATTCACATTCGTCACCTGATGCTTTATTGGTACAAAATGGGCATCAGTGCAACTAGAGCTGCTGTTGAAACCAACGAAGCTTACGAAAACGCTGTGAGTACCCGTACTGTTCAACGGTGGTTTCAGCGATTTCAAGAGGGCGATTTTAACTTGGAGGATCGACCGAGGTCTGGCTGACCTCAACAGATTGATGAAGATAAATTGCTGGAATTGGTGGAAACAAACCCGAGACACACCATCAGTGAATTATTAGAAATTCTCAATTGTTCCAGTGCGACAGTTTTTAATCATCTTCATTCATTGGGGAAGAAAAGCAGAATGGGTAGTTGGACGCCCCACAATTTGTCCGAAGTCAACCTTGGACAACGTGTAATGATTTGCACTTCATTGTTGCTGAAACATAGAGTTGATCCGTTTTTCAACCGAATGATAACTGGTGACGAAAAGTCGGGTCATTGTCGTAATGGAAAAAGGGCTGGTCTTTCTGGTCAATTGCCAATTTGAATCGCTCCAGTTGTTGGCAAGACTTCCGCTGTTATCGTTTGGCTCGACTCAAGAAGCTCATGGTGAACCAATAACAATACTTTCTTCTGGTGAAGCTTTGGCCTGGGCGTCGGAACTGGTGGCTGTCCTGGGGTTAGCCATTGCTGGTGACATTATCGTAAAGAATCTGATAAATTCATGATCAATAATCGAATGACAAACACACAAACCTTTAGCGGAGCTCGATTATTACGAGAATCATCCATTATATGGGAAAGATTTTCTTTTATTCTCACTGATTGTTTGATAATTGATTATGTGTTATTTTTTTCAGATTGATGATGATGAAATCAAAAAAAAATGAACAAAGAAAATATTCAGTGGAAAAGAAGTCGCCACTGTGCGTATAAAAGAAACCACAAATTAAGTGGAAATAAATCATGGCAATAAAAAATTTCATCAGTATCCTTTTTCTCTAGAATCAGTCACTCTCACCCCTGTGCCGCTACACAAAAATTGTTCACAAATCAGTGGCAACAAAAAAAAGGTTGAGAATTTGAGAATGACTGCTCTAGAATGTAGCGCTGATTCAATATAACGCAATTACACAAGCAGCTAAATTTTTGCGTTGGAGCAGGCCAGCTGAGGCTTTGATGTCTCGTAGTATATGAACGGTTAATGTGATCTAGCTTTTTAGCCACATAAATCATTCCATGTTGCAATGCTGGTGTAGGAAGGTACACACTTATTTTATCGAAAGATTTCCCTTAAAACATTAATTAATTGTCAGAGCAAAAGCCAATACGACAGGAAATCGTCCACGCACCAATTTAAATGGTAGCTTAAGATCTCGATCATTTTGCTGCAAAATGAATCATAGCCTCCTTGTCAATATTCGAGCTTCAATGCTGCGTCTATTTACAAATAAACGCGTGCCATTGAGCAAACCACTCTGTGGTTCAATATTGCGGATGAATATGATAATCGATCCAATGTTTAATCCAAGTTTGTGTCTATAGATCCTATAGGATAACCTTGTGGGTTCATCGCATGAAGACACTCAACATTGAATCTTAAATGCTCTTTTCTTTATTTTAAATGAAAAAAGTTATCAGGTATTTTAGGTATAATCAGGTTAAATAACCGAAATAACTTACCAAACGATGAGTAGATCATAGATCACGGGAACAAAAACAGAAAAAATCATTCCAATGAATGCAGTCTTCAGGCAAGATTTCATCATCAAATACACACTCACACAGACACACAAAATGAAAATCACGTGTGACACATGTATTATCACAATAATCAATTCGAAAAATTCGAATTCGAACTCTTTCTATGTTCTATTGAATGACTGCACCATCTATTGGATGCAAAATCTGCAGCAAAGTGTGCTGAGCTAGAACAATGAAAAAAAGCTTTGTCAAAGCTACATACCACAGAATGCGTTTCTTTGGAAGCGACTTCTACTTCTGAGCTGGACGAACTGTTTCAGCGGCATTCAAAAGTTTTCCCCACGGTTGTAGGTCAAAATCCCGAAAACAAAAACCCCGAAAACCGAAACACCGAAACCAAATGACCAAAAACAAAAACCCCGAAAACCGAAACACCGAAACCAAATGACCGAAAACAAAAACCCCGAAAAAAAATTTAGCCAACTGCTTTCGTGTTTTTGCTGAGCCACACTGTTGCTGTGATTCGACCTTGAACATAACGCACATTTCTTGTTTCTGTTGTCCTGCTGTGATGGTGTCGATACGATGAGCGTTGTTGTTGTTGGTTTACTCGTTTTGCCTCAAGAGTTTGAAGTTGAGCCATTTTGTTGATTATTATCACGCTAAATGATTTGCAGAATTTTGTTCTTGAATACTCGGTTTATACATTCTTTGTCCAATGTTTGGTTGTTGTGGATAGGTCCAAATGTGATATTCAGAGCGTTGATAATGTTTTGGATACTGTTGCAAATAGATAGATTATGCTTTATTCTCATTATTATTATTCAAATACACAATAAGGAATGGATATGGATAAGTTCATCAATGAAATTGGTTTCCATGTTTTTCCTACAAATTGCCTGCCTTATTTTTGTCTATCAAAGATTCACTAATTTTTTCTAATTTTAAATTTTACAAACGAACAACCAGTCCAAAACACATTCCCTTGATAATTCATTTTTTTCTCATATGAATAAATGATACATTTGATTTTTATTTTTCTTCAAAAACTTTGACTTTGACTTTTATTTGACAGGAAATTTGAAGAAGAAAAAACTGGATTGAAAAATAACAAAGAAAATTTTAATGATAAGAAAAATATTGATTGAAAATACAAATGTGTGTGTGTGTGTGTGTGCAACAAGTGTGTGTGGTATATTCACAATGTAAAATAAGGCAATGAAATGGATCAATAACATTCAGATTATTCTATGTGTGTCTCGGAATTCAATGACAATATGGTTTTTTCCTAGATGATGATAATGACAATGCGGCAATTTTTTTTGTGTGTGTATCAAGTACGGAAACGGAATTTTTTGCTTTGTTTTGTCAACATTAACAACAACAAGAATAACTGGAGCAACAAAATACTGAGAAGATACTCGAAAGAATCGAGTCATTGAGACTAAAAAAAAAAAAATTTCCACACACTACATGCATTGAGAAAAATTTTTAATTTTCTTTTCTTAGATTTCGTGATTCAAGAAAATCTGAAAAACAACCAAATAAAAAAAACTACAACAAAACTATTATATGGTATGAGACATGTCTCTCTGCGTGTGTTTTGATTCAATATTTTGGAATCAACCAAAAAAAAAAAAACGACCAGTGAAAACGACAACAGCAGCAGAGATTTTTTCATCGTTCATTTTTTTCACTTTTTTCTTCTGTTTGTTTTTTATAAGATTAAGAAAAAACGAAAGCAATAAAAAAAATTCTTCTTTTTCCTTGGATTAATTACCCCTTTTTTCTCTTATCTCGAAAACTGTGATTAGTGTGTTTTTCCTCACTTTCTTTCCGAAACAAAATAAAACGAAATGACTATGTTTACTGTTTTTTTCCCTTCCCAACCTTTTTGCGACGAAAAAACATGTATCTGAAAAACATGTTTCTTTTGTTTGAAAAAAAATTCTTGTTTTTCTAGGGATTAATTACCCCTTTTTTTCTCTTATCTCGAAAACAGTGATTAGTGTGTGTGCGTGTGTGTTGGTTTTAATAACCTTTCACGAGAAAAAACAAACAAACGAACGAGCAAAAAACACAAAGATGACTTTTTTTCTTTTGTTTGTTGTTTACGACAATGAAGAAAAAATATTCGAAAAAATTGAAACAACAAAAAAATTTTTCATTATCACACACACTTGTTGGACACACACACTATTTTTTGTATTTTCAATCAATATATTTTTCTTATCACTAAAATTTTTTTCGTTATTTTTCAATCGAGTTCTTTCTTATTAATTAGTTGACCAACAAAGTTTTTCTTCTCAACCGTTGCACGAACGTTAATATATTTCTATTTTTCTTATGTAAAAATAAAAATTGCAAACAATCATTTTATTCAAAAAATATACGATCATCGATCGATAATTGCATTTATTGAAATGACAAAATCTGATACAATTAGTAAAGACAATTTTCATTTATATATATAAAAATCTACGATGTTCCATAACATCGTAATGATTATCACATCGATAATACGTTAGCAGTCATGATTGGGAATTGAACACTATTGAAATATTTGTGGATAAAATAAAGCTTTATTGATCAAGTATACGCAGATCATAAAGCCATTTTGTTGATTATTATCACGCTAAATAAACGGCATGATTTGCAGAATTTTGTTCTTGAATACTCGGTTTATACATTTTTTGTCCAATGTTTGGTTGTTGTGGATAGGTCCAAATGTGATATTAAGAGCGTTAATAATGTTTTGGATACTGTTGCAAACAGATAGATTATGCTTTATTCTCATTATTATTATTCAAATACACAATAAGGAAAGGATATGGATAAGTTCATCAATGAAATTGGTTTCCATGTTTTTCCTACAAATTGCCTGCCTTATTTTTGTCTATCAAAGATTCACTAATTTTTTCTTAATTTCTACAAACGAACCACACATTCCCTTGATAATTCATTTTTTTCTCATATAAATAAATGATACATTTGATTTTTATTTTTCTTCGAAAACTTTGACTTTGACTTTTATTTTGCTGTGTGTGGACAGGAAATTTGAAGAAGAAAAAACTCGATTGAAAAATAACGAAAAAAATTTTAGTGATAAGAAAAATATATTGAGTGTGTGTGTGCAACAAGTGTGTGTGATAATGAAAAATTTTTTTTTTTGTTGTTTCAATTTTTTCGAATATTTTTTTTCATTGTCGTAAACAACAAACAAAAAAAAAGTCATCTTTGTGTTTTTTGCTCGTTCGTTCGTTTGTTTGTTTTTTCTCGTGAAAGGTTATTAAAACCAACACACACACGAATTAATGTCATCAAGATAAGGAAAAAAGAGGGGTAATTAATCCAAAGAAAAAGAAGAATTTTGTTTTTTAATTAACCGCCAAAACTCTCCAATTCTATTGGTTAATGCTCTGTACACCACTTTTGTCTTCTGGAAACTTTTCTACTATTTCAAGCAAGGACAAGCTGGGCCTGATACATGAGTAGCGAAACAAGCTGAACACATGGTCCACGTGAAAGGTAGATTGAGCTGGTTATCAACGTGAGGCGTGGTTTCAACCGATTGGCAGTTTGACTGTCCAAGAAATCATATAAATTTCCAAGACAACGACACAATCATCACCATTATTGTCGTTTTTTTGATTGTTGTTCGTCATCGTCATTATTGTTTTCAACATTTTATACTTTTTTTTTGTTTACATTTAATTTTTGTCACATAACATACATATATTGGTTCTACTATGGATAAGCAAAAAGTGACAAAGGTTTGTTTTGTTTGTATAACTTGAATAATTTTTCTATATTCAAATTTTTTTTTTACATTTGATAGCAAATGTGGGTCTGGGATGGTGATCAAGAAAAAATGGTATACCGTGAAATTACATATGCTCCATTATTGTATAAAATATTTGATGAAATACTTGTCAATGCTGCCGATAATAAACAGAGAGATGAATCAATGGATTGTATACGAATAGATATTGATGTGTAAGTGTCATATGATTATGTCTTGTATATTGATTGATTTAAATTGATTTTGTTTGATTCCATTATTTTTTCTATCGTTAATCTTGAATACATGATCCATGAATTCTTGATATGGCCATGGTGGTTTATATATATTTTTCTCCAACTGCGGTTTGACTTTTGAGGACAGGGAAAATATGCTGATTATTGATGCAGAATTGTATTTGATTGTTTATGATACTATTCGGTTACGATGTTCAACATGACTACTATAACTGTTTACATGATATAATTTTCAGTTTTATTGTTTTTGGGACGTAGTTTTATTCAACGGTATGTTAGCTCTTCTTCTTCATGATTCTTCTGGAACTAACACTCGATTATTTGAATATATATATACTACGGTAGCGATCGCAACGAAATAACCATTTATAATAATGGTAAAGGAATTCCTGTGTTTGAACATGAAACGGAAGAATGCTATGTACCAACATTGATATTCGATACTGTATTGACACCATCAAATTGTTATGATGACGAAGAGAAAAAACTGGTCGGTGGTCGTAATGGTTTTAAAGCCAAACACTGTAACACTTTCAGTACGAAATTCAAAGTACAAACTTCAAGCAAAGAATATCAAAAATTATTTTCACAAATTTGGAAAAAAAATATGACGAAGATAAAGGATCCTAAAATCGGTGCGAATGCAGCTGAAGATTTTACCCGTATATCATTTAAACCTGATTTATCGCAATTTAAAATGAATCGTCTTGATAAAGATATTGTGGCATTATTCTCACGACGAGCATACGATATTGCCGGTACAACGCGTGATGTAAATGTATATCTTAATGGAAAAAAATTACCCATCAGCGGTTTCAAAGATTATGTCAAACTTTTTGTCAAAGATCGTCAAGATGAAATTGGTAATGATATCAAAGTTGTCCATCAAAAAGTCAATGATCGATGGGAAATTGCTGCCACCGTTAGCAATAATGGATTCCAACAAATCAGTTTTGTTAATGGCATTGCAACCACTCGTGGCGGTAAACATGTTGATCATTTAACCGATCAAATTGTCAATAAAGTGGCCGAAGTTATTAAAACGGAAAATCAAGTTGGCATCAATGTGGAACCATCACAAATACGTAATCATCTTTGGGTGTTTGTCAATTGTTGGATTGAAAATCCTAAATTTGATTCGCCAAAAAATGAAACAATGACATTAAAGGTGGAACGTTTCGGTTCTACCTGTTCACCAAGTACCAATTTCGTACACAAAATTTATAAAGTTGGTATCGCTGAAGCTGTGTTATCAAAAGAATTATCGAAAACTGGTAGCATTCAACAAACTGGTCGATTATGATAATTCATCATCAGATGAAGAATATTAAACCAATAATTATCATCGATCTCAATCATCATATTCTCTTATGTACGCAGATTTGTTTACAACTTATATTTGATTAATGAAAGACACACTCACACACTTTTTGTATATTAATCAATGTATATTTTTTTATCAACATAATCATTAAAATTTTTTTCATTATTTTTCGATCGAGTTCTTTCTTATTAATTAGTTGACCAACAAAGTTTTTCTTCTTAACCGTTGCACGAACGTTAATATATTTCTATTTTTCTTATGTAAAAATAAAAATTGCAAACAATCATTTTATTCAAAAATATACGATCATCGATCGATAATTGCATTTATTGAAATGACAAAATCTGATACAATTAGTAAAGACAATTTTCATTTATATATATAAAAATCTACGATGTCCATAACATCGTAATGATTATCACATCGATAATACGTTCGCAGTCATGATTGGGAATTGAACACTATTGAAATATTTGTGGATAAAATAAAGCTTTATTGATCAAGTATACACAGATCATAGATCCCAGACACTCGATGGATAATGATAATTTAGGATGGGTTTATATACTGGATTACAATCAATTTGAAACATTAATTAAGTTATTATATAACATTCATTAAATCAAAGTCGAACATTTCATTTAAAATATTCAAACATCACAATTTTGATCATTAACATTCCAAAACAATCATGTTTTGGATTTTAAATGTTACATATATATATTTAAATAGTACTAGAAATTTCTAGAACTTCTAACTTATAATCATAGTTCAATTTATACAGATGATGTTTTTATTTTCAACACTATTCATATCAGCGATAATTCTAATTGAATTTGGAAACAACAAGAATTAGAAAAGATTCATCATCATACATTTCAAAAATGTAACACAATGTTATCAACATTTAGCGGTTATTTCATCCATAATTTGACCATGATCACTAAGTTTCGATTGTTTTGGTCCATCACTACTTTACTAATTAATGATGGTAATAAATCAGCATTTGATGATGTTCTTGATTTACTAATCTTGTATGTTATCTAAAAGAAAGAAAGGAATACGTTGAGCATTGAGATAAACTTTTCATACGACACAATTTCATTCATGCAACCAAAATAAAGACAGAAACAAAACAAATTTTGGAAAAATTGCCATATTTATTTTATTTTTTATAATTAAAAATGTAATTAACAATGAAAAATAACAAAAAAATGTCAATATATGTGTGTGTGTAGATGAATTATTAATTTGAATGATATATTCTATTGTGTTTATCAAGGGAACCTTTTGAAACGAAAGTGCTATTACAATAATTGCACTCGAATCTATTCCCATGATGATATGTTTTTTGGTGTTCTTCGTATTTGTATTTTTTTGCGAATTGTCTATTGCACTTTTCCCATGGACATTTCCATTTGCCACTATTGTTATCCCGAGACGGCAATAACATTCGCAGTTGTGATGTTGATGGTTGTGGTTGTGTTGGTGATAGTTGTGGTGGTGATGGTTGTGGTGATGGTGAAGATTGTGGTGATGGTGTTGCTGATGGTAAAGATGGTTTCTGCGTTGCTACAGACTTTGCCGAACTTAAACTTGATAATGATGATGAATCTTCATCAATGTTTTCAGTGACAATGCTTGCATTATCATCATCGACATCGGCTGCTTCCGCAACGTTTAGGCCATCCTCGATTTCAACTTCTGCCGCAACGTGACGGTCATCGTCAATATCAACTCCTGCCGCCACGTGACGGTCATCGTCAACATCAACTTCTGCCGCCACATGACGGTCATCGTCAACATCAACTTCTGCCGCCACATGACGATCATCGTCAACATCGGGTACCACAACTTGAATTTTCATTCGTTGTTGTTGTTGTTGTCGTCGTCGTCGATGTTGTCGTTGTTGTTGTAGAAATTGTTGATGGTGTGGTTGTTCCAATTGTTGTTGATGGTGTTGTTGTATTATTTGTAGTAGATGTTGTATTGTTTGTAGTAGGTGTTGTATATATTGTTGAGTGGGATCCATTGTTAAAATTTGAATAAAAAAAAATAAAGGTAAAAAAAAAAGCCACAAAATAAATGTTGAAAAAAGGTAAAAATAAAAAAAATGGCAAAAAATAAATGTTGAAAAAAAGGTAAAAATAAAAAAAATGGCAAAAAATAATTGTTGTAATAATGACGATAATGATCGTGGATAATGGTGATGATTGTGTCGTTTTCTCCGAATATTTATACCATTTCTTGGACCGTCCAACTGCCAATCGGTTAAGACCACGCCTCACGTTGATAACCAGCTCAATCTACCTTTCACGTGGACCATGTGTTCAGCTTGTTTTGCTACTCATGTATCAGGCCTAGCTTGTCCTTGCTTGAAATAGTAGAAAAGTTTCCAGAAGATAAAAGTGGTGTACAGAGCATTAACCAATAGAATTGGAGAGTTTTGGCGGTTAATTGGCTGGCGAATTTGAAGATTCATCTTCATTAATGTCTTCAATGACAATGCAAGCATTGTCATCGTCGACATCGGCTCTTACAGCAACGTGAATCTTTGTACTGAAAGGAAATCGAACTAAAATCGAAGCGTTGTTCGTATTTCTCAATAAATTGAGAACCGGAGATTCAAATAGAGTGTGTTACAACAACAATTTGTAATCTTTATTACTGAAATTTATAAATTAAGAATGAGAAATATTAAAATAAATATATACAATTTCATACCGATTGTTAGTTAAAAAAAAAAAACAGCACAAATCATTTCACGACAAGAACTCACACACACACGTGTTATTAGTTCACCGAACATACAATTTTTTACTTTGTTACATCGTTCATAAACAACGTACCGTAGCAAGAGTGATTGCTGCAAACATTCAGAAATCAGAATCGCAAGTTTCAGTATATATTCAATCGGTATTGAAATCATTTGAAGATGTTTTACCAGCTCGATTTGGATGTGGCTCTTTGTCAAGAGCAATCGTACTGCACACCAGCTGCAAGAAAATTGTTTGATTGTGAAAATCGCTTGATGATAATATGTGATGGCCGAATTATCAAAAATGATCATCAAAGAAGCTCGTATATTGAAAGGAATTCTTGATGGTTTTTTCTTGAATACTCGGTTTATACATTGTTTGTTGATATCACGACAAACTGCTTGATGATAAAGAGCACACAATTTAAACGTTCAACCATGTCCAATGTTTGGTTGTTGTGGATATGTCCAAATGTGATATTACGAGCGTTGATAATGTTTTGGATACTGTTGCAAATAGATAGATTATGCTTTATTCTCATTATTATTATTCAAATACACAATAAGCAAAGGATATGGATAAGTTCATCAATGAAATTGGTTTCCATGTTTTTCCTACAGATTGCCTGCCTTATTTTTGTCTATCAAAGATTCAGTAATTTTTTCCAGTCCAAAACACACATTCCCTTGATAATTCATTTTTTTCTCATATGAATAAATGATACATTTGATTTTTATTTTTCTTCAAAAAAAAAGAAATAGAATCGTGTGTGTGGACAGGAAAGAAGAAGAAAGAACTCGATTGAAAAATAACGAAAAAAATTTCAATGATGAGAAAAATGTTGATTGAAAATACAAATAGTGTGTGTGTGCAACAAGTGTGTGTGATAATGAAAAATTTTTTTTTTTTTGTTTCAATTTTTTCGAATATTTTTTCTTCATTGTCGTAAACAACAAACAAAAGAAAAAAAAGTCATCTTTGTGTTTTTTGCTCGTTCGTTCGTTTGTTTGTTTTTTCTCGTGAAAGGTTATTAAAACCAACACACACACGAATTAATGTCATCAAGATAAGGAAAAAAGAGGGGTAATTAATCCAAAGAAAAAGAAGGATTTTGTTTTTTAATTAACCGCCAAAACTCTCCAATTCTATTGGTTAATGCTCTGTACACCACTTTTATTTTCTGGAAACTTTTCTACTATTTCAAGCAAGGACAAGCTGGGCCTGATACATGAGTAGCGAAACAAGCTGAACACATGGTCCACGTGAAAGACAGATTGAGCTGGTTATCAACGTGAGGCGTGGTCTTAACCGATTGGCAGTTGGACGGTCCAAGAAATCGTATAAATATTCGGAGAAAACACACGATCATCACCATTATTCACGATCATTTTTGATTGTTCGTCATTATTTTAATTTTTTTCAACATTTTTTTTGTTTACATTTAATTTTTTTTTATTTTTTTCATTCATATTCGAACAATGGATCCAACACATGATCAACAACAATATATACAACACCTACAACAAACAATACAACATCAACAACAAATGATACAACAACAACAACAAATGATACAACAACAACAACAAATGATACAACAACTACTACAACATCGACGACGACGACAACAACAACAACAACTGCTACAACAACAATTGGAACAACAAAAACAACAACAACAACAACAACAACAACAACAACAACAACAACAACAACAACAACAACAACAACAACAACAACAACAACGACAACAACAACAACAACAACAACAACAACAACAACAACGACATGATGGCAACAACAACAATGGTACAACGATGTCAACGACAAAACGTTGCGGCTGTGGCCGATGTCGAGGACAACAACAATGTTGCGGTAGTGGCTGATGTCGACGATGGCCAAAAGTTGCGGCAGTGGCCGATGTCGATGATGATAATGCAAACAGTGTCATTGGACATTGATGACGACATCATCACATCGTTTAAGTTCGGCAAACTAGCGACGCAGACGACAATTAGCATCAACAATTACGACAACAACAACAACAACAAGGACAATTATTAGAACAATTACGACAACGATTGGAAGAACAAACACGACCACAACCACGACCAGAAGCAGAACCACAACAACAACCATCACCACCACATCCACGACCATCACCACCACAAACACGATCACAAACACGAACACGACCACAACCCAAGCAATAAAAAAAATTGTAAACAAGAATTATTAAATTTGTATAAAAAAATATAAAATAAAAAAACATTTTTATTGAACTTAACGATGATGCGTGTTCAAGTGTGTGTGTGAATGCGGACTCGGAATTATCGGTTGAAAGCTGCTTGTTTGTGTTGTCGATTCGGTTGGTTCTGGCAAAAATGTTGATTACTTTGCAAATTGTCATTCGATGATGGCCAATTTATTTGTTGATTATCTTCATGTTGCCCAGCATCGTTTGAATTGGAATTTAACAACATTATTCAATGCCATTTTATCAACTTTTCGTCATTTCCGTATGTCATCTGAAAGAAAGAAAGAAAAACGTTAAGCAATGAGATAAAATGATCCAAGATGATGATGAGGATAATGATGGCATAACCCCACATGATTGATATGAATAAATATTCACCATAATTAGCAGCAGCTTCTGTAGTCGGAATTGCTGCATATGATTCTATATTATCGTGATGATAATCAGGTATATGACCACCACAACCACCAACCAACGCTAACCAACACCAGTTTGGCTGTGAAATCGTATAAATTTCCAAGACAACGTCACAATCATCATCATTATTGTCTTTTTTTGCAGTTTGGTCATTGTCATTATTTTCAACATTATTTTTTTTGACATTTATTTTTTTCAATATTTAGTAAGTATCCGTTTCCGTAGCTGAATAAAGCTATGCATAACAAGTATTTTTTTGAATTTTAAAAACTAATCAATTCACTCAAAATACTAACCCCAATTGGTTGCGATATGAAATAGCCAAACTGAAAATAGCCAAGGCAGAAAATAGCCAAATATTTTTATTATTTTCAATATATTTTAGTTGGCTATTTTCATTTTGGCTATTTCAACCCACAATCAATTTAGTGTGATAATGAAACGTATTTTAGAACTTCATTATTCGATATTAGAACTTGATTATTCGATAATTCGAATAATATATCGCTTTATTGTATTTAATATTATACTTTTGAAAAATAAAATTTATTGGATGGTTATACGTTGTAATGAACACATAGTGTTGTTTTATTTCTTTGAGTTTGTGTATCACAACCATCATCATCTTCATCATCATCCCCATCTGGACGATCCTTATTACCGAATTTTGATGATGATGGTAAAATTCTTTGTCCATGGCCACGGTGCGGAAAAAAATTCCCTGAGATGTGGAAGTATAAAGAACACCAAAATACCTACCATCTAGGTCGAAAGATTAAGTGCCGGGGGACAAGAACCATTATCACCACCACGACCGCGACGAGGACAAGAACCATTATCACCACCACGACCACGACGAGAACAAGAACCATTATCAACATTATCAACATTATCATCACCATCTGAATCTGAATCACTACCATCTAGACGATTAATGCAACCCAAGAAAGATGGGAAAATTCTGACATGTCAGTGGCGAAAATGTCATGAAAAATTTAAAAAAATGTGTAAATATATTCATCACGAATATTTTAAACACCAAAAAAACCCAACTTATATACACTCGCAATTCCTCTCTGGTCACGGGAAATTTGCCTCCTACCTTGAGAGATTCAAAATCCAAGAAGATGGGAACTGTTGGTGCGGCGAAAGCCAAACCTCAGATCATTTACTACTACACTGCCCGGCAACGGCATCTGAGAGAGGCGTAGCTGAAGGAAGGATGGGTAAGGAACTAACATCCCTCAGCATAACACCAAAAGAATTACATCACTGGCTAGACTTAATGGAAACAATCTACAAAAGACTTTGAAACATTATTATACCTCCTGCGCTTTGAAATTTTTATTTTTATTCTTATTTTTACTCCTTTGTCCTTTTCTTTTCATTTGTACTTTGTATATTTTTTTTTTCTTTTTCTGTTTTTTTTAAGCTTTTCTTGATTCATTTGTTTTTTTTTTCTTTCTTCTTTTGTGCAAATTCATTCTCCCCTAGTTGTTCCCGACTAGTTCTAGGGGACAATTTAAAATAAAATATTATTATTATTATTATTATTATTATTATTATTATTAAACACCAAAAAAAAAAATTGAAATGTGCCAGTTGTGGAAGAAAATTCACATCAAAATCAGGTTTATACAAACATAAAAAAAACCATGAAAAAAATAAGCCACCCCAACCACCATCACCACCACCACGACGAGGACAAGAACCGCAAGCACCACCACGACGAGGACAAGAACCATTATCACCACCACGACCACGACGAGGGTTGTAATAAATATTTTTTTACAAAATGTGCCGTCACAATCAACATACAAGGACCACAAACACCACCACGAACGACGAGGACCAATTCGATGATAATGACGAATTATCCAAACATCAAAATTGAGGACAGGAATTGAAGTGGGATCCATCACAACCACATAAAAAAATCATTGGCTGAAAACACCGATTTGGACATACTCAGAAACCGCGGCCACTTCCGTCTTGAGGAGTATGCAGCATTTAACCTTATAAATTAGTTGACCAACAAAGTTTTTCTTCTCAACCATTGAACGAACGTTACTATATTTCTATTTTTCTTATGTAAAAATAAAAATTGCAAACAATCATTTTATTCAAAAAATATACGATCATCGATCGATAATAATGAAAAAGTTATGGCCAGCAATATACAAATTTACAAAAAATGAAATGAAATTATACATTGAAAAAAATGGGGAAAAAATCTATGTAAGCCACGCCTTTTTTATACCAATATTTCAAAACAATATAACTGTTACTGTACAAAGTTTGCCCTCTTTTCCCGGTAGGATTTTTTTCAATGTAGTCAATGATGCTTACAAACATCTCATCTCTTTGTTGATTGACATTCGACGATTTTCGATTATATTTACGATAATAGTATATATAAAACATTATTGCCAGTGAAAAGAATATTATTCCAAGTATAGAAATGAAAATTGGTAACGAATTTTTTTCCATCGAATGCAGTAGATAATAATTTGATTCATGAGATTTCGATGATGAAACAATTTCGAATTTGGTAGAATTTTCAAAATATAATGATGATGGAGACGTAAACGTTTGATTTGCCATTATATCCAATGAAGAAATCGAATTTATCTGCAATACAATAATAAGAAATAGTTTTGACAAACAAATATTTATCATCGAGTTGATTGATTGAATTGAATTGTCTCGGAACAAAATTTGGAAAAAAACAAAAAGTTCTTTTGGAGAACAATGAGCAACACACAAAAAGGAAGCGTACCATAGATAGTGCTATAATTTTCTAGTTTGTTTAATAAAACCGTCGATAGAGGGCAGCATATTTGATTCACATCAATGTTTTTCGATTTTTTTTTCGGACACTGAAAATTTTTTTGTTTTGTTTTTGCTGCTTGACTAAACTATTGCTTGAACCGTAATAATAAAAAGAAAACTTTGATGACAAAAAAAAAAAATCGAAAAACAACATCTTCAGAAGCTCATTGTTTTGTAATCATTACATTAACAACAATATATGAAAATCATTTAATAAAGTATTTATTCATTTTTATGTGTTTAATAAATATTTTAAAGATATGAACTGGCTACCAAAACAAGGTCACGTTTTATCAATTTGCTTGCTTCCGAGAATTTGTTCTCCAAATCAATGTTACCAATCACTTTTGATGCTTGAAATATTCATGATGGATATATCCACACATATTTTTGAATTTTCTTTCTGAACACTTTCTCCACTGACATTTTAAAATTTTCCCATCTTTTTGGGGTGGTATGAATGTTAATGCCCTTTGGCATTTGATATTAACCCATTAATGCCCAATGGAGGAACCTAATGGTCATTCAAAAATCCAATTTTCCTACGAAATCGAAGGTTACGAGAATTGATATTCGATTCGAACCTACGTTCCCAATGGAATTTGGATTACCATGACAACATTGGTTTTTGGTTATTTAAATTTAAAAATAACCCAATTTCATCATCATCCGTTTATTCTAGAATAACGGCCTTATTAGTGGGATTTTGTTATTTCAATTTTTAACAAAATTGCATTTTTTTTCTCATCATCATCATCACCATATCATAAATAAATACAAAATTGAAATCACTTCTATTATCATTATCATCATCATCACTTCTATTATGAGGCTTGTTTGTGAGTAACTGCAACTTTTACACTCGCCAAGTGCTTGCACTGTGTATAAACTTTGCATTTAATGCGGCGAAGCTGAGCCGGCTTGTTTAATAAAGCCGTCCATAGAGGGCAGCATATTTGATTTACATCAATGTTTTTCGATTTTTTCGGACACTGAAAATTTTTTTTTTTTCTTTTGCTGCTTGACTATATTTATTGAACCGTAATAATAAAAAGAAAACTTTGATGACAAAAAATCGAAAACAACATCTTCAGAAGCTCTAATGTGCAAAAATCTTTCTCAACTGCCACCAAGATATAGTGGTCGATACAACGATCGTTTTGTTTTGGTTACATCAAAACATGTAAAAGCGAGAGAAAAATCATTGCGACCGGCTAACTTGACCCTAATCGAGACAAAAGACAAAAAGAATCATTTTCGGGTTCAATATTTGCTTGTTCGTATATTTATCGTCCTTAAACATCATTTTTCCATTGCCGTGAAATGAAAAATATAATAAATCACAAGTAAATCGTGAATGAACTAAACAAGATCTGTTTATGGATCTATGGCCATTTTCAGTGTCAATAACTATCTATTTATCTGTGTTTGTACCATAGTCAATGTTTTTGTTGTGTCTCTATTGGCCCGAATCGTTTACAATACACACAAACATCTGATTTTATCTATCAATGGTGGCTATTCGTTGATAAGAAAAAAAAATGAAAAAGAAGAAACGAAAACGAAATTCTCTAAGCAAAGAAAAGCTGAAAATGAAATTAATGATTCTTTTTTCCAATTTTTTTTTCATCATCCAGCATTTTACGATGAGAAAAGAATCGTTTTTCTTATTGTAATAGTTGGATTCAAAACAAAAAGAAAAAAAGAGACGAATTTTCAAAAAAACACCCGTAGACGAAATTGGAGAAAAAAAAACACAACATTTGTTTGTTTATCATCAAACTGATCTTCTGTTTTTTTTTCGTTTTCTTTATCAGAAATTCGCAATGTGATCGTCATCATCGTTGTTATATGATTCGTGATGATTGAAAATTAATAGATTTTCTTCGATAATCGTCATCATCAGTGTCATCATTTTTTTCTCATCTTTAAAAAAATCATCACTACTAAACAACCATATCTATACATTTAGCAAAGAGTTTCATTTCACTTTTTTTTCCATTTTGTTCGTTCGGGTTTCAAATGGATAAAATATTGTCACAGAAAAAAATAATAATCATCATCATCAAACGAAGAGACAACAACAAAAAAAGATAAATGAAAAATTCTTTTCCCGAATCAGAAAGAAAAACAAAAAACGGATGAAAAGTTTTTTTCATCAATCCATCAAGGATCCTGTTACCGGAAAACTTTGTAAGTGAATGAATGAAATTTCGATTCTCATAAGTTAAATTCAATCTGATTTCCCCATGTCTGCTGCTGCTTCTGCTGCTATACGATTTGTATCCAGAAGAATATATTATATTTTCGATACTTTTTCTGGTGATAATTTGAAATTAAAATTACTTGTAACAACAACAACAAAAAGTTTTTAGTCAACTAATAATGATGATCCAACAGAAAACCAACCAATCATAAGTTGGTTGATTAAATTAATTAATTACGACAGCAACAGCAACAATAACGACAACAACAACAACGAATCATGAAAAAAACAAAAATTTGTAACAATTCTATGAAAGTGACAAAAAAAACAAACTGAAAAAAGTTGCCCATCAACACCATCATCAAAGTAAACCTGGATCATCAATTAATTCAGGTCAAAAAAGAACAAAAAAATTGTTTGAATGAATTCCAATTGTACTGGAAAAATCTAACAGTAATGAAAAAAAAGACAAGAATTTCATAGAACAAAAATCCATTGATGATGATCATTTAGTCGAATGACCCATAAGGTACGTGTCCAGAATTTTGTTTTTTTTCTCTACTGATGAATGATAATAAACATCATTTTTTTTTCTCTCTTTCTCTATCAATCCGCAAATTGTGACAAAATTGCCTACACACAAAAAAATCTATAATTGGCCATAATAATCTACGGTGATGATGAAACTTTTGGTTTTCTGGAAGATCCTACCATGAAAGGAAAAAATTATTTATTAAATTAACAAATTCAATCAACGAGGGAAAAAAAAATGAGAAAAAACTGATAGTGTGACATTGTTCTTTCCATTATTATTACCATTGTCCACACACACTGGTCTTTAATTTGATATAATTATATTCTTGCTTGTGGCCGTTGTTGTTCACACAACTAACTAGAGAGAAAGTCATCCGAATGAAAAAATAATTCCCCATCATTGATTGTGGTTGTAATGATGATGATGATGATGATAATAGTAGTAGTGAGCCAACAATGTTGTGGCCATATAAACTTGGTTAATTTTGTTGATTGAAATCAAATCTATTATTTGAAGAAGAGAATGGTGGAAAAAATACACAAAATTCATTTCATTTTCAATTCGACAATTCAATCCATCCATCTAATATATGAAGACGAAAAACAAAGTCTCAAATTGTTCACTCATCCATAATTATAGCGGAAAAGTGTAAATTTTGGAACCTACTCACAACGGAACTGAAATACAGAACAAGGACATCAATGAAAAGAAAAATGAACTGGAAAATCAAAAACAAAAAATTTTTTTTTTTAGACATTTTGCCCAAATTGGATAATGTACAAATGTGTTTGTGATCACAAACACACACACACCTACATATGAAAGGTATGAAAATTGAATTTTTACGATAATGATGATTGTCAATGACAGATTATTTTTAATAGAAAGCTGTTAATAACGAAAAATCTCTGAAACAATTTACTTTTTCAATTTCGAATAAATATGTGTGTGTGTGTGTGTGTGTCAACCGAACGAACAAACGAAGAATAATCATTAAGGTGAGTTTTCGAAAATTTTTTCTTTACCTCCGAAAAAAAGTTTCTTTCATTTTCTAAGCTTTTATTTCCAATCAAGTTTTTCTTTCTTTCTTTCTTGATAACACAAAAGACATCCGTCTTTTTTTCTTGGTTGACGGATGTATTTCCGTCGTCACTGATATTTTTTTTATTTTTATATTCAAGCACGAAAATAAAAGCCATAATTTTACCTATTTTTTCCATAATAGAATGCAATAATGGAATAACGGGTATCATATCATTGCCGGCGAGAATGAGATAGCGATAAAATCAAAAAAATTCAACTGGAACCATATATATGAATATTAAGCGAAAAAAAACTATTCGATAATGACTGATCGGAAAAAAAGGAAGAAAAAATCGATTCACAAAGGTGGACGATTTGAAAAAATTCAAATGGAAATTCATCATAACGGAAGAAAAAAAAATGATAAAAATAATTGACTATGAGAGCGAAGAAGAATTTATGTAAATCATCATCATCACGGTCGTCATTCTATTACGAAATAATATTCTATATTTTTTTCCTACAATCAAGCTAAATTCATTTCCATTATCATCATAATCATTGTTGATGATTGACGATGACAAAAACGACGATTATCACCTCTTTTCATCATCACCATCTCTCACTCTCTCTCTCTTCTTGGTTATACTACAGAAGATGATCGCAATTGATGAAGTGATGATGGAATCAACAAAAACAACTTTATTTTAAATGGAAATCATAATGACTTTATTTTAAATGGAAATCATAATGATAATGATAATGATGAAAATGAATCGGACGAATAAATAATTTTTTTTTTTCATTTTACCATCATCATCATCTTCCATTTTCAAGAGAAAAAGTATTACATTCCTAATAGTTTTTTTTGTTGTTCCAACAACAACAAAAATTGTCATTTCAAACGGCTACGATGATTATGATGATGACGATGACGATGATGACAATAAATTTATGAATCACTGAATTGTCGCCATCATTATCATCATCGTCAACAACGAAGACGACAACGGTAATGTGAAAATGTAGAAAATGGATTTGTCAACAAGATTTTTGAAAATGATATATTCGTTATATATCATCACATATACAATGTAGAAAATATTGTTTTGAACAACAACAAAAAAAATGATGATATTCTTTTCTATATTCAAGCAACCACCCACCCTCGTCTATCCCTTGTGACATAAATACACAGTGATGATGAATATATTGTTGTTACATAAGAATCGTATCATTTTTTTTATTATTCTTCCTGCCCATCTTGCGTTTATATGTTGAATTGAGATTTAGAGAGAATGATATTCTCTATATGTGTGTGTGTGAATGGATCGAACATTTACTTTTTTTCTGTTTGTTTGTTTGTTCCATCATCAAGACCATCATCATCATCATCATCATTATTATGACATTGGCATTTAAAGTTCCATATAACCAAGGACTTGAATGAAATGCGATGATGATGACAATCAAGCCAGGGCCTGACTTGCATCAATGTTATGAATGAATTGTGAATGCAAAACAAAACAAAAAAAAAAGACTGAACTGATTTGTTGATTTATATGATGATTCAGAAAAAAATGAATGAATGAATGTTCGTGTATCATTTTTATAATTCGACACATTTGGACATTCACATTCACACAAAGATGCATGAAATAAATGTTTTTTTTTGGCCAATGTTTGATCAGTGAATTGGCAACGAAATAAAAAAAATCTTGCTTTGGCATCAATATTGATGATGATGAAATAAATTGTGAAACAACTGTGATGATGATGATGATGACATGAAAAAGCGTAGTAGAAATGGTGTAACATTAAAAACGAAAAAAAAAATTCTTATCGATGTTCAACTTCTGTTTTAAACATTATTTTTCTTTTCACTTTTTTTTCTCCAAAGGTCTACCATGTGTGTTTGTGTGTGTTTCAGAAGTTTTTTCTTTCTTTTAAAAAAAATGTTTGAATTTTCAACTTTTTTTTGGCGGCTTGTCTCTTTCTTTTTGGTGATCTTTTTTTTCTTGCTTTTTTTGATTCCATAGTTGTCATCGTCATCATCATCATCTTGTTTTTGACTTTTAAGGTCGTTAAGTTTTTTTTCAGAGTTCGAATTCGAATTTAAATGAATTTATGTCGTTTTTTTTGTTGGTTGGTTTGGTGAAAAAAAAGAAGATGATGATGAAGGCAAAGTCGTCAACAAACGCACAACATAAAGTGAACATTAATGTTTCTCTTTCTCTAGTTTTTTTTTTGATTCGATCGAACGATCAAACATTCGAAACACGAATGAGCGAACCGTGCGAGTAAAAATAGAAACGGGAAATTTTTTGTTTTGTTTTCATTTCATCTGGAACATTATACCGGAGGGGGAAGGGAGAAATGAGATATATAACTATCAATCTCCAAAAGGATAGATGGATGGATGGCCTATTTGAAACGATTAACGTGATATCATCATCATCATTTTCATCATCCAATGAAAAATGTGAATTTATCGCAATTTTTTTCTGTTTGAGAAAAAAGACAAATAAAAACCTCAAAACATGATCAACAACGGCGACAAAACAATAATGAAATATCCGGAAAAAAAGTTTTGCTTCTTAAATTTATCAATTTGTTTGAGAATAAAGATGAAAAACATGAAGAAAATAATAAAAAATTCATCAAACATTCTCTTCTATCTATGCTGCTGCTTTTTCTGCGAAAACAAATATGATATTCGTGACAATCTGTAAATGACGAGGATGAAAAAAAAAACCAACAACAACAACAACAACCCCACCACCAATACACATAATGATATAATGTGTAACAACATAATGACGATGATGATGATTATAGAACAACAACAAACAAACAAACAAACAACAATAACGAAAAACGATCAATAGATTCAATTTTTTTTTCCGAAAAATTTTCTGTAAGTATTCTTCATGTATTATATAGTGATTCTACAGTGATTCTAAATAATCTCTGCCAAAATAAATGCATGCACGAATGAATGCTGGTTGTAGGATAGAGGAAAAAAAACGAAAAATTGCAAACGATTCACGAATATCGAAAATTGAATTAAACAAGAATAAAAATAATGAAAATTTACCTTGATACACACAAATAGACATTATTACTTTATTATTCTGTTTAAATTCAATTACCATCATCATAGCGACAGTGTATTGTATCGAATCGAATCGAATGTCGATATATTTGTCCAACAAAAAAAAACAGAATTTTTTTTCATTTTCAAACCGGTAAAAAGTGAATCGTTTTTTTTCCTATCTTTCTATAGGAGAAAATAAACTTTTCTAAAATATAGCAAATTGCAACGCGGGCGTATTATAAAGTCACAAAATGACAAGAAAAAAAAACTTTTTTTTCTTTTCCATTCATTCTTGTCATTTGTTGTTGTTCAACTAACTCAATAATTTAATTCAATTGAAATGTAAAAAAATAGAAAGAGAAAGAGAAAAAAAAACAGAAACCATGTAAGTTTTTTTTGTTTGTTTGTTCCAAACGGATAAGAATCGACTGGATGTCATTATCTCGTTTGTAATATGTGTGCAACAACCATATTATATTGACAATTTGATGGTAACACACACACAGAGAGAAAGAGAGAAAAAAAGGAAATAATTGAAAAATTGGACCACAATGGAAACTTGACTTGTTTGTTTGGATTTTTTTTCCGGTTGATACTGTAGCTGTTATTGTGCGAGATCCAAAATGTAAAAACAATTCGTACAAGGGATCATCGTTATCATCCAACATTATTTGGCGAATTGATAGGAAATCAAAGGCTGAACGATCATTTTAAACTATAAGGTTTAGAGAAATGATAGAATTAGTATGATAATAAAATTTCAAATGTTTCAAATTTCAACTAACCCCCATTTCGATTTTCGGTATATTTATCATGTATTTACAGAGATCGATCACAAACTATATGCATGAAAAATTAAAAAAAAGTTAAAAATTTGAAAAAAATAGAAATTTAAAAAAAACTAACCGAATCGATACCAAAATTTTTACTATAAGCAAGTATAAAATCAGCCAAATACGATTGTGAACCTTGTGGCAATTCACGCCATTGAATATTTTCCATTGGTTTAATTGCTTGGCTAAAATCATTACGAATACGATTAAAATCAATCGCTTCTTCAGGTTTCATTAATAATCCATTTTTCAATTTGATCAATATAAATAATAACCAGAATAAATGAAAATGATGGCCATTTCTTTTACATTCATCATATGGCATCATCATCATTAGTTCGGATAGTGTGTCTATAATGCATATAATCTGTATTGATTTCAATGATGATTCATTATCGAAATGTTTTTCAATACATTTATCGATATTGTCAGCATTATGCCAACGAAATATGTAATGGAAAAAATTTCCAAATAAATTAGCTGAATTTGATGATGATGAAATTTGATGAAAAATTTGTGAAAATAACTTGCGAAAATGATGGCCAATTTTAAACAAAAAATCATAATTGATAATTTTTGTTTGTTTAATCAATGTTGTTGTTCTTGCTGTACTTAATTCAGGATATTTCAAATGTATTCGAAATATAGTTTTCATTGAAAGCAAACTATACAATTGACATAGTAATAATTCGTTCATTTTATTATCTTCATATTTCTCCATTTCATGTTGTTCAAGATTATATTGATTCTGTTGTGGCCACCAAAATTCATTCAATAAATCCATACATTTCAATTGACATATTAGAATTGTTTCTAAAAGCTGTGCAAATTTTTCAAGATCATGATCCAATACATCGAAAACTTCTTTCATTCCCATAATCAATATGGCTAACAATTGGCTTTGTAGCTGTTGTGATTTTGATTCACCAATTGAATTTTGTAATAGAATACCAAAATGATATGGAATCGAATCGATCAGTTCAATGGTTAACAGATCGATTGGTGTTGAATTTTTCAAATTATGTATGGCAATTTTCTGCACAAATAATATATAGATGAATGGAATGGCCAAAAAATTGTTCGATAAATTTTTCTTCAAATGATTGACTTTGATCATTTCGTTTAGGAATAAATTTATATATTCTGCCAGAATTCCTGCATCATTGATGAACATATCATTATTGTTGCTAGTGGTGATAAAAATTTGATCAATACGAGCTTGTTCGCTGAATATTTCAATCAATTTATTGAATTTACATAAACATTTGTATAGGTCTTCCATATTCGTTTCATTTTGGTCAAATTCATCGGATATAAAGTGAACAATACCAAATGGGTCGCAACAATTTTGATAAAGTTCTTTCAAATTAATGCTGTTTTGACGGTGATTGTAGAATATCGCGCAAACATTGACCGATTCGTTCGGATTGATTTTTTTGAAATAAATATCTACTATAATCAATCTTTTCATTGAAACAAATTGTTTGACATTTGTCCGGTTCGTTCATTTGTTCCACGTTTTGAAGACTAGAATTTTCAATTTCGATCGATGGTCCAAGATTGACATCCAAAGCTTTTGCCAATTTTTTTTCAAAAAGATCAATTTTTGCATAATTTTTCTGAATTTTTTCAAATTTACTCATCTTTCGAATGGCTGCAGTTGATCGACCACAATCTTTTTGAACTATACCATGATCGAGATCATCACTATGAACAGTATTTGTTTTGGTTTTGTTTGGATTTGATTTTTGTTTGACATTTTTTTTGACAGGCGCTTTTTTCGGTATTGAATCTTTTTTGGGCTTCGTAACAGTTTGTTTTGATGATGGAGCTTTGGATTTTGTCTCGTTCTTTTTTCTTGAATAAGATGTAATCTTGCCAGATCGAAGTTCCATTTTTTTGTTTCGAATATTAACTTTCGAACAAAAATAAATAAATAAAAGTCAATGTTATGATCACATGGAATTTGTTTACATGGTAAAAAGCTTGTTGCTCACCGTGTTTGTGTTTGCCTTCACAAATGTCGTAAGATGAAGAAGTGGTCACGAATAATTTTAAGGTTGTATCATCATCATGATCGCCATATTTCGATTTAGCTTTTGATCATTTTGAATAACAGAAGACGATTCCCACGTTTGAATCAACATTTTTATCTTGATTGAAAATGTTGAAAATCTGTTATTTCTTCTGTTTACCATGTTTATAATTTGATGATGTCTTTTGTCTTTTAATTTGTTTTGACTTGTCAATATCTGAAATATTAATCGAATTCCATTGAACAAAAATAAATAAATAAAAGTCAATGAATTTATGATCACATGTGTTTTATTGTGGAATTTGTTTACATGGTCATCAAAAAGCTTGTTTCATTAGAAACTCATTGATTGATGATTTTATGAAGAAAATGAGACAGACATTCAATTTTAGTAACCAATGACTTACTTTCAAATGAAAAAAAATTGTCCATAATCATTCAAATCATAATCATCATCATCATCATCATCCAAATCAATCGTTTTGCAATTTTTGTTGATGATAATATTTTCTATATCTCTTTTTTTAAAATCTTTCTCAATCTCTTACTGCAATTGATTCACGGAAAAACTCGAATGAATCAAGGATCAATGTGTTTCTCTGAAGATTCTCTTCATTTTCGTGAAATCAATTTTTGAAAATAGAAAAAAAATCAAAGTCATCTGTTACGATCAATCTATTCCGTTCTTATTATTGTTATTGCCATTATTATCATAACTGTAACGGGAAATCATCGTTTTTATTTTTTTTTTTTTTTTGAAAACGAAAAAAAAAAAAATGATGATCACTGAAACATCTGTGCGCTGGTTCAAATATATTCGAATTGTGCTATACATTATAATGTGTGATGATGTTTGTAAAATAAAAGAAAAAAAATCCACAAACTACGTAATTCAGAATTTATATCACGAAAAAAAATTAGATTCTTTGATCACTAGATAGTGTTTTTCTTTCATTTGTTTCTACATTTCGTAATAATGATTCCTAATAATAATTCTGTAATGAGTGAGAAAAAAAAACAACAGAATAAAATTCATAATGAATAGTTTGTGATTGTATTTTTAGTTTCAATCAAGATCAAGAATTTTTGTTTTCTCGTGCTACAATGATAATGAGCATGATGATGATGATGTATTTATTATTATTATATGTTTGAATGAAGTGAAATGAAAATGAAATCTCGAAAGAAAAAAAAACATATAAACCTGACAAGTAAAGTATATCAGTGATGTAAAAAAGAAAAAAAAAAATCATCATAAGCCTAGGTAATTAAAACATTCGACAATGTCATTGTGTGTGTATACATGTGTGTGTTCTTCATTACGGATGGATGAATGAGTGAAAAGGTTTTTGTTTCATGAGAAATATAAGAAAAAAAGTTAAAAGTAAAAAGTTAGATCAAACAAACACGGTGAATCTTTCATTTTGTTTTTTTTTTTTTCGTTCATATTCTTTATCTATATTTTTTTTCGTGTAGTTCTAGTTGTACACACACACACATAGAGAGAGAATGATGATGTTTCAACTTTACCATAATAATCATGATGATGATGATAATATGACTAACTACTTTTCGAAAAAACGAAAAATTCTTATGTTTCACTGAATTTATTATGGCATGAATTTTTTTTTTTTTGTTTCGTTTGTATTTCACCCAGAATTTTATTCTTTTGTTTCATTTTCATTTCGGTGGATATTATTATTTTCGGTCCAACTGATTTAATATGGTGTTTGGGGTATATATCTACAAATTTTCTGTTTCTGTTGGATTTTTTTTTCGTTGTTGGCTTAGTGAATAGAGATAAGAAACAAGTTGGACATTTGAAAATGACGATATTTTTTTGTTCAAGTAGCGGTGAAGTTTTTTTTTTTTTGCTTGAAAACAAAACATAACGAAATCAAAATTGCATTGTGTGTTCGTGTGTTTGTCAAGTTTAAATTTTTTTTTTCGTTTTTTTTTCTAGAAAATTTCTTTGAGAAAATTCAAAAAAAAAATTTCTCTGTTGTATTTAAAACAAACTAATGTTCTATGATGATACATGCAGAAAAGACATTCAATCTAATTGTGTGAAAATGAATCACCGAACTAAATAGAGAGAGAGAGAGAGAGAATCAAACTTTTGAATAAATTCTTATTCTCGTTTTTCGTTCTATGAATATTGTATTGTATTGTATATATGGCCAATTTGATCATTATCAACCATCACCATCACCATCACCACCACCACAATCATTATGGTAAAATGTAATGAATATTTTCCTTTATCTGATTTGATCATTTTGAATTCATTCATTCATTCATTCATTGTTGATGATCATAATGAATTGAATTTAATATAGTAAGGAACAAAAAAAAATGGACTTTTTTTGTGTGTGTGTGTGTGCATGTGAATGATTACTGAGTAACTATAGTTAGCCAGAAGAAGAAGAAGAAAAAAAATTCTGATTCATTTATCCAAGTGACAATATCATCATCATCATCATCATCATTATCATCATCATGTGCCAACCAATGTGTGTTGGACAATATTATTAATAATAATAATTTTTTTTCTCGTTTGTTTCATAAAGAATTTCAGAAATATTATTTATTTCCGTTGTGTGTGTGTTTTGGATTCTCTTTCTCTGGATGAATAAAGTAAGAATTTGAAATATAGAAAGATTTATTTTTCATTTTTTTCATATTGTGAAATCTGACCAAATTTTTCGTTGTCATTTTGGTTATCTTTCCGTTGTTGTACATTTATATATAGAGAAAGAATATAGACCACTAGATAGAATGATTGTTTTTTTCTGTATTGCTAACGGTTTTGGTCAATGTTAAGCAAGATGATGATGTGCCAGCATTTGCGTTATAAAACTAGATTCAAAAGAGTGTATGAGAAGATTTGCCGGTATGAAGAATTTTTTCTTCTCTCTCTTTGGTTCTTGGCTGTTGAAAAAATCAAAATGAAAAAAATTCTCTATCTGGTGGTGGTGGTTAAACACAGTTGCAATTTGGACATCAAACGTGTTGTTACATTTTTTTCTTTGAAATTCTGGAAATTCGTTTTCTCCATTACGGCTATTTGTATATGTGTGTGTGTAGTGATGCGTTGAAAATGACGATAAATTGAATTCAATCAAAATGGCGATTATAATCAATCATCAAAGTTTTGATTATTTAATCATTTTATCGTTTGCATTCATTTTATTTGATGATTTTTGTTGTTTAAAAATTTCATCAATAAAATCATCACCACAATCCATTAATGCTAATGTTCAACAACAAAAACGTGGACCAGAATTTCTTATTGAACCACCCGGAATAATTACATTTATAAATGATACCGGTACGGTAATTACTTGCAGTGCACGTGGACAACCATCGCCAAAAATTTATTGGATTTATGCTACAATCGCTACAGAAAATGGCATTGGTGGTGGTAGCATGATGAATCATTTAATACCGGTAGATGGTCTGCAACAAATTCGTCATGATTCTTTGGCATCACAATTAATTTATTTACCATTTAAATCAAATCAATATCGACAAGATGTACATTCAATCAGGATACGTTGTATAGCGACAAATCAATTTGGTTCCATTCAAAGTCATGATATTCAAATACGTGCATGTAAGTGATGAACAATGAACATTTGGATATGAATATTTGGCTAATGCTTCAAGAGAATAAAAAAAAAATGAAATGAAAAACTTTTTTATTGCCCAGAAAAAAAATCCGATATTTACATACAAATGAATGTGATATTATACAGTTTTATTTTCGTTTTTTTTGTTGCATTTCCGTAAACAAATTCTTTGGTTTTTGTTTTCGACAATGTATAACCAAAGACAAAACCATTTTGGTTGTTTTGTTGTTGTCGGTTCACTGGTTGAAACAAAACAAAACAAAAAAGTTGGAAAATTCAAACAACAACAACAACAACGACCATCATCCTAATCATTGATGTTCTTACTTACGATGGTCATAAATTATTCTTTTATTCCATTTTTTTTCCTTGTTTTCTTTTTTTTCTTGGTTCAATTCCACATTGTTGTTGTTGTGTAAAATAGTCAACCGTGTGTGTGTGTGTGTGTGTGTGTATACAGGCGAATTGTCTAAAAATAATGATGATGATGATGATTTGAATGTAAAAAAAAGATTTTTCTTGTACTTTTGTAAACTTTTCTTCTTATTTTCCATTTGTTACTGGTTGAATTTTTCAACCAACGTGGCGTGAAATAAGAAAAGTTTTTTTTTCATTCTCTTGTTAGCGAAGAGATAAAAACAAAACTGGAAAAGAATACTGGAATATGGAAGAATTCCTGTGATGGTGATAAAAATCTTTTCTCTTTTTTTTCTTGTTGGAAAAATTTTTTCATTTTTTTCCATTTATTTGAAAAAAATATTTATCTTTGTTTTTTTTTGTTGTGAAACATTTCCTTAGTTTTATCTCTTTATCGCCAGAATCATTATTTTTTCCGTTAATTTTTTTTCATCTTTTTTTCCAATTCAATTAAAAAAAAATATCCACATTTTAGCCGTACGACAACCATACGATATACAAGTGTATGATGATTTTGTTATCAAAGAAAATACTGGGGTAAGTTGCCAGACAATTTTTCATTTTGTTCCAAGAAAATTTCTTCATTTTCTAAAATTTTATTTTAGATATTACGATGTCATATACCGAGTTTTATTCGTGAACATGTTCGTGTTACAAATTGGCTTCGCCATAGAGATGATAATGGTGTTGTTGGTGGTGGTAACACTGCTGGTGATCAGATAATTATATCAGATCTAATTAAAGGTCAGTGAAATTGTATTATGAATTGAATAGAGCAAACAGAAAGAAAAAGAAAAAAGATGAAGAATTTATTATCATGACAATTCCATTCCATATTACTGAAATAGAGAAAGAAAAATGAAATTCTCAGTACCCACCCCCACACACACACACACTGTTGTTGACATTTGTAGCATCTTTTTTTTCCTTTTCATAAAATCGATTATTATTATGCCATTTGCAGATATGTGTGATGCTCATTTCATTTATTATTATCGCACATTTCAAATGAATTCATTTTTGTTTGTTTGTTTTTTGACTCAAGGTGGCCGTTATAGTATCATGCCTAATGGTGATTTGCATGTACATTATATTCAAATTGATGATAATGATCGATTATCATCGTCTTCTTCTTCTTCTTCTTCTTCATCGTCAACGAGTTTACAATCATCATCATCATTTTCATCATCAACAACAACAAAAACAGCCATGTTTCGTTGTCAAACAAAACATTTGCTCACTGGTGAAATAAAACAAAGTGCCAATTATGGACGACTTATTGTCACTGGTATATGTTATATATGGTTGGTTTTTTTTAATGTTGATAATTTTTTTTTGTTTGAAAAAAAATTCAGATGCTCAATCACGAATGCCACCAAAAATTATCGCTACAATAGGCTATAATAATAATAATGGTGGTGTTAATAGTCCAACTAATAAAAATTTCGGTTATAATCGAAAACAAAAAGTGATAGCCAATTTTGGTGATATTATCGAGCTACCATGTTTAGTACAAGCTAATCCTTGGCCAACATTCACCTGGTATCGAATGAATCATAATAATAAATATTCATCAATTACACAACCAACAAAATTTAATGATCCACAACATCAATCATCATCATCATTGTTAACGCCTATATTGAGTGGCGCAAAAAAAATTATTCAAATTGATAGTTCATTATTTATACACGATGTGTCGCTACTGGACAGTGGAATATATGTGTGTATTGCAAATAATTCACTTGGCCAAGATCGTATTGAAACCGAATTGATTGTTAAAGGTAAAAAGTTTTGAAAAAAAATCCCGATCAATTGAAAAAAGTCCATTTTCCATTATTTAATTTTTAGCACCATTACATGTTCAAATAATACCATCGATCATCAAGGCAATCGATGGTGATACCATCGAATTTAATTGTACCATATCAACTGGAAGTCGTAATATAAATATTGATGATGGAAATTCATTAATCGATCGTATACGTTGGTATCATAATACACAATTATTAACAATGATGATTCCGTCCACATCATCATCGACAACGATTCTGCAGGAGAATTTGGATTCTAGATATCGTTTTCTTGATCATGATCATATACTACAAATACGTAATGTTGGTCGTGAAGATAAAGGAATGTTTGTAAGTAAATTTTTTTTTGAAAAAAGAAATTCTGAAATTTTTGATAATCCAAAAAAGCAATGTATCGTCAGTAATGAATTTGAATCGATTCAAGCTACTGGTGAATTATCGTTGGTTGATGATCCACCATCGTTTGTATCCGTATTCAACATTGCTGAACCATTAAGGCCAGGCAAATCACTTTCATTGAAATGTTCAGCAATCGGTACACCATTACCACAAATTATTTGGACATTAGATGGTCAAACTTTACAAGAACATGGCCGAATCAGAGTTGGTGATTATGTTAGTGCCGATAATGTTGTGAATAGTTTTGTCAATATAACCTCATTACGAAGTGAAGATGGTGGCATGTAAGTTTGAAAACATCACATGAACAATCAACTAATCGTTAGCTATCTCTCTTTTTATAGTTATTCATGTACAGCATCAAATGATATCCATTCTATAAGTCATTCAAGCCGTATCAATGTTTTTGGTGCTGCATCAGTTCGTTCGATGAAAAATTTCACTGCCATTGCTGGGCATAATCTTCAATTACATTGTCCAGCCGCTGGATATCCAATAGAATCGATTGAATGGTATAAAAAGTCTACGAATCATATGAACGATATTCATCAATCATCAATCAATCGTTTGCCACAAAATCATCGACAAAAAACATTTCCAAATGGAACATTGATTATTGAACGTATTGAACGTGGATCAGATGACGGTGAATATCGTTGCCAAGTAACAAGTGAATCAAATGTGGCTAGTGCTGACACTTTTATACGGGTACTAGTTGCACCATTGATAAATCCATTTCATTCACCGCCAAATCTCCGTGAAGGAATGCGTGTAATGCTTACCTGTTCAGTGGTTGAAGGTGATCCACCATTAATGATTCAATTCCTTAAAGATGGTATACCTATTTCAATGAAACAACAACAAACAACAAGTGCCTTAGTAGAAAATCATCATATGAAATTTGATAGAACCAATGATTATTCTGCTACATTGTTCATCGAATCGGTTACGAATGAAGATTCAGGAAATTATAGCTGTATTGTATCAAATAATGCAGCAATCGCTACATATTCCATTTTTATGAAAGTGAATGGTAAATTTAAATTCGTTATATATATCATTGTGTTATGATTTGTCAATTTTTTTTTCTTTTAAAAAATTCTAGTTCCACCTAAATGGATTATCATGCCAAAAGATATTGAAGCCATCGAAGGACAAAATATAGCCATTGATTGTTCGGCCACTGGTGATTCCAGAGTATGGTGGGAACGTGCATATGAAAAATCATTATCACCACCAATGCATTCGAAATCGACATTGTCATTGATGAAAAATGGTGGCAATCACAATATTTCGAAACAACAATCATCAACGATGAATCATTTTCGTACGGTCGTCAGTAATTCACACATACATACAGCAGAAAATGGAAGTTTAATATTTCGTGATATTCAATATGATGATTCAGGCACTTATCTTTGTCAGGCAAATAATGGTGTTGGTTCTGGTTTGAGTAAAGTAATTAAATTAAAAGTACATGGTAAGTCATTCATAGTTGTGAATGAATCATGTTCATGAAGCTTGATTTTATTTTTCATAGTTCCTGCATATTTTAAAAATAAATTTTCATCACAAACTGTACGACATGGTGAATCTGTTGAATGGAGTTGTGAAGTCAATGGCGAACAAACGATTGATTTGCAAATTTCTAAAGATCGAATGATTTTAGATTTTGTTCCTATCAATAATAATGAGGATAATTCGTTAAAATCAAATTCTGACACAAAAATTCTTCATTCTGATAATCGATATAATCTGATACGAAAATTACAAAACGATCATCTTGTGTCATATATCATAAGAATTGATCAAGTTGATCGTCGTGATTCATCGTTATTCACCTGTGTTGCATCAAATCCATATGGAAAAGATGAATATAATTTTCAGCTGATAGTTCAAGAGCCACCAGAACCACCGGAAAATCTTCATGCATTGGAAATTGAAAGCAGAAATGTAGTCATTGCATGGTCACAACCGTATTCTGGTAATAGTCCAATCGTAGCATATCATGTTGAATATCGACTATGGATGGATTCATCGACATCTTGGTCCAATGTTCACCACACGTCTAATCAATCTACAATTGTTGAACATAATACTGCTGCAATGATTAGTAAATCATTACCGCCAGGAACAATTTATCGTAAAACATTACCAGGAACCGAAACATCAATAAATCTAAGATCATTACAGCCAATGTCAACATATGAGATACGAGTTCAAGCTGAAAATCAAATAGGTTTTGGTTCATTTCAGCTAACACCATTGAAAATAATGACAAAAGAAGAAGGTGAATAGTGTTTTTCAATTCAAATTCGAAACTAATTTTGCTTTTTTTCATTAATTAGCACCATCGGGACCACCATTGAATATTCGAGTGTTTCCAGCCAGTGCTCATACATTACAGATTTCATTTCAACCACCTAGATTGGAAAATCAAAATGGTCAAATACTTGGCTATTATGTTGGTTATAAAGCGGTGGATTTGGATGAACATTTTATGTTTAAAAAAATTCTTGAAGATAATAATCGATCTATTCAAATGAAAGAGATTAACATTACTGATTTACGTCGTTACTGATTTACGTCGTGCTACTAAATACGTGATCATTGTACAGGCATTCAATAGGATTGGTCCTGGACCACAATCCGAAGAAATTGTCGGTGAAACCTTGATCAATGATCCACCAAGAGCTCCTGTATTAACTTCGATCAATGTCGGTTATAACAGTGTTGAATTGAATTGGTCTATTGAAACGATGGACGATTCATTCGATGGCGGCTTGCATGTATCATCAAAATGGTGGTGTTTGTGGTTCTTGTCCTCGTCGTGGTCGTGGTGGTGATAATGGTTCTTGTCCTCGTCGTGGTGTGGTGGTGTGGTTCTTGTCCTCGTCGTGGTCGTGGTGGTGATAATGGTTCTTGTTCGTGGTGGTGTCCTCGTCGTGGTCGTGGTGGTGTTTTTGGTTCTTGTCCTCGTCGTGGTGGTGTTTGTGGTTCTTGTCGTCGTGGTGGTGTTTGTGGTTCTTGTCCTCGTCGTGGTCGTGGTGGTGTTTGTGGTTCTTGTCCTCGTCGTGGTGGTGTTTGTGGTTCTTGTCCTCGTCGTGGTCGTGGTGGTGTTTGTGGTAGTGGTGGTGGTGGTGGTGGTAGTGGTGTTGGTGATGGTAGCAGTTGTAGTTGGTGCAATTCTTGTTGGTGTAGTTGTTGTAGTTTGTGTAATTCTTGTTGTAGTTGGTGTAATTCTTGTTGTTGTAGTTGTTGTAATTGTTGTATGTGTTTTTGTATTAATTGTTTTCGTTGGTTGTCATCCATGTTTCTAAATTGAATATAAAAAAAAATCATTTGAGTAAAAATAAAAGAGATAAATTTAATTGATTAGTTTTTAAAATTCAAAAAAATACTTGTTATGCATAGCTTTCTTCAGCTACGGAAACGGATACTTACTTTGAAAGTAGACGATTATAACCAACCAGCAAAAACAAACTTAAAAATTTTTAATTAATAGTAACACAACTAACAAGCTTCAATATATATATATTCAACAATTCAATCATTAACATAATGAATGAATTGAAAGCTATTATTATTATAAAAGCTATTATTATTAACATAACTTGTTGTTAAAATAACAATGATGACGATGATGATCAATCAGCAAAAATAATCGAGAATAATGGTAATAAAACTATTAAACAATATGATAGTTTGAATAAGATTTTCGACAATTTAATGAACATTCAAGAAACATGCATTTTAAATAATTTTATCGAAGACGAACAAATAAAAGAAAGAATGACACAAACCATCAAATTATATTCGCACTGGAACAAAAAGTTCATAGTTGCCAAGAATAAAACAATACAAGAAAAAGAAAGTTCTAATAAGAAATTCATAGAAACAAAAATTTTGGCAACAAGTGAATTAAATATGAAGTCTGGAGATCCGATGGATTTTCCATTATGGTCAAAATACATAGAAAAAGAGATAGTTCAAAACGATAATTTCACAGAATTAGAAAAAATTATCAAAATTAAATCGATGTTACCAAACGATTTCGTTTTAATTTTTGATTATGAAAAACCCAATGTGAAAGATATTATTGAACAAATCAACAAAAGATATAATTCAGAGTTGCTAATAGCAAATTCAATAAGAAAGAAAATAAACAATTTAAATATCTTAGATGAAAAATCCAAAGCGGAAGATTGGAATAAAGCCTTAACAATCGTTGAAGCAATAAATGTTTTGAATAAACAGGGAAAAGAATTTGCAGCAAAAGAATTATCCAAAAATATGTTATTTAAAATCAAGAAAAATGATAATTTATTTGCCGATCTGCATGAAAAAGATTTTACAAAGAAATTATTGGAGAAAATCAAGAAATCTTTTGAAAGTGCATCCAATAGAGAGATGTTTGAGCCACAAACACAATCAAAAACGAAAAATTCAGCTTTGGTAACGATTGAAAAAAGTTGTTTCTTATGCAATGGGAAACATCCCAGTTTTTTATGTAATCTTCCGAGAAAGGAAAAATTTGAAAAAGCAAAAGAAAAAAAGTTATGTTTTAAATGTCTTGGAAAATTCAATCATTTTCATACAAATTGTAAAAAAGGCAGACGATGTAATTGTGAAAAGAAAATGAACATCACAATTTGTCCATGCCAAGAAGATAACAAAGAAAAAGTAGTTGTTAATAAAGAAAAAGAAAATAAAGAAGAAAGTCAAATTTTGGAGAGTCAAAGTTTTGCAAGTCATGTTTCAACAACAGGAAAAGAACATGCGGCGGTTTCTGCAGGAAAAAAAACAAAATCATTTTTATCGATTATTGAATTATTTGCAGCTAACAACAAAAGAAAACAAAAAGTTTTTGCATTATTAGATGGGTGTGCAACAATTAGTTCAATTTCATCGAATTTGGCCAAGAAATTACGAATAGAATCGATAATCGAAAACGAAACTGAAGTTCAAGGATACGGAAGCATTTCAACTGGTCTACAACGTGCCACTCAAATATATTTCGAATCATTAAATGGAATAAAATTTGGTCCAGATAAAATTCTAATTGGACCAGAAAAAATTTTAGATGATGTAGATTCCGTACCAAACTATATTTTGGAAAAAGCAAAAACAATGGGTTTATTTCCAATTTCACCATCATCTGAATCATCTCCAATAAGAATTGACGCATTATTTGGCTTAGACTGGCTTTTCCAACATATACTTTCACCAGTTAGTGAAAGAAAATTTATTGATTTGGGAGACGGTTTCGAGGCTTATGAAACAAAAAAGAAGTCTTACAGTCTCATCTTTTTTTTCTTCTTTATTTGATCCTTTAGGTCTTTTAACACCATTTCAATTGAGCTTCAGAGAATTTATACGAGATCTACATTTATCAAAAATCAATTGGGATGAGCCATTAAATCAATCTTTCATATTACGAGCAGAAAAGTTGGCGAAACAAATGGACGATTTAAAACGTGTTCATCTTCCACGAGTTGGTACTTACGTACTTTACCCACCGCAGACTGGTTTGTTTGAGTTTTGTTTAAAATAAAGACTGTTTTGATTCAAAATGTGTTTAGTGTAATTTAGTTTAGTTTAGGTTAGGTTAGGTTAGGTTAATTTTTCCTAAGGCTTATAAATATAAAAAAAAATAAAATAATAGAATTATAGAAAATTAAGACTGTTAACATGGAAATTTATTGGTTTGCAAGTTTGTTGTTTACAGATTTTTTACCAAAAACATCAGTTTTATTTAAATGGCCAGTTTTTGTTGATGATAATGGTTTATTACGTTTCAAAAGAAGGATAGAAAATTGCCAATTATCATTTAATGAAAAATTTCCAATTATTCTCATCGACAAAACAATTGTTAGAGATATGTTAAAAGAAATTCACATTAATCTTTTCCATGGTGGAATTTTTCGAACGATAGAAGAAATTAAGAAAAATTTTTATATTCCAAAGTTATATTTTTTGGTAAAAAATTTAATCGCACATTGTCAAAAATGTCAAAGATTTAAGGGAAAGGCTTATGGTTTTGAGTCACCACCATTGCCTAAAGCAAGAATGTTAATACCAAAAAGAGCGTTTTGTAACATCGGTATCGACTTGTTCATTAATAGAGAAATGAAAGAAATGAAAATCTTTTCTATGATTTTTGTTTGTGCAAACTCAAGAGCTGTCCATCTTGATGTTGTGCAAAATAAAGGAATAGAATCTGTATTCCAATGCCTAACCAGATTCATAAGTTTATATGGTTTACCAGAAAAAATTTGGTCCGACAACGAAAAAAGTTTTTCAACAAGCAAGAAAATTCTATTGAAATTTATTTTCGCCAAAAAGAAAGTACAACAAAATTATAATGTAAATTGGGAATTTAATCCACCAGCAGCACCATGGTACGGTGGTTTTTATGAGAGATTAATTCGTTCGGTAAAAGAAAGTTTATCAGTTGTGGTGGTCAAGAAACATTCTCAAGAAAGTTTCAGAACACTTTTGACGGAAATCCAAGGAGTAATAAATGATAGACCATTATTCAGAAGTTCAGATGGTACATTCGTTACACCATACCATTTGATTTTCGGAAATAAACGTTCGACATTATTTTCATCAGTCAGTATTGTCGATTCTGAGCATGATAGATTATCATTGTTGTACGAAAAACTAGTTGGGAATATCAGAGAATTTTGGGAGACTTGGAGAAACAACTATCTCACCGAATTAAAAAATTTCGGATCAAAAAATGGAATCACGCCACGAATTGGCGATTTAGCTTTTTTAAAAAATGATCAAAGGCGTCAGGATTGGCCGATAGTCGAAATTTTGGAGTTGAATAAAACTGGTAAAACAGCAAAGATTTTGGATATCTCCAACGGGAAAACTTATTGTCGTTCAATTCGTTGCTTGGTTCCGTTGGAGGGGGACAATGTTATAAATTAAATTATTGAATAATTGCATATATAAGCACAGTTATGCTAAGTCATAACACCAACTTTCTTATATTATTATTTTTTTTGATTATACTATTAAAATCTTTCTTTTATTTGTGCTAATCATTCCCGTTTCATAATAGCGTGTTAAAGAAATTTTACAATTATGCCATGATAAAATGAATCATATTGGTTGTTGGAATTGTTGAAAGAAAGATTGAATTACTGATTAATGTCACTGTTGAGCGTATTTGATTAGTACGATCAATGGTGAACTAGTTCTATAAATTAAGCATGTTTAGCAGTTATTTATAATTAATAAAAACCATTTTAAAAGCCAAACTATTGAATCTTTATAACTATTGAATCATATACTTCAAAGCCTCTTGCATATTCCAATATTGGTCAACACAAATGTCTAGATATCGTATTTTGTCGTTTTTATTGGCCAAAATGGCGTAATGATGTTAAACAATGGATTCGTAAATGTGTCTGTAACGTTAAAAAAGATAATGATCCTCATCCTGCTAATCAACCTATGTCTGCAACTGATATTGTGAATCTCAATCCTTTTGAAAAAGTTGCAATCGATATCATGACATTATCATCATCTGAATCGGGCAATCGTTATATTTTTGTTCCAGTTGTGCGTTTAAATTATATTTTTTTTAAATTGTGATCTAGTGATTTTCTTAAACCGTCGTCTTTGAAACTTCAGTGATTTGTTAAAAAATATAACCGTTTATTGTAAATAGATATATCGTTATTTTTGGGTAAATATTTTTACATATTATTTCAGATTTTATATTCTGCACATCGTTTGCAAGAACATGTTGCGTCACGACTGAACTTTTAACCTGTAACAAAATTAAAATTAAAATTACCTTGAATTAATTTATTATTTTCTTGTGTTGGTAATATTTTTAGTACTTTAATATGTGACGAAATATGTTCTTGCAAACGAATGCAGAATAAATTTTTATAACAATATTATTGAAATAAATATATATTTTTTAGAATTTCTTATCATGGCTAGTTCAATAAAAAAATCGAAATTATCCGAAACATGTTGTAGCAGAAAATTTCAAGCTTGGTGGACCGATAGATACGGTATGATTGAAAAGGACAATAAAGTAATTTGTGTTTTGTGTTGCACAACTTTAGTCTGTAGAACATCTTCAGTAAAGCGGCATTATGAAACCAACCATAAATTTCTTCTCGGTCGAAGTGTAGAAGAGCAAAAGGAGTATATATCACGTGCCTTAAAAAATAAAAATGCTCAAACTATTTCTTTAATGAAAGAAATAGAAAAAAACTAAAAACTAATAAAAACTAAAAGGGGAGTTTTTATTTATTTTATTATTATTTATTTCTTTATTGGAACTGAATCAAACACCACCGCTGCCAGTTGGCTTCAATGTGCACCATACTTATTCGATGATTTTGAAATCAAAGAAAAAATTATCCAAAGAATCAAAGACATACCGATAGCTAGAAATACAGTCAAAGAGAGAATCTTGGATATGGCGGAAAATGTAGATTTTCAACAAAAAATTCATATAAAGTCTTGCGATTTTATATCCATTTGTCTTGACGAGTCTACCGACGTAACAGGCTCTTCTCGCTTAGCAATTTTTGTACGTTATTTCGTTCAAAACAATATTAAAGAAGAGTTGATAAGTTTATCAACATTAACAACAACAACAAAAGGAATCGACATTTGTAACGCAGTTATAGATGCATTGGAAAAAAAGAAATATGTCCTTCTAAAATTGTGTCAGTTACAACTGACGGTGCCCGCAGCTTAACTGGACGGGAAAATGGGTTTATAAATTTATTTACAAAACGTATTGGACACCCAATTCTTTATTTTCATTGCATTATTCACCAACAAGCGTTATGTGCAAAAACCGGTTTAAAAATGTTTGAAGATATTTTGTGTTTTGTAACAAAATTGGTCAATTTTTTATCAGCACGAGCATTAAATAAAAGAAAATTTCAAGAATTGTTAAATGAAGTAAACTCGTCGTACAATAGTTTACTTTTATAAAATAATGTCCGCTGGTTAAGCCGCGGAAATGTTTTGCAAAGGTTTGTAGATTGTTTGGAGGAAATAAGATTATTTCTGAATAATGAAAACATGATTGACCAATACAAACAATTATTGGATGTAGAATGGTTAGCAAAGTTATATTTTTCACTGATTTATGTTCTCACTTGAATGAATTAAATATAAAATTACAAGGTAAATATAAAACTGTAATTATCATGTTTGACCTAATTAAATCTTTCGAAACCAAATTAAACATTTTAATCGCGATATTTTTCCAATTCTTATAAATATTTCCCAAATACCAAAAATTTTTTTTCAGAAAGTGAATGCCACGAAAAGCCAATTAAAGAGTCATTAACAAAAGAATTTTCAATGGTAATTCAATCCCTGATTCAGGAATTTTCTGCAAGATTTACGCAGTTTAAAGAATTTGAAGAAACATTAAAATTCATTTTATATCCTGATACAATACCATTCGAAAAATTAAATTTAAAAGTCCTTGACTGGTTAAATTTTAATGAATTAGAAATGCAATTAGTTGAATTTCAATCAAGTACCATATGGAAACAAAAATTTGTTGATTTAAGAAATGATTTAGAAAATATTGAAAGTAATCGATTATTAGATCAAATAAATAAAATTGCGGAAGATGAAATTCTATCTACATGGAATTCAATTCCTGACACGTTTAATTGTTTAAAAATATTAGCAAAGGCAATTTTGTCAATATTTTCATCGACGTGGGCATGTGAATCTTTATTTTCGGAATTAAATTTCATAAAAAATAAATATAGGAATAGAATGACGGATGAGTCTAGTTCGGCATGCGTTTTGTTGAAATTAACTAAATATGAACCAGATATTAAATTGTTATCATCTGGAATACAAAAACAAAAATCACATTAAAAATGTTTTAATTGATATTTGTTCATTTATTTATTTATTCAATGTAATCTTTTCCGTTTTTTTACTCACATCACCATCATCATCATCAATAATCAATCAACAAGTTGTATCATCAATAATCAATCAACAAGTTGTATCATCAATAATCAATCAACAAGTTGTATCATCAATAATCAATCAACAAGTTGTATCATCAATAATCAATCAACAAGTTGTATCATCAATAATCAATCAAAAAGTTCTCTCTCTCTCTCTCTCTCTCTCTCTCTCTCTCTCTCTCTCTAGTGATAGAAATTCTAAAATTATTCATATTTACTTTCAAGGTATGAATATGGTCATTGAGAGAGCGGAACATATGTTCTGTGTCTGTTGTGCTATTTATTCTATCCGATTTGTTTTTATGGTGATTTCGAATAAAATTCATTTGTTTTCTTATTTATAAATTGTGAATTATCGATAAAAACAATTAATATGAGCCTCAACGTAAGTCGTATTTTGTTCTTTTGCTGGTTGCTCATCAATATCTTCGTTGAAAATGATTTATTTTCAGAATTGCAAGAACAGAAGAGTACGAATCAATAAAAATTCTTGCAGATCGGTTTGTTCTTTTCGACCATAATGATGCCTGGAAAATTGCAAATAATTCCTGGAAAATCCAACACGACCAGCCAATTTTGAACAGTCAGTATAAATATGAAAATCATGATTTTGGTTACGAACGTTATTTAAGAAGTTGAAAATACAAATGGGTGATGAAATTGGTTAACAGGCAGCGTTAATTGAAATTTTAAATCTGATATAAATGACCAACATATAAGGAATGTTTGATCCGATGAATATTTGTAAGATAAATCAGCCTTTCCCAAACTTTTTTGAATGTATGAGATTTTAAAATTTTTCGCGGCCCACCTTTATTTCAGAATCGAGAAAATGACAAGTCCAACCTAACACGATCAGTTCAGATGGTTAGTTATTGGAATTAGTTACCAGAATTGGTTGGTTTCTATACCGTTTTTTAGATTTATTAAAAATTATTTTCAATAAATCAATAATGATGAATTGTGTTTTTCAAGATTCAGAGTTAAATAATGTTTGTTACATTTAATTAATTCGATATGTATCGGATGTTCTGCCATTGAAGATGAAAATATTTATTTTTAGAATATGTTGTTGTAATTTTCCACACAATGAATAACATTAACAAATGATCATCCAAAAAAATTTTATGATTCGAAAAAATGTAAAAGTCGATAATAATTCAAATTCAGTTTGGATTTGTCATTTTCTCGATTCTGAACTGGTCGTGTTAGGTTGGATTTGTCATTTTCTTGATTTTGAACTGATCGTGTTAGTTTGGATTTGTTATTTTCTCGATTCTGAACTGGTTGTGTTAGTTTTGAAATTTGTCATTTCCACGATTCTGAACTGGTCGTGTTAGGTTGAATATTGGTCATTTTCTCGATTCTGAACTGGTCGTGTTAGGTTGGATATTGGTCATTTTCTCGATTCTGAACTGGTCGTGTTAGTTTGGACTTGTCATTTTCTCGATTTTGAATTTTGAATTCTTACTTTACAACAAAAAATGGCACAAAATAAACCATATATTTTATTTATGTCTTAAAACAAGATTTAAAACAAATGCAAAATTGTCAAAATTGATGTTAAGTATGATTGCACGACATTCGAAAATTGGTGTCTATACATTTTTGCTAATCTCAGGGATTTATTAATCTGCAAGATGGCAGTACAGTCGAGAGGGGCGAAAATTTCCCATACATAAACTTTGACACCCCACATCTACTCTCGAAAATGGTAGCCGGAAGTTGAAACTCAGATTGTTCAAAGAGCAACTCTTTCACTATGCAATGGTAAAATATTTTCGCTTGATTCCGAAAAATCTAAAATCTAAAATTCTATAGTTGAAGTTAACAATGATTCATTGATTGATTTGATTAGTGAAAATCAATCAGAAGTGGTGGATATCAATTCATTTGTAAAAGTTGGAGAAAAACAACAGGAAAAAGTAGATGAAAAAGTAAATGAAAAATCATATGATTTAATCGGTGTACGGACGAATGACGTTATTGACAATAAATCTGGAGTTGTTACTGGGACAGGGGAGCATAATATGAATGATTGTGATGATCTAACTTGGGACTGTACTTCATTTGAATATTATCGTAATCGTTTTAAACGTCGCATGTTACAACAAATTGTTCTGAGTAACTTTTTTATCGTAAAAAGGATCGAATCATATAAACTGGAAGCGGACTGGCTTACAAAATTGTAACGTAATCTATCTCTGAAATTACTAGACGATTCAGACAAACAAAAGTAAACGTTTAGTAAAATGATAAATTTGTATAGTTTATTATTTAGTGGCTTACATCGCCAAAACTAAAAATACAATTAGAATAAGTTTTTCATTGAAATATTAAATACATTTTAGAACATAGAATTAAATTTTAGTTCGATTATATCGTTGACGTGTAATAATGCAATCATGACTATTATGCAGTCGTTTCTTAACACTCCCCCGGCGATTTCAATAAGACGAGACCATTAGTAGGTCTGATAAATTCATTGTTATTGTCCAAAAATTTTATTTTCACTGCTCGAACAACACCATCAGAACTTTTAATTGCTTCAGTAATTTTGGCTATTGGCCAATCTTTTCGTTTACGGAATTCAGAAGGAACCAAGACCAAATCGTTTATATTTATATCGGTAGGCGATGGAGGATTAGATTGAATTAGAGAAGCTAAGTATTGGTGTTTCCAAAATTTTTCAAATTTTTTACGAATATTTGACAAATGATTCAACCAATTATTGTTTGGTCCAATTTCGAGATCATTTTTGATTAGGGGCTCCTGTTTACGACCATATGCTAATTCAAAAGGAGAGATCCAACGCTCATCATTCTGAATAATCGGTCTATTATTTATAATCGATTCTATTTTCAAAAACATGTTGTGCGCATCTTCAGTAGATTTAAATTCATTGTCCAAAGTTCGTAAACATCTCTTGACGACTGCTATCAACCGTTCTGCAGTACCGTTATACCACGGAGCATTCGGAGGCGAAAATTTCCATTCGATACGACGATTATCTACTTCGCTAATTTTTTGTAAATGATCAAAAAATTTTTGAATTTCTTTGTTACAACGGACGAAACTGGTACCATTGTCACTATAAATCACTAAAGGAGTTCCGCAACGAAGAAAGATGTTGTTGAGAGCTGTCAATGTGACATTGGCATTCATCGAATTAACAATTTCGATCTTGATCATTCGTGTAACCAAACATGTTACAATCAAACCATAGAATTTTTTATTATTACGATAGTGTAAAGGACCAAAGAAATCGACACAAATAGCCTCAAACGGTGCCGCAAAATTCGTTCGTGTTGATGGTAAAGGAGCGAAAGGTTGAATTATAGGCTTCCGCTTTTCTTTTCGACATAATTCACAATAAAAAACATATTTCTTCACCAGGCGATATAAATTCTGTATATGATATTTAGATTGGATACTAGCCATGGTTGTTCTGATTCCTCCATGCATAGTTGATTCATGATGTTCTTTAATCAAAGCTTGAGTTAAACAAGATTGTTTAGGTATCCAAATCGGGCAAAAATTAGGATCACGAGTTTTTATCGTAATAATTTCTCCGGGAATGAATGGTAATTTAATTTCTTCCAAATCGTGACCATATTGGGCTAATCTATGAATCAAATTCCAACGATCATTAGCAGTGTTTCCAGCTGGTAATAATTTTTTCACGAAATCAATAATTTGATCCATAGACTTCAACTTTTCAAAATCGTCAACTGAATTCTGATAATCGAAATTCTTGATGGCAATTGAAGAAATTCGATAAACATTAAACAAATTTGCATCAGAAAAATCAAATTCATTCGAATTTATACGAAATCGGAAAAGTTTCAAAAATTGTTTCGTATCTACGATTCTACTGAACAGATCAGCTGGATTACGATGGCTATTAATGTGTCTGATCGATATATTCAAATCATTAATAATTTTCAAAGTTTTCATTAATTGAGAAGCAATTTTTCGATTCTGTCCATTTGGTGATAGATTAAAACGACACAAATTAATTTTGGAATCTGACCAGATTGTCATTTTATTCTGGTAAATAGAATGGATACGATATAAAATTTTGCCAAGTTCGTAGATAGCCAGTAATTCTAATTCTACCACTGTCTTTAATTTACATGGTACTAACTTTGATTTTCCGAATAAATAGTGGAATTCATCATCTTTTTTCAAAAATACGACATATCCATAAGCTGAAGTTGATGCGTCAGAAAATCCGTGTATTTCGCCATTCGATGGTACACATCGATCCATTTTCAATTTCGATAGCTGATTTGCATCTTGCAAATGCAGATCGATTTGATTTTTAATTTCATTCGAAATTGGACTATCCCATTCATTTTTTATGACAGTACGATATAAGAGACGCAATTTCAATTTCCAAGGATCAAAAATTCCATATGGATCGAAGAATTTACCAATAATTGCTAGCAAATCTCTCTTTGTTTGAACCGGCTGTATTTGTGGAATTACATTCGAAATTTTATCATTTTGGTATTCCAAATTGTGCCCAAAACTTTTGTTTCAATACAATCTTCTGATTCAAATTTTGATGATAAAATTTGACTATTCGAATGCACTTTATGCATGACGAAACCAGCATTTTTAAAACTATCTTTTACTTTGTTAACCGTATCAACCAATATGGATTCGGAATCTAATGCCCAAATAATATCGTCCATATATATAGCGTTAGCTATCTGATCTAAATCTTGTTCACATAACAACTTTTTAGTCACAGCGGTTAAAATGGCTGGAGATGATACTAATCCGAAAGGCAATACCTTCATCTGATATATCTTCAATTCATTATCAGAATTTTTCCACAAAAATTTCAAATATTTCTGATCATCTGGATGAATCAATACTTGTAAAAAGGCTTTTGACAAATCAGCCGTTACCGCAAATTTTCCTTTTCTAAATCGTAACAAATGATCAAACACATCTAAACCACGAGCATTTCCTTTCCATAATAATTCGTTTATAGCTTCAAAACCAAATGAGCCATTAAACACTACGCGTAAAGGTGTAGAAATTGAATCACGAAAAACTGGATGATGTGGCAGAAAATAACCAATTGGATCGGATACTTCAATAGCTTGATCATTTTCAACATATGCCATCAATTGCTTTTCATAAATATTTCTCATACTTTTGCAATCCAAACGTTTCAATAATTTATTCAAAACGGAAAGGGCTTTATCAAAATTACATTTAGGTCGAAGATCCGATAAAAATGGCAACCGAGCTTCATAGCGACCACCATTTTTTCGCTCAACTTGAATATCATCTTCAACTTCGTCGTCATCTATATTTAAATCATTTTTAACTTCGAGCTCAGCTAATTCTCTATCAGATTTTGATAAAAATTCTTCTTTCAATGATTCAGATTCAATAATTGTTTTTTCATCAGAAAAACTTTCGTTATTAGATTGAACAATAATTGGAATGGTACTTGCATTTAAATTACAAACTTGAGCTATATCTCTTCTAGCTTTGTATCTGATTGTACCAAAAATAGTCGGAATTTCCAAAAATTCAGGTTGTGTCTCATAAAAATAGGACAAATTATCAGTACCAATAATAATCAAATTTTTATCATGCATTTTCACCGGAAATAATTCAATAACGATATTCTTCTCTAAACTTCGAACTCCAAACAAAATTTTTTGATTGCTTGTAGTCGTTCCTCCCAACGGCGACGAAGAAAAATCGTAAAATTTTCATTTGATTTATTTTGATTTCCTATTATTAAATCTTCATCAATTAAAGATATATTCGACCCATTGTCCAATAACATACGACTGTTAATGCCATTACACGAACCATAATACATTGGTCGATTATCATGTTTTGATACTTCTGAAATTATAAAAACATTTTCAGGTTGTTCAGCACAATATATAGCAGCAGTACTATTAGCTTCTTCACTTGTTGATGGTTTCGAATTATCAATTTCTTTAGGTTTCGTCTGAAATAATTCATTAACAATATCGTGCATCTCTGTTACATGTTTACGATGACATGTTGCACAACTAATTTTCGAAACCATTGGACAATTTTTACTAAAGTGGCCTTTTTTTAGACATCTGTAGCAAATACCTTTTGATTTTATGATATCAGCTACTGTCTTTACATCACAATTCTTCAAGCATTCAAAATTGTTCTTATGATTTTTGTTACAGACATAGCAACAATCAGTTGTGATTGCTGCTGTACTAAGATTTTTCTTCGGTTGATCAAATTTTTTCGATGCTTCATCTTTTCGAATTTTGTTGTAATCATATTGTAACGCATTTTCATATAATTCATCAATGTAGCTTACCAAATCCGAAAATTTCTTAATTTTTGCCAACATTTTTCTTTGTGCCCGATAATAAAATTTATTAGCTACGGCCTGAATAAGATTTGTTGTGTAAAATTGAGCATTCGTTTGAATACTATCGATAGCTAGATTAGCATTTTCCACAATATCTTTTGCTTTTTTCAGATTATCGACTTCATTTTCAGATTTGATTTCTGGTATCGATTTCAGTTCATTCTTGATCTCAAGAATTGCTCGTTGCGGATCATTATACTTTGTGCAAATACGAGCCCAAATTTCAGATAACGGCAAATTTTGACCAATAAAAATTGTGATCATTCTAGCTGGTTCGTTTTTTACTGTTTTTAATAACATAGATTTCTTCAGATCTTCCGATACCAACATGTTATTAATTAACAAATTTTCAATCATAACCTTGTAGGAATTCCAATTAACATATTTGCCATCAAAATTTGGCAATTGATCTGTTTTGATCTTATTATTCGAATTCGTAATTGACATACCGGATAAATTATTCACAAGATCATCATCACCGTTTGAATGATTAGTCTGATTAGATGTTGAATTCGTATTCGTATTTTTCAACATTTCTAAATAACAATCCAATTTGACATTATATTCCGACATCTTTGATATCAAATCTTCAGGTACATCTTCGTCATCTTCCAACAGATTAAATAATTCTTCATTCAAACCATTTAATTCGTCACGTAATTTTTCGGTTCGTTCAATATCCCATTTTCGGATAACTAAACATGAAACGTTCCGGCGACAACTAAACAATCTTCGTTTCAATTCTTCTGGAATCGGCTTCATAGTCCAAGAAAATGACGATGTAACACAAAACAAAATTTTCACTTAAATAATAAATGTAACGTAATCTATCTCTGAAATTACTAGACGATTCAGACAAACAAAAGTAAACGTTTAGTAAAATGATAAATTTGTATAGTTTATTATTTAGTGGCTTACATCGCCAAAACTAAAAATACAATTAGAATAAGTTTTTTCATTGAAATATTAAATACATTTTAGAACATAGAATTAAATTTTAGTTCGATTATATCGTTGACGTGTAATAATGCAATCATGACTATTATGCAGTCGTTTCTTAACACAAAATCCTTGGCACCAGATAAGCACGAAAATGTTCGAGATCATTATTGGCATAAGGGGAGTGTTGAAATGTAATTAATTACGAATATGCCAACAATGATTATTAGAATTGTATGGAACAATAGTTCCATGTACTGTATTAATATGTGAATGATTTAGAACAGAAATATACTTTTAAATGACCTTTGCTTCGAAATGGATTTATTCGATGTTTTTGATTTGGATCAAAAATCCAATGATATTGAAAAAAGTAATGATAATGGTGAAAAAAAATTGATGACCACCGACGAAGATGTTGACAACGGTTTGATCGACAAATCAATCAAAGATGTGAAACGTAACAAAGATAATGATGAAAATCTTCTAATCACTTCAATGATAGATGAATGGACCATAACACCTGATGATACAGATGATCATGATGATGAAAATTTGGGTCAGTATTATGCAAATTTTACTGCTCGTGTCGCAATTCATAAACTGGAAACACAAGGATCGTGTGTACATGAAGTGGTCATTCATGACGATTTGGAATATGTGCCTCTTCGAGATCATAGTGGAAATCCTATTTATATGCCTGCTAAATCATATAAATTCCCATTGGATTCATTTCAAAAAGAAGCAATCCTTTGTATTGAAAATAATCAAAGCGTTTTGGTTTCGGCACATACTTCGGCTGGTAAAACGGTTGTTGCCGAATATGCCATTGCATCTTCATTGTGAAAACGAAAACGTGTTATCTACACAACACCAATCAAAGCATTGAGTAATCAAAAATATCGCGAATTTAAAGATGAATTTGAAGATGTAGGATTAATCACTGGCGATGTGACAATCAATCAGAATGCCACTTGTTTGATTATGACCACAGAAATTCTACGTTTAATGTTATTTCGTAGGAAGGAAATTATACGTCAAGTCGGATGGGTTATTTTCGATGAAATTCATTATATGCGTGACCGAGAACGTGGTGTTATCTGGGAAGAGACCATCATTCTTCTTCCCGACACTGTCCATTATGTTTTCCTATCCGCTACTATACCGAATGCAAGACAATTTGCCGAATGGATAGCTTATCTACATCATCAAAGTTGTCATATTGTCTATACAGATTTTCGTCCAACACCATTAAAACATTATATCTATCCAGCTGGTGGTGGTGGTGATGAACTTTATTTGGTATTGGATGAACAAAATAATTTTAGTGAAGAAAATTTCAATACAGCCATGAATGTGTTGAAAAATTCATCATCCAAAGTTGTTGATCCGAGTTGTATCAAAATTATCCCTATAATCATGAAACGAAATCTGGCACCAGTTATTCTATTTTGTTTTAGCCGTAAACAATGCGAACGTTATGCACTTGAAATTAGCATTCTTAATCTGGATTATAATTCAGCCGAAGAAAAAACATTAGTCGAAGAAGTATTCAACAATGCAACCGATAAACTTAGTGATGAAGATAAAAAATTACCACAAGTACAGCAAATATTACCACTTCTTAAACGTGGTGTTGGCATCCATCACAGTGGTCTTTTGCCATTGATCAAAGAAATGATTGAAATTTTATTCGGTAAAAGTCTTATTAAGGTATTGTTTGCCACTGAAACAATTGGCATGGGTTTGAATATGCCTGCTCGAACGGTTGTATTCACTAGTGTACGAAAATTTGATGGTAGAAATTCGCGATTTCTAACTTCAAGTGAATACATTCAGATGAGTGGCCGTGCTGGTCGTCGTGGTTTCGATGAACGTGGTATAGTTATATGCCAAATTGATAAAAAAAATAGTCCAATTCTGGTTGAACAAATGATTTGTGGTAAACCGGAAACATTGAATTCAGCATTCCATTTAACATACAATATGGTTTTAAACCTATCGCGTGTTGAACAAGTGAATCCAGAATACATTCTCAAACATAGTTTTTTTTCAATTTCAACAATATCTGGAATATCATAAGCTCGATGAAAGTAAGTTTTAATTGATTTTTGATATTTTTTAAATTATTTTAAAATTTTTTCAGATCTCTCTCATTATTATAAAGAATTTCTCAATATCGGCAAACAAATTGAATTTTTTGAGGAAGAACTTTGTCGTAATGAAAAAAAAAATAAAACCATAAACATAATTCAACAATATAAACGAATTAAATTGGATATTGAAAATGAAATGAGACAAACGAAAGAAATGATGAAAAAGATCACAAGTTCATCACTGATTGATGAATTGAAATGTCGTAAACGTGTACTACGTCGTTTAGATTATTGTACACCGGAAGATGTCATCCTAATTAAAGGACGAGTTGCCTCTGAAATTACTGGGTTTGTATATGATTCTGTGATGATGTTTGTTTTTGAATTTGTTTTCCATTTCTTTTTTTTGTTACAGTGCTGATGAATTATTATTGACCGAAATGTTATTCGATGGATTTTTCAATGATTTAAATGTGTACCAGATTGCCGCATTATTAAGTTGTATGGTTTTCGAAGAGAAAACAGAAATTCTACCTAAATTGAGCGAAGAATTATCTAAACCATTGAAAACGATGCAAGAATTTGCGAAAAAAATTGCAACCGTCTCAAAGGAAACAAAATTAGAAATCGATGAAAAAGTTTATATAGAAAAATTTCGACCAAATCTTATGGATGTTATTTATTCATGGACAAAAGGAAAATCATTTTCAGAAATATCTAAAATGACCGATGCATTCGAAGGGTCAATAATACGTTGTATGCGACAAATATCTTAGGTTTGGCTAAGAAGGATAAACGTATTATAATGATGATGATGTGTTAGATGTGTTAGGTTGGATTTGCCATTTTATCGATTCCAAAATTTCTTTCGATTTTTCATCATACACAGTATCAAGTAATATATACCTGTCTGCATCAATTTTTATTTTTTTCTTGTTCGACAAATCAACAATTTTCGTCAATTCTTCATTTTATTAAATGATGGCCTCATTCAATTTATGTGTTTTCACAATTAAATCAGTATTCGAAAACGTATTATTTTTAATACCTTGGTGACATTCGGTAATTTTTTCCTTAATTTCGATTTAATGGTTTCTAGAAAATCCAATCGTGTGATGATTTTTGCTTCTTGTTCAATATCATTATCAAGCCATTTTATTTATATATTATTGTCGCTGCAATTTTTTATTTTTTCATAATTTATTTTGACGATAATTATTTCAATGTTGAGATTTTCACGCAAACTTGATAATGTGGCTCTTTTATCAAATTATTCGACGTTACACACAACATTCACAAGTAAAATTATCGTACTTTATTATTCTTTTTAGATTAGCTTTTATAATAAATTTGAAATTCATAATTTATTTTGTTTTCACAATCGTATGTTCAAATGCCACATTACCATTTTAGTAATGTATCATTTGTTGTATTCATGATAGGATGTTTTTACATTTATTAAAATTTCCATATCGATGTTTTCTGATGTTTCTCACATCCTTTGATGATTGGACCTTTAATGATTAATTTTGATATCCATTTTTGTGATTGTTATGATTTCCATAACATTTGTATTTCAATTAAATTTTACAACACTTATTAATATATTTGTACCATTCAGAATGGACATTTAACTTTAGCTGTAGCTGGCAATTGATTTGTCATTCTCTCTATTTTGTTCGTTTCAGGTTGGATTTTTCTTTCTCTACTTATGAACACCCGAGTTACGAATATTCAGACTTACTAACAAATGAATTCAAGTTCGTAATGAACCACATTTAAAACCGCAATCAATCACTTTTTAATTTATTAATTTTATTTTCATATAACAATGACAATTTTTTTTACCTGCGCCTTAATTTGTACACACTTAAAAAATTTTACTCCCTCTTACGTTATGCGTAAAATTTTTTTTGGACAAGGGGCGACGAAATTTTTTTTTTGCACAAGGGCGCCCAACAGCCACGGCTCGGCGCTGATGCTATTTATATAATCATATTGATATCTTCTTTATCTTTATCTTTATCTTTATTCATGTAGCCCGGGCTCCAGGTTCTTCGGATGAAGAATCACCGAATTCATTGAAATTGAGTAACAATCGTTATTTAACCGTTTCGGAATTCAAGAATAAAGTTGATATACGTGTATATTATCGCAATGATGAAGATGGTGAACAAAAACCAGGAAAAAAGGCACCAGTTTATCGAAGGATGAATGGAAAAAAATTGTATCCAACATGGATATGATGAAAAAAAAGATTAAAAATCAAGGTGATTCAGATTCAGAATGAATGAATCCATGAATGACAAATTGTCTCATTGTTTTGTAATCATTACATTAACAACAATATATGAAAATCATTTAATAAAGTATTTATTCATTTTTATGTGTTTAATAAATATTTTAAAGATATGAACTGGCTACCAAAACAAGGTCACGTTTTATCAATTTGCTTGCTTCCGAGAATTTGTTCTCCAAATCAATGTTACCAATCACTTTTGATGCTTGAAATATTCATGATGGATATATCCACACATATTTTTGAATTTTCTTTCTGAACACTTTCTCCACTGACATTTTAAAATTTTCCCATCTTTTTGGGGTGGTATGAATGTTAATGCCCTTTGGCATTTGATATTAACCCATTAATGCCCAATGGAGGAACCTAATGGTCATTTTGGTAAATCCAATTTTCCTACGAAATCGAAGGTTACGAGAATTGATATTCGATTCGAACCTACGTTCCCAAATGGAATTTGGATTACCATGACAACATTGGTTTTTGGTTATTTAAATTTAAAAATAACCCAATTTCATCATCATCCGTTTATTCTAGAATAACGGCCTTATTAGTGGGATTTTGTTATTTCAATTTTTAACAAAATTGCATTTTTTTTCTCATCATCATCATCACCATATCATAAATAAATACAAAATTGAAATAACTTAAATATCATTATTGAAATCACTTCTATTATGAGGCTTGTTTGTGAGTAACTGCAACTTTTACACTCGCCAAGTGCTTGCACTGTGTATAAACTTTGCATTTAATGCGGCGAAGCTGAGCCGGCTTGTTTAATAAAGCCGTCCATAGAGGGCAGCATATTTGATTTACATCAATGTTTTTCGATTTTTTTTTCGGACACTGAAAATTTTTTTGTTTTCTTTTGCTGCTTGACTATATTTATTGAACCGTAATAATAAAAAAGAAAAACTTTGATGACAAAAAAAAAATCGAAAACAACATCTTCAGAAGCTCTAATGTGCAAAAAATCTTTCTCAATTGCCACCAAGATATAGTGGTCGATACAACGATCGTTTTGTTTTTGGTTACATCAAAAACATGTAAAAGCGAGAGAAAAAAATCATTGCGACCGGCTAACTTGACCCTAATCGAGACAAAAAGACAAAAAAGAATCATTTTCGGATTCAATATTTGCTTGTTCGTATATTTATCGTCCTTAAACATCATTTTTCCATTGCCGTGAAATGAAAAATATAATAAATCACAAGTAAATCGTGAATGAACTAAACAAGATCTGTTTATGGATCTATGGCCATTTTCAGTGTCAATAACTATCTATTTATCTGTGTTTGTACCATAGTCAATGTTTTTGTTGTGTCTCTATTGGCCCGAATCGTTTACAATACACACAAACATCTGATTTTATCTATCAATGGTGGCTATTCGTTGATAAGAAAAAAAATAAAGAAGAAGAAACGAAAACGAAATTCTCTAAGCAAAGAAAAGCTGAAAATGAAATTAATGATTCTTTTTTCCATTTTTTTTTTCATCATCCAGCATTTTACGATGAGAAAAGAATCGTTTTTCTTATTGTAATAGTTGGATCCACAAACCAGAAAAAAGAAAGAAAAAAACCCGTAGACGAATTTTCAAACACAACATTCGATTCGATTGAAATTGGAGAAAAAAAGGTTCGTAATATTTTGTTTGCTTATCATCAAACTGATCTTTTGTTTTTTTTCGTTTTCTTTATCAGAAATTCGCAATGTGATCGTCATCATCGTTGTTATATGATTCGTGATGATTGAAAATTAATAGATTTTCTTCGATAATCGTCATCATCAGTGTCATCATTTTTTTCTCATCTTTAAAAAAATCATCACTACTAAACAACCATATCTATACATTTAGCAAAGAGTTTCATTTCACTTTTTTTTCCATTTTGTTCGTTCGGGTTTCAAATGGATAAAATATTGTCACAGAAAAATATAATAATAATCATCATCAAACGGAGAGACAACAACAACAAAAAAGATAAATGAAAAATTCTTTTCCAGAATCAGAAATAAAAACAAAAAACGGATGAAAAGTTTTTTTCATCAATCCATCAAGGATCCTGTTACCGGAAAACTTTGTAAGTGAATGAATGAAATTTCGATTCTCATAAGTTAAATTCAATCTGATTTCCCCATGTCTGCTGCTGCTTCTGCTGCTATACGATTTGTATCCAGAAGAAGAATATATTATCCTTGTGCTTTTCGATACTTTTTTTCTGGTGATAATTTGAAATTAAAATTACTTGTAACAACAACAACAAAAAGTTTTTAGTCAACTAATAATGATGATCCAACAGAAAACCAACCAATCATAAGTTGGTTGATTAAATTAATTAATTACGACAGCAACAGCAACAATAACGACAACAACAACAACGAATCATGAAAAAAACAAAAATTTGTACAATTCTATGAAAGTGACAAAAAAAAACAAACTGAAAAAAGTTTCCCATCAACACCATCATCAAATTAAACCTGGATCATCAATTAATTCAGGTCAAAAAAAGAACAAAAAAACCTAAATTTTACTTACAAAAAAAAAATTGTTTGAATGAATTCCAATTGTACTGGAAAAATCTAACAGTAATGAAAAAAAAGACAAGAATTTCATAGAACAAAAATCCATTGATGATGATCATTTAGTCGAATGACCCATAAGGTACGTGTCCAGAATTTTGTTTTTTTTTCTCTACTGATGAATGATAATAAACATCATTTTTTTTCTCTCTTTCTCTATCAATCCGCAAATTGTGACAAAATTGCCTACACACAAAAAAATCTATAATTGGCCATAATAATCTACGGTGATGATGAAACTTTTGGTTTTCTGGAAGATCCTACCATGAAAGGAAAAAATTATTTATTAAATTAACAAATTCAATCAACGAGGAAAAAAAAATGAGAAAAAACTGATAGTGTGACATTGTTCTTTCCATTATTATTACCATTGTCCACACACACTGGTCTTTAATTTGATATAATTATATTCTTGCTTGTGGCCGTTGTTGTTCACACAACTAACTAGAGAGAAAGTCATCCGAATGAAAAAATAATTCCCCATCATTGATTGTGGTGATGATGATGATGATGATAATAGTAGTAGTGAGCCAACAATGTTGTGGCCATATAAACTTGGTTAATTTTGTTGATTGAAATCAAATCTATTATTTGAAGAAGAGAATGGTGGAAAAAATACACAAAATTCATTTCATTTTCAATTCGACAATTCAATCCATCCATCTAATATATGAAGACGAAAAACAAAGTCTCAAATTGTTCACTCATCCATAATTATAGCGGAAAAGTGTAAATTTTGGAACCTACTCACAACGGAACTGAAATACAGAACAAGGACATCAATGAAAAGAAAAATGAACTGGAAAATCAAAAACAAAAAAAAATTTTTTTTAGACATTTTGCCCAAATTGGATAATGTACAAATGTATATGTGATCATCACACACACACCAACATATGAAAGGTATGAAAATTGAATTTTTACGATAATGATGATTGTCAATGACAGATTATTTTTAATAGAAAGCTGTTGATAACGAAAAATCTCTGAAAAAATTTACTTTTTCAATTTCGAATAAATATGTGTGTGTGTGTGTGTGTCAACCGAACGAACAAACGAAGAATAATCATTAAGGTGAGTTTTCGAAAATTTTTTCTTTACCTCCGAAAAAAAGTTTCTTTCATTTTCTAAGCTTTTATTTCCAATCAAGTTTTTCTTTCTTTCTTTCTTGATAACACAAAAGACATCCGTCTTTTTTTCTTGGTTGACGGATGTATTTCCGTTGTCACTGATATTTTTTTTTTATATTCAAGCACGAAAATAAAAGCCATAATTTTACCTATTTTTTCCATAATAGAATGCAATAATGGAATAACGGGTATCATGCCATTGCCGGTGAGAATGAGATAGCGATAAAATCAAAAAAAATTCAACTGGAACCATATATATGAATATTAAGCGAAAAAAACTATTCGATAATGACTGATCGGAAAAAAGGAAGAAAAAATCGATTCACAAAGGTGGACGACTTGGAAAAATTCAAATGGAAATTCATCATAACGGAAGAAAAAAAAATGATAAAAATAATTGACTATGAGAGCGAAGAAGAATTTATGTAAATCATCATCATCACGGTCGTCATTCTATTACGAAATAATATTCTATATTTTTTTCCTACAATCAAGCTAAATTCATTTCCATTATCATCATAATCATTGTTGATGATTGACGATGACAAAAACGACGATTATCACCTCTTTTCATCATCACCATCTCTCTCTCTCTCTCTCTTCTTGGTTATACTACAGAAGATGATCGCAATTGATGAAGTGATGATGGAATCAACAAAAAAAAACAACTTTATTTTAAATGGAAATCATAATGATAATGATAATGATGAAAATGAATCGGACGAATAAATAATTTTTTTTTTCATTTTACCATCATCATCATCTTCCATTTTCAAGAGAAAAAGTATTACATTCCTAATAGTTTTTTTTGTTGTTCCAACAACAAAAAAAAATTGTCATTTCAAACGGCTACGATGATTATGATGATGACGATGACGATGACGATGATGACAATAAATTTATGAATCACTGAATTGTCGCCATCATTATCATCATCGTCAACAACGAAGACGACAACGGTAATGTGAAAATGTAGAAAATGGATTTGTCAACAAGATTTTTGAAAATGATATATTCGTTATATATCATCACATATACAATGTAGAAAATATTGTTTTGAACAACAACAACAAAAAATGATATTCTTTTCTATATTCAAAAAACCACCCACCCTCGTCTATCCCTTGTGACATAAATACACAGTGATGATGAATATATTGTTGTTACATAAGAATCGTATCATTTTTTTTATTCTTCCTGCCCATCTTGCGTTTATATGTTGAATTGAGATTTAGAGAGAATGATATTCTCTATATGTGTGTGTGTGAATGGATCGAACATTTACTTTTTTTTCTGTTTGTTTGTTTGTTCCATCATCAAGACCATCATCATCATCATTATTATGACATTGGCATTTAAAGTTCCATATAACCAAGGACTTGAATGAAATGCGATGATGATGACAATCAAGCCAGGGCCTGACTTGCATCAATGTTATGAATGAATTGTGAATGCAAAACAAAACCAAAAAAAAAAGACTGAACTGATTTGTTGATTTATATGATGATTCAGAAAAAAATGAATGAATGAATGTTCGTGTATCATTTTTATAATTCGACACATTTGGACATTCACATTCACACAAAGATGCATGAAATAAATTTTTTTGGCCAATGTTTGATCAGTGAATTGGCAACGAAATAAAAAAAAATCTTGCTTTGGCATCATGATGATGATGATGATGATGATGGAATAAATTGTGAAACAACTGTGATGATGATGATGATGATGATGACATGAAAAAGCGTAGTAGAAATGGTGTAACATTAAAACGAAAAAAAAAAATTCTTATCGATGTTCAACTTCTGTTTTAAACATTATTTTTTCTTTTCACTTTTTTTTTCCAAAGGTCTACCATGTGTGTTTGTGTGTGTTTCAGAAGTTTTTTCTTAAAAAAATGTTTGAATTTCAACTTTTTGGCGGCTTGTCTCTTTCTTTTTGGTGATCTTTTTTCTTGCTTTTTGATTCCATAGTTGTCATCGTCATCATCATCATCTTGTTTTTGACTTTTAAGGTCGTTAAGTTTTTTCAGAGTTCGAATTCGAATTTAAATGAATTTATGTCGTTTTTGTTGGTTGGTTTGGTGAAAAAAGAAGATGATGATGAAGGCAAAGTCGTCAACAAACGCAATAATATGATGATGATGATGATGATGGAATAAATTGTGAAACAACAAAAACGCTTATCGATGTTCAACTTCTGTTTTAAACATTATTTTTCTTTTCACTTTTTTTTTCTCCAAAGGTCTACCATGTGTGTTTGTGTGTGTTTCAGAAGTGAATTTTCAAACATTAATGTCATCATCATCATCTTGTTTTTGACTTTTAAGGTCGTTAAGTTTTTTTTTTCAGAGTTCGAATTCGAATTTAAATGAATTTATGTTTCAACAAACGCACAACATAAAGTGAACATTAATGTTTCAAAGTCTTTCTCTAGTTTTTTTTGATTCGATCGAACGATCAAACATTCGAAACACGAATGAGCGAACCGTGCGAGTAAAAATAGAAACGGGAATTTTTTTTGTTTTGTTTTCATTTCATCTGGAACATTATACCGGAGGGGGGAGGGAGAAATGAGATATATAACTATCAATCTCCAAAAGGATAGATGGATGGATGGCCTATTTGAAACGATTAACGTGATATCATCATCATCATTTTCATCATCCAATGAAAAATGTGAATTTATCGCAATTTTTTTCTGTTTGAGAAAAAAGACAAATAAAAACCTCAAAACATGATCAACAACGGCGACAAAACAATAATGAAATATCCGGAAAAAAGTTTTGCTTCTTAAATTTATCAATTTGTTTGAGAATAAAGATGAAAAACATGAAGAAAATAATAAAAATTCATCAAACATTCTCTTCTATCTATGCTGCTGCTTTTTCTGCGAAAACAAATATGATATTCGTGACAATCTGTAAATGACGAGGATGAAAAAAAACCAACAACAACAACCCCACCACCAATACACCATCGTATTGTGTAACAACATAATGATGATGATGATGATTATAGAACAACAACAAACAAACAAACAAACAACAATAACGAAAAACGATCAATAGATTCAATTTTTTTTTCCGAAAAATTTTCTGTAAGTATTCTTCATGTATTATATAGTGATTCTACAGTGATTCTAAATAATCTCTGCCAAAATAAATGCATGCACGAATGAATGCTGGTTGTAGGATAGAGGAAAAAAAACGAAAAATTGCAAACGATTCACGAATATCGAAAATTGAATTAAACAAGAATAAAAATAATGAAAATTTACCTTGATACACACAAATAGACATTATTACTTTATTATTCTGTTTAAATTCAATTACCATCATCATAGCGACAGTGTATTGTATCGAATCGAATCGAATGTCGATATATTTGTCCAACAAAAAAAACAGAATTTTTTTTTTCATTTTCAAACCGGTAAAAAGTGAATCGTTTTTTTTCCTATCTTTCTATAGGAGAAAATAAACTTTTCTAAAATATAGCAAATTGCAACGCGGGCGTATTATAAAGTCACAAAATGACAAGAAAAAAAAACTTTTTTTTTCTTTTCCATTCATTCTTGTCATTTGTTGTTGTTCAACTAACTCAATAATTTAATTCAATTGAAATGTAAAAAAATAGAAAGAGAAAGAGAAAAAAAAACAGAAACCATGTAAGTTTTTTTTGTTTGTTTGTTCCAAACGGATAAGAATCGACTGGATGTCATTATCTCGTTTGTAATATGTGTGCAACAACCATATTATATTGACAATTTGATGGTAACACACACACAGAGAGAGAGAGAGAAAAAAAAGGAAATAATTGAAAAATTGGACCACAATGGAAACTTGACTTGTTTGTTTGGATTTTTTTTCCGGTTGATACTGTAGCTGTTATTGTGCGAGATCCAAAATGTAAAAACAATTCGTACAAGGGATCATCGTTATCATCCAACATTATTTGGCGAATTGATAGGAAATCAAAGGCTGAACGATCATTTTAAACTATAAGGTTTAGAGAAATGATAGAATTAGTATGATAATAAAATTTCAAATGTTTCAAATTTCAACTAACCCCCATTTCGATTTTCGGTATATTTATCATGTATTTACAGAGATCGATCACAAACTATATGCATGAAAAATTAAAAAAAAGTTAAAAATTTGAAAAAAATAGAAATTTAAAAAAAACTAACCGAATCGATACCAAAATTTTTACTATAAGCAAGTATAAAATCAGCCAAATACGATTGTGAACCTTGTGGCAATTCACGCCATTGAATATTTTCCATTGGTTTAATTGCTTGGCTAAAATCATTACGAATACGATTAAAATCAATCGCTTCTTCAGGTTTCATTAATAATCCATTTTTCAATTTGATCAATATAAATAATAACCAGAATAAATGAAAATGATGGCCATTTCTTTTACATTCATCATATGGCATCATCATCATTAGTTCGGATAGTGTGTCTATAATGCATATAATCTGTATTGATTTCAATGATGATTCATTATCGAAATGTTTTTCAATACATTTATCGATATTGTCAGCATTATGCCAACGAAATATGTAATGGAAAAAATTTCCAAATAAATTAGCTGAATTTGATGATGATGAAATTTGATGAAAAATTTGTGAAAATAACTTGCGAAAATGATGGCCAATTTTAAACAAAAAATCATAATTGATAATTTTTGTTTGTTTAATCAATGTTGTTGTTCTTGCTGTGATTAATTCAGGATATTTCAAATGTATTCGAAATATAGTTTTCATTGAAAGCAAACTATACAATTGACATAGTAATAATTCGTTCATTTTATTATCTTCATATTTCTCCATTTCATGTTGTTCAAGATTATATTGATTCTGTTGTGGCCACCAAAATTCATTCAATAAATCCATACATTTCAATTGACATATTAGAATTGTTTCTAAAAGCTGTGCAAATTTTTCAAGATCATGATCCAATACATCGAAAACTTCTTTCATTCCCATAATCAATATGGCTAACAATTGGCTTTGTAGCTGTTGTGATTTTGATTCACCAATTGAATTTTGTAATAGAATACCAAAATGATATGGAATCGAATCGATCAGTTCAATGGTTAACAGATCGATTGGTGTTGAATTTTTCAAATTATGTATGGCAATTTTCTGCACAAATAATATATAGATGAATGGAATGGCCAAAAAATTGTTCGATAAATTTTTCTTCAAATGATTGACTTTGATCATTTCGTTTAGGAATAAATTTATATATTCTGCCAGAATTCCTGCATCATTGATGAACATATCATTATTGTTGCTAGTGGTGATAAAAATTTGATCAATACGAGCTTGTTCGCTGAATATTTCAATCAATTTATTGAATTTACATAAACATTTGTATAGGTCTTCCATATTCGTTTCATTTTGGTCAAATTCATCGGATATAAAGTGAACAATACCAAATGGGTCGCAACAATTTTGATAAAGTTCTTTCAAATTAATGCTGTTTTTTGACGGTGATTGTAGAATATCGAGCAAACATTGACCGATTCGTTCGGATTGATTTTTTTGAAATAAATATCTACTATAATCAATCTTTTCATTGAAACAAATTGTTTGACATTTGTCCGGTTCGTTCATTTGTTCCACGTTTTGAAGACTAGAATTTTCAATTTCGATCGATGGTCCAAGATTGACATCCAAAGCTTTTGCCAATTTTTTTTCAAAAAGATCAATTTTTGCATAATTTTTCTGAATTTTTTCAAATTTACTCATCTTTCGAATGGCTGCAGTTGATCGACCACAATCTTTTTGAACTATACCATGATCGAGATCATCACTATGAACAGTATTTGTTTTGGTTTTTTTTGGATTTGATTTTTGTTTGACAGGCGGTTTTTTCGGTATTGAATCTTTTTTGGGATTCGTAACAGTTTGTTTTGATGATGGAGCTTTGGATTTTGTCTCGTTCTTTTTTCTTGAATAAGATGTAATCTTGCCAGATCGAAGTTCCATTTTTTTGTTTCGAATATTAACTTTCGAACAAAAATAAATAAATAAAAGTCAATGTTATGATCACATGGAATTTGTTTACATGGTAAAAAGCTTGTTGCTCACCGTGTTGTGTTTTGCCTTCACAAATGTCGTAAGATGAAGAAGTGGTCACGAATAATTTTAAGGTTGTATCATCATCATGATCGCCATATTTCGATTTAGCTTGATCATTTTGAATAACAGAAGACGATTCCACGTTTGAATCAACATTTTTATCTTGATTGAAAATGTTGAAAAAATCTGTTATTTTCTTCTGTTTACCATGTTTATAATTTGATGATGTCTTTTGTCTTTTAATTTGTTTTGACTTGTCAATATCTGAAAAATTGATTGATGATGATTTTTATGAAGAAAATGAGACAGACAGTAACCAATGACTTACTTTCAAATGAAAATTGTCCATAATCATTCAAATCGTCATCATCATCATCATCGGCATCTATGGTAGAAAATACGCCTTTATCATGATTATTAGTCGACATTATTTATGAGAGAAAAAAAAATTTAATTTGCAAAAAAAAAAAAATCCACCGAAAAAAAACACTGCCACAGCTAAAATATAGAACGGATATATTTCGATAAAGAAAAAAAAATATTCGAATTTTACTCAAAAAGGTCACTGTTGTACAAATAGTGATTCGATATGTGTGTGTGTGTGTTTTTTTTATATGTTGATCCCATTTTGATGATCATGATCATCATCAACATTCGAATTGGAAATCATCATCAATTTTTCTATAGAAAAAAAAGAAAGATAAAATGAATAATTTATGAATTAAAGAAAATACATATGGAAAAAACGAAGATCATGGTATGTATGAAAAAAAAAATTTCATCTCATTTTTCTTTTCTTTCTTTCTTCCAATCCTGTGATTCGAGAATTTGGAAGAAAGAAAAAAAACATCTATATGTTTGATGTTCAATGATGAAAATTTTTAATGAATTTTTTCTTCCGTTGATTCTTTTCATTTCACAGTTTTTCGTTCTTTTTTTTGTATGCGACAAATTGAGTCAAAATCACACACACACACACACACACACACCAGCACTGGAATCGTGTGTGTGCAAACAGATTTCAGGATTATATCACCAAACGACCAGAATATACAAACTAATAATGATGATGATGATGATCATAAAAGCTTTTCTCTTGCTCTCTCATTCGAAATCAGCTTAACGTCCAGATTTTTTTTTGTTGTTGTTGTTGAGATTAATTCTTCAATGATGAATTGAAAAATAAATTGTGAATCAAACAAATTTTTTTTATTTTGATTCTCGTTCAACAATTATAAATACACACACACACACACACACATAAACATATTACTTAGGCTGTGATCATTGATCCTATATTTTCATTTGTTTGTTTTCTTTCTCTTTTGCTAGAATTTTTTTTATTACATCTATTTTAATGGAGATAAAACTCAACGATGATGATAATGACGGGAATGAAACATAGAAATAAATTCAATTCAAAATTCTCGATTGATCAAATTCCATTTACATTATGTATTTGAAATGAAATTGTTTTTTTTTCAAAAAAACTTGATATCGTCATTGCCTTCTGGATATCAATATATCCGGTCCATGTTGTTCAAATGTATCGATCGATTTTACTTGGTTTCTGTTTTGGAGAGAATTTTTTTTTATTTTTGTATTTTCAAGTTGAAATTCCGTTTTCGTTTTTTTTTCGTATTCAAACTAAAAGCTAAGAAGCTGAAATATTCTCATCATCATCATTATGATTATTGGTTGGTTGGCTGGCTGGTTTTTTTTTCATTTGTTATTGTTGTTTAGTGTGTTTTCTATATGTATAAATGGAAAGAATAAAAGAATAATTTATTCGTGAATGAATGAATGAATTGTATATGGATGAATGAATGAATGAATGGCAAGTAACGGATTTGAATTGATGGAAAAATAAAAATAAAACATGAAATTGAAACACACACACACAAACATCAGAGACAAACATGATTCTTTTACAATTCTAAAAAAAAAAAATTATTTAAATCTTCTTCAACAAAAATGGCAAAAATATTGATAAATTCTATGAAAAAAATCTACAGAATATGTGCCACTCAGAATAAATTCACATAAATTCGAATGTTTGAATGAACGATGATTCGTATATGATGTATACACGGATCATCAATTCAATTCAATATATTTGTTTCATATATGTGTGTGTGTGTTTGTATGTTTTTTTTCCGGAGAAATTCGGGATTTATTTATTTTTTTTTGTTTCTCTCGAAAAGAAAAAATCCCAAAATGGATTCTAACTATACGTACAAAAACAAATCTTTTCTGAAAAATCAAAATTAATCAACATTTATTGTTTTGCATTGAATTTGAATTGATATTGTCAAGTATACTACATGTGTTTGTGTTTTTTTCAATTGAAAAAAACAAACACTAATCAAATACGACGACGACGACGACTACAAGATCGAAATTCGATTATTGTTTTTTTTCATTTTATTTTGTCGATCTCATCATCATCATCATGATCATCATCAGTGAAGCAAAACTTTTTTTCTTGTACACACACACACACACACACGACTCATGAAAACTCTAAAAAAGCCAGAAAGCAATGATAATAATGATGATGATGAAGAAAATGAATCTAATTGAAATTAATTATCAATAATCGATTGAAATCGATTCGGAGAGAAATAGAGAGAGAGAGAGATAAACAGAAAAAAAACGATGATCTTTATTATTTCGAATGAAAATCATCGATGCTAATCATATTAGCCGGACAGCAATGAACAGTTTTGGTGTATATAGTATTATTCTATAAACAAACACTCTGAACAAATATCAAATTATCTTACCACCACGCTCTTGACTTTTATTTTGATATTGAAAATTGATCGAATGTTTTTTTTCTGTGTTTTTCTCTTAACTTAAGAAATGACCATCGTCATCATCATCATCAAAAAGAATCATCATCAATGAATGAAATGTACAACAACGATGTTTTAATTGAATCTAAATTGTAATTACACAGCAAAACAACAACAACAACGACGACGACGAAAAAAAATGACAATGGTAAAAAATACATTACATACACACAAACAGAATAATTTTGATTTTTTTTTCTCTTTATCATAGATCGAAAAAATGTTGTTTAAATCACAGAATTCTCATTTGGTTTTTCTTGTTTATCATTCCATTGATTCACCAGAGAAAAAGATCGAAAAAATTTGAAACATAACAACAACAACAACAACATGTAAGTAATAATAATCAATCACAATAAGTAAATGATACAAATACACACAGCAACCAAAGCTGAACTGCAAAAGAAGAAAACACCAAGTAACAATGCATTACATCAATATCTTTATTATTCTATTAGCCTATCTATATCTCATTTGGAATTCTTTCCATCTTCATCATTCGTTTCTCATGATTCTATTGCATAATAAATGTGGTCTGTGTATGTTTGTTGTTGTGTACATTTAATGTGTAAGTATTGCAAGAATTGATGATGATGAAGAAATAAATTAAGTTTCGAATCTTTTTTTTTTTTTTTTGTTCACCGGGAAAAAAGAATCATAGGTCAAGTTTTCATTTTGGTTTCTTGTTCACTTGTTTTTCTGGTGCTCTCTGTGTATGTGTGTGTGTGACCCATATATTTTTGAGATGGGAATGTGATGCTTCAAGAATCGAATGTCCACAAACACACACACACACACACACACACACAAACAGAATCGATGGTAAAATTCATTAAAAAAACCCCCAACTACACAATATAATAATAACATCTGCTGCCCCAGATTTTTTTCTTTTTCATTTTGATTTAGAAATTCATCAATTCGGTAATTGTATTTAGTTATTATTATTATAATAATAATAGAAATACATTCATTCAGTTACATAATCATAATCATCATCATTTGAGACTAACCACCAAGTGAGAGGGAGAAACCGGAATTTAGAAAAAAAAAAATATTTAATAACCAAACCGACCAATGATTGAGGCTGCTAACACAAACACAACAATCATTGAAAAATATTATTTCATTAAATGTTCACACACACACACACACACTCATACACAATGATGAGAAAAACAAAAGCAAAACCACCCAATACTAATAAGAAGGAGACGAAGAGAAAAAAACCATTGAGAGAGAAAACTTTGGAATTTACTTTTCTAAGAACTTGATCCCATTTGGGAATAATCCATTTTGGTTGTACGTTCGTTTGTTTGTTTTGTTTTGTTTTGTTTTTGTTTTGGGGTTGATTCCATTCTATCCTTTATTTATTTTGTTGGCTATGTGTGTTCCCCTTAATAAGGACACATCCAACACTAACACTCATTCACTAATTCTGTTTCAATGACTAAATAAATAAATGATTCCTATATATCCATGTTGTGTGATCGTTGTTGTTGTTGTTGTTGTAGACTATTTATTGTTTTTCATTTGTTGATTAATAATCATCATATATATGGCCAATAAAACAACAACAACAACAACAACGATCCATATACATTGATCCAACCAACAAAAACAATGATGATCTATAAATGTTCTCTCTCTATATATATATCCCCAAATGTAATTAATAAAGATATTTCTTTTTTTCCAAAATTGAACATCAAAAAGTATTGTGTTCTGTGTTCAGAATTTTTTTTTTCTTCACTGTAACTGAAAATTTGAGTTCACAAGACTGTTTGAAGTAATTCTTGTTCATGTTTTTTTTTTTGCCACGCTGGCAATGTTTTAGAAAATCCACATCATCAAACTGGGTAACATTTCCACCCACCCACACACACACCCGCACACAATTTACAAATCAATCGTTTTGCAATTTTTGTTGATGATAATATTTTCTATATCTCTTTTTTAAAATCTTTCTCAATCTCTTACTGCAATTGATTCACGTAAAAACTCGAATGAATCAAGGATCAATGTGTTTCTCTGAAGATTCTCTTCTTTTTCGTGAAATCAATTTTTGAAAATAGAAAAAAAATCAAAGTCATCTGTTACGATCAATCTATTCCGTTCTTATTATTGTTATTGCCATTATTATCATAACTGTAATGGGAAATCATCGTTTTTATTTTTTTTTTTTTTTTGAAAACGAAAAAAAAAAAATGATGATCACTGAAACATCTGTGCGCTGGTTCAAATATATTCGAATTGTGCTATACATTATAATGTGTGATGATGTTTGTAAAATAAAAAAAAAAAATCCACAAACTACGTAATTCAGAATTTATATCACGAAAAAAAAATTAGATTCTTTGATCACTAGATAGTGTTTTTCTTTCATTTGTTTCTACATTTCGTAATAATGATTCCTAATAATAATTCTGTAATGAGAGAGAAAAAAAACAACAGAATAAAATCCATAATGAATAGTTTGTGATTGTATTTAAGTTTCAATCAAGATCAAGAATTTTTGTTCTACAATGATAATGAGCATGATGATGATGATGTATTTATTATTATTATATGTTTGAATGAAGTGAAATGAAAATGAAATCTCGAAAGAAAAAAAACATATAAACCTGACAAGTAAAGTATATCAGTGATGTAAAAAAAGAAGAAAAAAAACATCATAAGCCTAGGTAATTAAAACATTCGACAATGTCATTGTGTGTGTACATGTGTGTGTTCTTCATTACGGATGGATGAATGAGTGAAAAGGTTTTTGTTTCATGAGAAATATAAGAAAAAAAAGTTAAAAGTAAAAAGTTAGATCAAACAAACACGGTGAATCTTTCATTTTGTTTTTTTTTTCGTTCATATTCTTTATCTATATTTTTTTCGTGTAGTTCTAGTTGTACACACACACACACACAGAGAGAGAGAGAATGATGATGTTTCAACTTTACCATAATAATCATGATGATGATGATAATATGACTAACTACTTTTCGAAAAACGAAAAATTCTTATGTTTCACTGAATTTATTATGGCATGAATTTTTTCGTTTTGTATTTCACCAGAATTTTATTCTTTTGTTTCATTTTCATTTCGGTGGATATTATTATTTTCGGTCCAACTGATTTAATATGGTGTTTGGGGTATATATCTACAAATTTTCTGTTTCTGTTGGATTTTTTTTTTCGTTGTTGGCTTAGTGAATAGAGATAAGAAACAAGTTGGACATTTGAAAATGACGATATTTTTTTGTTCAAGTAGCGGTGAAGTTTTTTTTTTTGCTTGAAAACAAAACATAACGAAATCAAAATTGCATTGTGTGTTCGTGTGTTTGTCAAGTTTAAATTTTTTTTTTCGTTTTTTTTTCTAGAAAATTTCTTTGAGAAAATTCAAAAAAAAAATTTCTCTGTTGTATTTAAAACAAACTAATGTTCTATGATGATACATGCAGAAAAGACATTCAATCTAATTGTGTGAAAATGAATCACCGAACTAAATAGAGAGAGAGAGAGAGAGAATCAAACTTTTGAATAAATTCTTATTCTCGTTTTTCGTTCTATGAATATTGTATTGTATTGTATATATGGCCAATTTGATCATTATCAACCATCACCATCACCACCACAATCATTATGGTAAAATGTAATGAATATTTTCCTTTATCTGATTTGATCATTTTGAATTCATTCATTCATTCATTCATTGTTGATGATCATAATGAATTGAATTTAATATATAGTAAGGAACAGAAAAAATGGACTTTTTTGTGTGTGTGCATGTGAATGATTACTGAGTAACTATAGTTAGCCAGAAGAAGAAGAAAAAAAATTCTGATTCATTTATCCAAGTGACAATATCATCATCATCATCATCATGTGCCAACCAATGTGTGTTGGACAATATTATTAATAATAATAATAATTTTTTTTCTCGTTTGTTTCATAAAGAATTTCAGAAATATTATTTATTTCCGTTGTGTGTGTGTTTTGGATTCTCTTTCTCTGGATGAATAAAGTAAGAATTTGAAATATAGAAAGATTTATTTTTCATTTTTTTTTTCATATTGTGAAATCTGACCAAATTTTTCGTTGTCATTTTGGTTATGTTTCCGTTGTTGTACATTTATATATAGAGAAAGAATATAGACCACTAGATAGAATGATTGTTTTTTTTCTGTATTGCTAACGGTTTTGGTCAATGTTAAGCAAGATGATGATGTGCCAGCATTTGCGTTCTAAAACTAGATTCAAAAGAGTGTATGAGAAGATTTGCCGGTATAAAGAATTTTTTTTTCTCTTTCTCTCTCTTTGGTTCTTGGCTGTTGAAAAAATCAAAATGAAAAAAATTCTCTGTCTGGTGGTTAGACACAGTTGCAATTTGGACATCAAACGTGTTGTTACAATTTTTTTCTTTGAAATTCTGGAAATTCGTTTTCTCCATTACGACTATTCGTATATATGTGTGTGTGTGTAGTGATGCGTTGAAAATGACGATAAATTGAATTCAATCAAAATGGCTATTATAATCAATCATCAAAGTTTTGATTATTTAATCATTTTATCGTTTGCATTCATTTTATTTGATGATTTTTGTTGTTTAAAAATTTCATCAATAAAATCATCACCACAATCCATTAATGCTAATGTTCAACAACAAAAACGTGGACCAGAATTTCTTATTGAACCACCCGGAATAATTACATTTATAAATGATACCGGTACGGTAATTACTTGCAGTGCACGTGGACAACCATCGCCAAAAATTTATTGGATTTATGCTACAATCGCTACAGAAAATGGCATTGGTGGTGGTAGCATGATGAATCATTTAATACCGGTAGATGGTCTGCAACAAATTCGTCATGATTCTTTGGCATCACAATTAATTTATTTACCATTTAAATCAAATCAATATCGACAAGATGTACATTCAATCAGGATACGTTGTATAGCAACAAATCAATTTGGTTCCATTCAAAGTCATGATATTCAAATACGTGCATGTAAGTGATGAACAATGAACATTTGATGATATGAATATTTGGGTAATGCTTCAAGAGAATGAAAAAAAAATAAAATGAAAAACTTTTTTATTGCCCAGAAAAAAATCCGATATTTACATACAAATGAATGTGATATACAGTTTTGTTTTTGTTTTTTTTTGTTGCATTTCCGTAAACAAATTCTTTGTTTTTTTGACAATGTATAACCAAAGACAAAACCATTTTGGTTGTTTTGTTGTTGTCGGTTCACTGGTTGAAACAAAACAACAACAAAAAAGTTGGAAAATTCAAACAACAACAACAACAACAACAACGACCATCATCCTAATCATTGATGTTCTTACTTACGATGGTCATAAATTATTCTTTTATTCCATTTTTTTTCCTTGTTTTCTTTTTTTTCTTGGTTCAATTCCACATTGTTGTTGTTGTGTAAAATAGTCAACCGTGTGTGTGTGTGTGTGTGTGTGTGTGTGTGTGTGTGTATACAGGCGAATTGTCTAAAAATAATGATGATGATGATGATTTGAATGTAAAAAAAAAAGATTTTTCTTGTACTTTTGTAAACTTTTCTTCTTATTTTCCATTTGTTACTGGTTGAATTTTTCAACCAACGTGGCGTGAAATAAGAAAGTTTTTTTTTCGTTCTCTTGTTAGAGAAGAGATAAAAACAAAACTGGAAAAGAATACTGGAATATGGAAGAATTCCTGTGATGGTGATAAAAATCTTTTCTCTTTTTTTTTGTTGGAAAAATTTTTTCATTTTTTTCCATTTATTTGAAAAAAAATATTTATCTTTGTTTTTTTTTGTTGTGAAACATTTCCTTAGTTTTATCTCTTTATCGCCAGAATCATTATTTTTTCCGTTAATTTTTTTTCATCTTTTTTTCCAATTCAATTAAAAAAAATATCCACATTTTAGCCGTACGACAACCATACGATATACAAGTGTATGATGATTTTGTTATCAAAGAAAATACTGGGGTAAGTTGCCAGACAATTCTTCATTTTGTTCCAAGAAAATTTCTTCATTTTCTAAAATTTTATTTTAGATATTACGATGTCATATACCGAGTTTTATTCGTGAACATGTTCGTGTTACAAATTGGCTTCGCCATAGAGATGATAATGGTGTTGTTGGTGGTGGTAACACTGCTGGTGATCAGATAATTATATCAGATCTAATTAAAGGTCAGTGAAATTGTATTATGAATTGAATAGAGCAAACAGAAAGAAAAAGAAAAAAGATGAAGAATTTATTATCATGACAATTCCATTCCATATTACTGAAATAGAGAAAGAAAAATGAAATTCTCAGTACCCACCCCCACACACACACACACTGTTGTTGACATTTGTAGCATCTTTTTTTTCCTTTTCATAAAATCGATTATTATTATGCCATTTGCAGATATGTGTGATGCTCATTTCATTTATTATTATCGCACATTTCAAATGAATTCATTTTGTTTGTTTGTTTTTTGACTCAAGGTGGCCGTTATAGTATCATGCCTAATGGTGATTTGCATGTACATTATATTCAAATTGATGATAATGATCGATTATCATCGTCTTCTTCTTCTTCTTCTTCATCGTCAACGAGTTTACAATCATCATCATCATTTTCATCATCAACAACAATAAAAACAGCCATGTTTCGTTGTCAAACAAAACATTTGCTCACTGGTGAAATAAAACAAAGTGCCAATTATGGACGACTTATTGTCACTGGTATGTTATATATGGTTGGTTTTTTTTAATGTTGATAATTTTTTTTTGAAAAAAATTCAGATGCTCAATCACGAATGCCACCAAAAATTATCGCTACAATAGGCTATAATAATAATAATGGTGGTGTTAATAGTCCAACTAATAAAAATTTCGGTTATAATCGAAAACAAAAAGTGATAGCCAATTTTGGTGATATTATCGAGCTACCATGTTTAGTACAAGCTAATCCTTGGCCAACATTCACCTGGTATCGAATGAATCATAATAATAAATATTCATCAATTACACAACCAAAAATTTAATGATCCACAACATCAATCATCATCATCATTGTTAACGCCTATATTGAGTGGCGCAAAAAATTATTCAAATTGATAGTTCATTATTTATACACGATGTGTCGCTACTGGACAGTGGAATATATGTGTGTATTGCAAATAATTCACTTGGCCAAGATCGTATTGAAACCGAATTGATTGTTAAAGGTAAAAGTTTTGAAAAATCCCGATCAATTGAAAAAAGTCCATTTTCCATTATTTAATTTTTAGCACCATTACATGTTCAAATAATACCATCGATCATCAAGGCAATCGATGGTGATACCATCGAATTTAATTGTACCATATCAACTGGAAGTCGTAATATAAATATTGATGATGGAAATTCATTAATCGATCGTATACGTTGGTATCATAATACACAATTATTAACAATGATGATTCCGTCCACATCATCATCGACAACGATTCTGCAGGAGAATTTGGATTCTAGATATCGTTTTCTTGATCATGATCATATACTACAAATACGTAATGTTGGTCGTGAAGATAAAGGAATGTTTGTAAGTAATTTTTTTTTTTTGAAAAAAGAAATTCTGAAATTTTTGATAATCCAAAAAAGCAATGTATCGTCAGTAATGAATTTGAATCGATTCAAGCTACTGGTGAATTATCGTTGGTTGATGATCCACCATCGTTTGTATCCGTATTCAACATTGCTGAACCATTAAGGCCAGGCAAATCACTTTCATTGAAATGTTCAGCAATCGGTACACCATTACCACAAATTATTTGGACATTAGATGGTCAAACTTTACAAGAACATGGCCGAATCAGAGTTGGTGATTATGTTAGTGCCGATAATGTTGTGAATAGTTTTGTCAATATAACCTCATTACGAAGTGAAGATGGTGGCATGTAAGTTTGAAAACATCACATGAACAATCAACTAATCGTTAGCTATCTCTCTTTTATAGTTATTCATGTACAGCATCAAATGATATCCATTCTATAAGTCATTCAAGCCGTATCAATGTTTTGGTGCTGCATCAGTTCGTTCGATGAAAAATTTCACTGCCATTGCTGGGCATAATCTTCAATTACATTGTCCAGCCGCTGGATATCCAATAGAATCGATTGAATGGTATAAAAGTCTACGAATCATATGAACGATATTCATCAATCATCAATCAATCGTTTGCCACAAAATCATCGACAAAAAACATTTCCAAATGGAACATTGATTATTGAACGTATTGAACGTGGATCAGATGACGGTGAATATCGTTGCCAAGTAACAAGTGAATCAAATGTGGCTAGTGCTGACACTTTTATACGGGTACTAGTTGCACCATTGATAAATCCATTTCATTCACCGCCAAATCTCCGTGAAGGAATGCGTGTAATGCTTACCTGTTCAGTGGTTGAAGGTGATCCACCATTAATGATTCAATTCCTTAAAGATGGTATACCTATTTCAATGAAACAACAACAAACAACAAGTGCCTTAGTAGAAAATCATCATATGAAATTTGATAGAACCAATGATTATTCTGCTACATTGTTCATCGAATCGGTTACGAATGAAGATTCAGGAAATTATAGCTGTATTGTATCAAATAATGCAGCAATCGCTACATATTCCATTTTTATGAAAGTGAATGGTAAATTTAAATTCGTTATATATATCATTATGTTATGATTTGTCAATTTTTTTTGCTTTTGAAAAATTCTAGTTCCACCTAAATGGATTATCATGCCAAAAGATATTGAAGCCATCGAAGGACAAAATATAGCCATTGATTGTTCGGCCACTGGTGATTCCAGAGTATGGTGGGAACGTGCCTATGAAAAATCATTATCACCACCAATGCATTCGAAATCGACATTGTTGTTGATGAAAAATAGTGGCAATCATAATATTTCGAAACAACAACAATCACCAACGATGAATCATTTTCGTACGGTCGTCAGTAATTCACACATACATACAGCAGAAAATGGAAGTTTAATATTTCGTGATATTCAATATGATGATTCAGGCACTTATCTTTGTCAGGCAAATAATGGTGTTGGTTCTGGTTTGAGTAAAGTAATTAAATTAAAAGTACATGGTAAGTCATTCATAGTTGTGAATGAATCATGTTCATGAAGCTTGATTTTATTTTTCATAGTTCCTGCATATTTTAAAAATAAATTTTCATCACAAACTGTACGACATGGTGAATCTGTTGAATGGAGTTGTGAAGTCAATGGCGAACAAACGATTGATTTGCAAATTTCTAAAGATCGAATGATTTTAGATTTTGTTCCTATCAATAATAATGAGGATAATTCGTTAAAATCAAATTCTGACACAAAAATTCTTCATTCTGATAATCGATATAATCTGATACGAAAATTACAAAACGATCATCTTGTGTCATATATCATAAGAATTGATCAAGTTGATCGTCGTGATTCATCGTTATTCACCTGTGTTGCATCAAATCCATATGGAAAAGATGAATATAATTTTCAGCTGATAGTTCAAGAGCCACCAGAACCACCGGAAAATCTTCATGCATTGGAAATTGAAAGCAGAAATGCAGTCATTGCATGGTCACAACCGTATTCTGGTAATAGTCCAATCGTAGCATATCATGTTGAATATCGACTATGGATGGATTCATCGACATCTTGGTCCAATGTTCACCACACGTCTAATCAATCTACAATTGTTGAACATAATACTGCTGCAATGATGAGTAAATCATTATTGCCAGGGACAATTTATCGTAAAACATTACCAGGAACCGAAACATCAATAAATCTAAGATCATTACAGCCAATGTCAACATATGAGATACGAGTTCAAGCTGAAAATCAAATAGGTTTTGGTTCATTTCAGCTAACACCATTGAAAATAATGACAAAAGAAGAAGGTGAATAGTGTTTTTCAATTCAAATCCGAAATTAATTTTGCTTTTATTCATTAATTAGCACCTTCGGGACCACCATTGAATATTCGTGTGTTTCCAATCAGTGCTCATACATTACAGATTTCATTTCAACCACCAAGATTGGAAAATCAAAATGGTCAAATACTTGGTTATTATGTTGGTTATAAAGCTGTGGATTTGGATGAACATTTTATGTTTAAAAAAATTCTTGAAGATAATAATAATCGATCTATTCAAATGAAAGAGATTAACATTACTGATTTACGTCGTGCTACGAAATATGTGATCATTGTACAGGCATTCAATAGAATCGGTCCTGGACCACAATCCGAAGAAATTGTCGGTGAAACCTTGATCAATGATCCACCAAAAGCTCCTGTATTAACTTCGATCAATGTCGGTTATAACAATGTTGAATTAAATTGGTCTATTGAAACGATGGACGATTCATTCGATGGCGGCTTGCATGTATCATCAAAATTAGATGTACCCGAAATAACCGGATATTATCTTTATTCAAAATCACCTCAAGGTGAATGGGAAGAACGTCATATAAATTCAGAGGAAAATTCATTCAAATATAATAATCTACTTTGTGGAAATCAATATCAGGTTAATATATAAACATTTCTGCCATATATAGATTTTAATGACAAAAATTTTCGTTTCCTATTAGTTTTATGTTATCGCTTACAATAACATTGGAAAGGGCAATCCAAGCCAGGCAATTTCTGTGCGTACCAAAGGTTCCGGTAATGATTTTTTTTCTTTTGGTTTGATGAAAATATTTTGAAAATAAAAATAATATTTATTTTTCCAGTGCCTATTGCCCCGAAAGATACGGAAACATTGATCACGGTAAATTCAACTGTAGCATGGATTCGTCTTGATCAATGGCTTGTGAATGGATGTGAAATTAAATATTTTCTAATCAAATATCGTTCGAAAATCGATAAAGAATGGTTGGCAATATCATCGAAAATATCACCAAATGAACAACGATTAGTTGAATTGATTGATCTACATCCAGCTACTTGGTATATATTAAATATGGCTGCCATAACGGATATTGGTACTACAGAGCAAACATATTCATTTGCAACATTAACCATTGACGGAGGTAGATGTTTTTGTTGTTTTTTTTGCAACAATTTTAATTTCCCATTTTTTGTTCTTCCTAAAGCAACATTATCACCATTAGATACACCAATGCTAATGCAAGCATCATCCGGTATTGGATATCCATCATCTTCCAAAACATCAACAACCATGATGACAATAAATCCAATACAATCGATGACTATATTAATTCCGGCTACTTGTTCTGTGATAGTATTGACTGTGATAATTTTAGTCGCATGTTTTGTCATACGAATTAAACGTCAACAACATTTCAATCATACGTTAGGAGATGGCGCTACTGGCGGACCTGATGATGAACCGAATAATTCAAATGTTCAAATATTACATTCGACAAATATAAATCATCATCACCAAGGAAAAGAATTTAATAATGATCTACCACGTTATGTACATCCAATTGGAACGAAAAATTTGGACCACTGTGGATTATGTGATGGAAATGTTGGCGTCAAACATTTAATGAAATCAGAATACAACACACATAACAACAATCGGAAAGAGGATATCGAAATGTTGGATAATGGTCAGAATTCTTCCGATCCAAACTATGCTACATTAAAAAATCCAATTCATTTGATGCGTACACAACGAACGGCTTGTATTAAATCATCGAAACTTCGTTCAACACATCATACGATGATGATGCCAATGAAATCGGCAATCAAAAATCATAATCCTAATGGATTTGGATTGAAAAATCAAACCAAAAACAGAATTTCAAACAACAACAACAACGACAACAACCATCATCAGAATGATAATAACCAGAATAATAACAATAATCTTATTGCCAATACTAAACCAAACATATCACCAATGATTTGGTTATTAGTAAGCTGTTGGAAATTGAATCTTGTGATTAATTGATTGATTGATTGATTAATCCCGGCAAACCAGACGAGAGTGGGGAAGAGAAAAAATTTTATTTTATTTTTTTTCGAGAAATTTCTTCGAATGTTTGTTTTTATGGTTCCTTTTATTTTGTTGATTTTAATTTTTTTTTCTTTCGGCTTCTAAAATCCAATAAATACTTTAAACGAATTGGGCAATGTTTTTTTTTTTTGTTTTATTTCATTGAAATCGAATGATTTTAAAATGCCGATTTTATGATTGGTGATTTTGTGGAATGAAGATAAAAATGAATATAATGGTCATCTGTGTTTGGAACACCCATATACACATATAATACAGTGGAGAAAAGCATAAGCTCATGGTTTAAAAAGAAAATGCCGATTTGCGAGAATCATAAACAAATTCCAAATCGCTCAAATGATATGACTGTGTGTGTTGTTTGTCATAAATGTAATTTGATGAATTTAAAATTTTTTGTTGTTTTTTGTATTTTCATCAAAAAAACAACAAACAAACAGACAAACAAATGAATGACAGTGTGTTGAAGCAACCAGGCTGGCTGGCTGGCTGGTTGGCAAACAGCGATTTTGTCGGCCAATTTTTCATTTTTTATTGTATTTTGAAAAGAAAAAAAAGAAGAAAAACGATCAACAAACTTTTTCTCATTTATAATGCATTTATGGTTCAAATAAGTTTCTGTGTCTCTGTTGACATTTTAGACACATTGAAAATAGACACACACTTACTAATCTTCATTTTTTATTTTATTTATAAATGGTAGTGCAATGTTTTTTTTTTTTTTTTTTTTTGAAGCCCGTGTTTTGTTTGACCCTTGGTCCCGAAATTGTGGGCATTGGAGAAAAAGCCATTTTGTAGGCCAAAAATACACGCACACACACACTTCTGAGTTTTGTTGTTGCCGTTCAAAAAAAAAAAATTCAATCAATTTATTGAATTGAGACATTCATTCAATCAGCCGACAAATATATTGATAATCACGATTCTCATTATTATCATCATTCGCACGCACTAAAAATCTATCTGTATGTATTAGAATCTCAGTGTAATAAAATAATAACAACAACAACAACAAAAAACTCAAAGACAATCAATTCGAATGAAGAAAAAAAAAATTTTTTTTCTTCGAAGGTGGCCATTGGCCACTGACCAATGATCAGGTAAGATTCACCTACAATTTTTTTTTCTTCTCATTCATTTGCCGACCAATTTTAAAGGATCCTGTACATTTTATCATTACCATTTCAACACAAACAAACAAACAATTTAGACAATTTAAATAAACACCAAATATCCAATCACACAAACACATCCATTAACACATGTGTCTAAATGATTATTTCATGATGAATTTAAATAATAACCGGTTATCTTTTTTCCATTATTTAAAATTTGATCTTTGACCATTCGTTGTGATGATCATCAACCAACCAGCCAACCAACCAAAGAAAAAAAAATGACCACATCTATTAAACCCAAAAAAGATGATGATGATCCCTATAATTATATTAATAGCTCTATATATGTGTATAATGATGTCAAACAAACCAACAGACAAAAAAAAAATTTTTTTCGTTTAGTTTCAAGGTTCAATTTATTGTTTGATGTGTGTACACTGTACAGGATTTAGTTTTACTGATGTGCGATGAACTATTATCCTTGATCCATGAATAAACACGGTTCTTTTTTCCTTACGTATGAATGATTTGATTGTGAACAACACAAATGTTTGAATGGTTGATCCATAATAAAAAAAATGATCCGGACCCAGTAAATAAATAATAATAAATCACAACAGCAGCAAAGTTATTATCATCATCATTTGATCATTCATGATAAACACACGCACACACAAACTTTTTCTAATGGAATGCCAGCAACATTTACGCGTTGAATTTTTTTTCTCCTGTCCATTTTTATCAACAACAACAAGATCAAGTTGCAATTTTTTTTCTGCATTTTCGTTTCAGGCTGATATTTTTTTTTCTTTCTTTCTTTGCATGTTTTTCGTCTGAGTAGACCATATACTTTTTTTTCCATACCGGATAGATTCGATTGTTTATCTGACCATTATTTTTGTTTTTCATTTCACCTCCTCATTCTAATCTTGACAATGGGTATAGATCCGATTGTGAATGATGATTGAATGTTATGGTTAAAGTAAAATTTGGTCCTTTCAATATCTATTTTCGAGTGATTGGCCTTAGTAGTGTGTGTGTTGGTGTATTCGAAACCTATCATTATATATCTTGACTGTTTCAAAAACAAAATGAAAATTTTCATTCATTTCATTCAACATACTCAACTACTCTCTCTATCCATTTCAACATTGGGTCAAAGTCCACACACACGCTGAAAATTTTTAAGAGATTATTTTCACTTCGGTCACCCGGTCATGCCACACCTATTTACTCGAAACGTTTATTTTTTTTCTTGCCAAAAAACATCATCATCATCATCATTATAATTTGAACCAGCATAATTTGAATGAATATATTTTTTTTATATAGAAAAAAATGAAATTTTTCAAACTTCACAACAACAAACAAACAAACAATACTACTACTGGCCCAAAGACCTAGCTCTACTAGCCTATTGGACCAATTTGCAACCAGAAAAAAACCAACAGAGTTTTGATCAAAAAAATTTTTTGTTTTTTGCCCATTTTTTTCGCATCAATTTCGTTCAATGTCCAAATGACACACTTATAAACAATTTGATTTCGCTTTGAATGAGTGTTTGGACACACAAACACACATACACAATCAATCGAATAATAACGTTATATTCATCCATCCATAATTTATACATTCACGAATGCCAAAAATAAATAAAAAAAAATGAAAAAAATTCTTATTTACTTTCCCATGAATAATCCATCTATAATTCTGCATTTTTCATATCGAATCGATGAGAACCAATCCCAACTACGAATCAATGGGGAAATATGAAATTTTTTTTCTGGTTAATTAATCCCATTTGAGAATAATAATGCCAACCATTCACCCAAATTCACTATAGTTGAATACAAACAGTCCAGCTGCCAGTTGTTGTTGGAACAAGTGTGTGCTATTCTATTTATTGAGTCAGGTGTCCCACGGTCTGTATTCATGGTTTATATATATCGGTACAAATGACGGGAATGATATTTTTTTCCATATTCGTGGAAAACTATTCAGAATTTGGTTCTCATGATCAAATATTGCATATCAAATGTTCATCATAAACATTTACGTATTTGGATAAAATAAAGTAGTGAGAAAGAGAAAAAAAAATTGATGATAATTTTACATTAGAGAATTAAAGAATTTTTTCCATTATGATTCAATTATGGCCACCACCACCAGAATTGAAGTGAATTCAATTTTCAAAAGTCACGTGTTGCCATCATCATCATCATTTTGATCGTGCAATATTCAAATGTTTTGAGAATAAAGAAATTTATGAACAGAAAAAAAAATTAAATTTCGTGGTCCACGTGACTAGCTAGAATGTGGTTTTTCACATCCAATATGATCTTTATCAATGTAATGATTCAGACATTCAATGTTCATTTTTAGCATTTTTCTTATTTTTGATTTGCCTGTATGCGTGATCAATCAAAATTCACGATAACCTTTGACCTTTTTCCTATTTTCTTAGCTCTAATATATTTCTGTTTGAATGGACCAAAATTCCATGGCTTAAATTAATTTTCGGTAATTAAAGAGATGATGATGAAATAATGTTCATACCACAATTGAATGAATAAATTTCGACAATCTGACGACATGAAAAAATAATAATAAATGAACATTGTCGTCGTTTTCAGTAATCGAAATTGTTGTCGCCACAAGACATCGTTAAAATGGTTATCATCAAGTCAATATATCATCGAGCAGTTATCGAAACAAGCTAAATCATCGTATCAATAGTCATTATCACAACTGGCTTTTTAATGATGAGTTTTTCAAACATTTATTATTCAATCTTTATTTAGCGCTTCTGTTTTTTTTTTCATTATTATTTTTGATCGTATTTCGTTATCACATCCATCAAATTCATCGTTGTAAATGTACCAATCAAACATTTATATTTGAAGAATTAAATTCAATGAAATGATTGACAGGACAAACAAAATCCAAAGTCAGTCAGTATGAATAAAATTGATGATTGCTTTTTTCGAAATTCTTTAAATGAAAATTTTTTTCACTTTTTCAAAAAAAAATCACCACATCGACATACCTGGCTGTCCATCGTTTTTATTTTCTAAAATGAAGAGAAATCCTTGCTTTTACAAAATGCCAAATGTACATAAAAAAAACATCATTTCTTCTTCTTCTCATTTTTTTTTTAATTCCAACAACATGATTATTGCATTTCTTTGCTCTTTGGTTCTTTGCATAATGTGATTTATCTATCGGTGGTGGTCGTTGGTCGTCGTCCACGTATCATCATCATCATCAACAGACATTTAGATATGCAGAATGCATAATAATCATAAAAATAATTCGTGTGTGTGTGTTAGTGCGTTTTTCTCCTTTTTCTCTTTTTTAAAGCCATTTTTCATGCCATCTCAATGTTAAAGATGATGATGATGATAAAATGAATAAAAAAAAGTGAGTGAGTTTTTTTTTGAATTCAAGTTTTATTTATTTTTTTGTGGAAGAAAAAAAAATCAGCTGCTGCCATAATCAGATGCATGCATGAATTACTTATGTGCGTATACCGCCATATATGATGATTATTATATCCAGGATTTAAATCCGTCTTTGCTGTACAGGTGATTTACTTTTTTGTTTTTTGTTTCTCTGCATCATAAAGTAGGATTTTCTCTTTTTTTTCCTGGAATTTTGAAATCAATGTGGCCCCAGAAATTATTTTCTCCTTCTCATAAACCAGCAACAACAACAAAATCAAGACCACAATCATCACCATCAAGTTGTCGATGATTTATGGATCAACACACACGCACACACGGATTCTGATGATAATATAATGATATCGACAATGATAAAAAAACATCGTGATCTTTTCAAATTTTCTTCTTTTTTTTCTTGGCTTAATTTCAATTCATATGTTTGAGATTGATACACACACACACACCATGCAAAGTAGAAAAAATCATCATCAATAAATTTTTTTTTTTAGCCACACCATCAGCCACAACAACAGCAACAGCAACAAAAAGAAGTCAGTCCACATATATTACAAATTGAAAAACTAAAGAAAAAAGTCTGAAAACCAGCCGCCAGTCGTGTGTTTGTTGGTGTATGGTTCGTCTTTCTTGTTGAACCATGTTTCAAGTTTAAAGATATTTGCCTCGTGCCAATGGTGGTGGTTCGTCGTCTTCTTCCCCAGCCATCAACCTTAGTCAGTCAGTCAGTCAGTCAGTACGATCCGTTGTGTTTAGATCGACCAATCATCTTAATTGAATGAAGATTTTTTTTGTTTGTTTCGTGTGTTTTTTTGTTGTTGTTAGGTTCCAAAATCTCTAGATTGGCTAAATAGAAAATCGGGCATCTGTCATTTATTTATATGAATATTTTTCGGGTATAAAAATGAATCCCGAGCAAACAAAAATTCGACCTGATAACCTGAAACAGACGACAACTGCGACCGACCGACCGACAGACCGAAATTGAATCAAATTGATATTAAAAGTCAACTATTTTTTTCTGGTTCCCCATCAAAATGATATAACCTTCATATATTGTGTTTGTGTGTGTGTGTGTGTTTGTTCTATATATGAGCCCATGGCCCTAGGGACCAAAACGACAAAAAAAACGTGCATGGTTTTTGACACATGCCGACTTTTATTTTCACACACGCACACGCAACATACAATAACGACAATAACAACAACAACATACATATTTGTGTTCACGTGACCTCGTCGGGCACTTGATTGCTTTTTATGATTATTGCATTTTGCATGTGGATCAATGTTGGTTGTTGTTTCATTTTATCGGATACAAGTGCGGCTAATATTAATTATTATATATCAGAAAAGAGAAAAAACTTTGGTTCGACCCACTTGATTTGACAATTTCAATTGTGTGTGCGCGTTTGGAAACAACAAAACAGACAAACAAAAACAATATTCAGCTAGTCATCGGTGAAATGAACGACGACCGAGCTGAAAGATGATATAAAAGCTGTTTGAAATTTTCGGAAAAATTTTCAAAATTTTCTCCACAATAACAACGGATATGATGAGGCCGTTTAGATTTGGAAATTTTGTTTTACCTTGCCAACAATCATCAAATAATGCTGTCGATGGTGATTCAACGATGGCTTCGAATATTTTCAATTATAAACAAATTTTAATTACAACAGCAAGACTTTTTATTGCCATTTGTTTTGTGTTGTGTTTATATTTTTTAATTGTTTGTATTCAAACACATCACGAACACAATGATCATCATCATTTCAAGGAAAAATTTTCATTAAATAATTTCCAATATAATCCAAATGAACCAGACAGATTGATGATGAAAATGACTTCGAATGAATTGAATCGAAGACAACCAAAATCAATAAAATTATCACGAATGTTACAGGCATATCAAAAACAACAACATGATGACAATTTTGACCCAGAAAATGATGGTCAAGATGATCAGGAAGAAATTCATTCAAATAAGTTTACAACAACAACGTCACCAACAGTATTTGATAGCCACTAAAACAAATGTTATGGCCAATGATAATCATTATAATGATGATAATAATAATTATTCTGATTGTGGTTATCATATAGCATTCATATTGATTGAACGTGATTTGTTTGCAACAAAATCAATGTTAAAATTTAGCAATACATTGAAATCAATATTGATCAATATTAATTCTACCGGTCTGGATCCTGGTTCACTTTGTATACATCTTATTACCAATGACCATATACGGTCACATCTTTTACATACAATCGATAATGTACATGAAGAATTAACACGTCAATGGACAAATGAACCATATCCATGGCTAGATAATCATCGATCATCATTGAATAATCATAATGAACATCGTCCATTAACTAGATATTTTTTTATTGATTCATCTACCATTGAATTACAACTAGAATATCTTTTGCCAACATTACGAACATTTTTTACACATAAACCCACTTCTTATTATTCAAATGCATTGTTTTTTTATTCAATAATTCTACATCAAGTGATTCCATCGACAATTGCTGATCGTATCATTCTGTTGGATATTGATGTACAATTAGATGGTAATATTCTGGAATTATTCGAAGAATTTGGCCGTTTTAAACCAGATGAAGTGATTGGCATTGCATTAGAACAGCAACCAGTGTATCGGTGAGTATTGGAAAATAGTTTCATAAAAAAAAAATTTTAACGTTCTAATCAAATGTTTTTTTCATGAATTTACAGACATATTTTACATGAATATCGTCGTTCAAATAACAACACTATTGTCGGTTCACCACCACCAAACGGATTTCCCGGTTTTAATTCCGGTATCGTATTACTACATCTACGTAAAATGCGTGAATCAAAATTATACAATTCACTGTTGAATCAAGATGTAATAAAACATATCTGCCAAAAATATCAATTTCGTGGACATTTGGGTGATCAAGATTTCTATACAGTAACAGCCATTGATCATCGTCGATTATATCATACATTGTCATGTGGTTGGAATCGTCAACTATGTCAATGGTGGCGTTTTCATGGCTATGGAAAAGTATTCGATGATTATCATCGTTGTGAGCAGCCAATTATGCTTTATCATGGCAATTGTAATTCAGCATTACCAACATTAACCTATTATGGTGCATATCGTCGTCGTTAAGATGATAATTGTTCAATCTCAATTTTTCATTTTTTTTTCTCATTCGTGACTTTTTGTTTTTGATCTCACAAGTCACAAGAATTGCGATGAATGAATGTGATATTCTTATTTACGTTTTTTACATTTTTTTTTATTTGTATTTATGTATAATAAAAATTGTAATGAATTTTTTTTTCGGTGTTAATTTTGATGATTTAAAGTTTTAAATGTTGAATTGAAAAAAAATTGGCGCGAATATAAAATTAAATTCAAAACATTTGGTTTGTATCTTTATCACAAGATGGCATGAACGCTAATTCTATTTCGATCCTATGGTGTCGTATTGGGTGGCAATAGCGAACAGTGTCACAATTTGCTCGAATTTTGAACACACACATGATTGTGGTAGAAAATTTTAATTTTTCATGCTTGATAATGATCTAATTTTCATAATAAAATTATATCGACATCAAAAATGGAATCATCAACCTATCCATCAACTACGGCCATTTCGGCTAGACGAAAAGTTTTATTTGCAGTGATTGCTGCCACTTGTCAAGAGGTTGGATTTCATTCTGCAGATAATTATGTTCTCGATGTTTTGATGCAAATGTTTCAGTCATTTTTAAGCGAATTAAGTTACACTGCTAAATGTTTTACCGAACATTCTGGTCGAAGTGAACCTTTAGCGGGCGATATCTATATGGCTTTGGTTGAAATGGGTTTCAATGTTCCTTCATTATGTCAATATGCACAACGATCGAATCGAATAATGATACCGAATCCATCATATATGCCTAAACAACAACCACCTAAAATCCTACAAACCGGTAAACGGCGACAACATCCAAGCTATATTCCAGATTATTTGCCACCATTCCCTGATTCACATTCATATATTGGTACACCAACATTTAAACAACCAATAACCGACTATGAAACATTACGAGAAAAATCATCGATGCAAAAACGTGATGTTGAACGAGCATTGACACGGTTCATGGCACGAACATCGACATCGAATTCCTATTCATTGTTTACCGATAAACAATCACATCTATTTCCATTGATTGGAATCAAAATGAATAATGTACCATATTTATCGGCATTATTGCCAAAAGATCGTATTTGGAATGCTCAAGACAATCAATTTCAATCGATTTTAACTGCCAATAAAAAATCATCAACATTAATACCGGCAACATCTACATTGAATACAACAACAACAACAACAACAGGAGCGGTCGATGACGCTATAAAATTAAATGAATCAATCGATTCAAAAGATGATCCATTGAATCCTAATAATAATAATAATAGTGTTGATGTAATTGAAAATCCATTCCTTTTACCGCCAAAGATCGTAAATTTTCAATGATGAAAAGAAAAGAAAAATTCAAAATATCATCACACATTCATACAGACTTAATATTTTTTCCGGTCATAAAATTTCTTCATTATTTCATTTCATCCACTTGGCAAAACATTTATTCACATCATTTTTTTACAACTTCACTATGAAATGAATAACAAAAAAAAAACAACGACAAAATGTTCGTCATCATTATCAATAAATGAATGATAATATAAAGATTATAAATAATAGAATGAATCTGCTAACGGCAAATTTGAATTTTCGTATGTATATTCTTTTGCTTTTGTATTTTGTTTCAAATATTTAAATTTCCTTTTTTTCTATCATGTTCAATTCATTTGTTGATGATGATCATTTCTTGTTTGTCATTTTCAAATCATTTTTTGACAATTGAAAGAATCAATTTTTCCCACGCAAACGCCATAAATAATGATGATGATGATGATTAGACTATTGTATGATTCAAATGTCGTTATTAATGATGATGATGATCATGAGAAAAGAATGACAATAATAACAAGAATTGATTGACATCATTGTATTGTATACAATGATGATGATGATGAGGATGTAATTTATGAATGGAATCAATCAATAATAAGACAAATCGAAACGATTCGATTTGTTGTTGTTTTGAAATTCATCATATATTGATAATAGTGGCCTAAATATGATTTTTTGGTTTAAAATTCAAGTTTATTTCAATTTTTTTCATGATGATCATGATGATGGTGTCATGGATGGATGAACAAATCACACACACATATGTTTAACTGTATTTTTTTCCTTTGGATTCGAATCATCGGATTCTATTTTTTTTTTTTTTTAATTTATTGTTTATTCCAATTTTCAGTTTCTTATAACACGATAATTGTCGCCATGAAAAAAGTAGCTGAAAATGGTTTTTTCGATTGTCAGTTTTAGACGAAAAAAACCCGATCATTACCCGATTTCTCAATGAACCGTGATTTTAGTGGCTATGATGATTATGATCAGAATGAATGAACACAGTTTAATGACTTTAAAAATTTCGCACTGGTACATTTTTTTTTCATCAAACCACACATAAACAATCAGAGGGAAAAAAAACTTAGAAATCCTCTCACTATCATAATTGCAGCACTGCTGCTACTGGAATTGAATTATTGTGATGATGATTTTATATCTCTTTTTTTAGACTAAATTTTTGAATATTCAAAGTCAATTTTTAATCATTTTTTTCATATCTTTGTCTATTATGATGATGGTTATGGCAGATTTTTCATTCTTAAAATATCTTTTTGAATTTGATTTGATTGAATAATTTAGTTTTCCATAATCGACAACGATAACAAAAAGCTAGATGTTTGAAACCTGGATACAAACAAAAAAAACAAACTGATCGATCAATCACTGTCATCGTATCATGATCATGATCATCAAATCAAAATCATAAAAAAGAGGAACAAGAAGAAGAGGTAGATAGATAGATAGATAATGATTATTATCGATAATAACCGTATATAACCTGTAGAATGTAAAAAGAAAAAAATTTTTCCTGTTTCTATTTTAATATCGTCATCATCATCATTAATAATAATCATCATCATTCGAATGGTAGATTTTTTTTCGATCGATTCGATTCAGATCAATTCGAATCAATGATCAAACTTGTTTTTTGTTCATCGCTGATGATTAATAATCAACCCAATCAAGAAAAAAAAACATCTGAGCGTCATTGAATTTTGAAAATTTCTTTCATCGATCAACAACAAAAACAAGTATTGTTCATATATTCCATTATTTTTTGGTTTGCTGTTATGATTTTTGCATATTTAGGTTGTTGTCATTCATTTCATGGTTGTGATGATGAAAAATTATCATCATCATCATCAATATTTTATGGACAAAAAACAAGAAAAACATGTCACCATGGAATGTTTAGCGAAAAAATGTCTGTATGATTCAGTAAGCATTTTGAGTTATTAATTTTTTTTTCTTTATAATTAAATCTTTCATTCATTCATTCATTCGACAGATTTAATAATCACATTTATTACAAGAGCTAACTCGAGTACGTAAATCACTTGTGAATGATGATGATAATCCAAAAATGCAAAAAAAAAAACACGAAAAAATTATATAGAAATAGAAAACCAGAACTTCTTGAATCTGACCTAAATCAAATGAAGAAGTAAAAAAAAAAATTTCATGTTTGATGGTAATAACAGGTGAATTATAATATAAGAAATGAAAAGAAAAATCAGTTTGCTATTTATATAAGATGCTGATGATGAAGAATCTTGTCATCAAACTACAACAACAACAGCAACAAGTTATGTTTATGAATAACAAAACGTGAATTTCATTCTCGTTCGTGTCACTTTTTGATCAACCTCTTTTTTTTTCTTGGATTAAAGTGGAAAAAATGTCCATTTGTCATTGTTTATTTTTGTCTACTTATTACACGTCAATTGTAAAGAATTTAACCACACACATGATCCAACGAACCTTGACAAATTGTCTTTATTCATTTCATTTATGATAATTATCATAATTTATAGACTTGGTTGAGATTTATGATGAATGAATCAAGAAAAAGAAGACAGCAACAATCATAAAAATATTGATGTCGACGATGATGAAGAAAAAACTAGTTACCTGTTATTCTGTTTTTACTGACATTCATATTGGTGGCTGATTACCGATATTTTTTTTTTTTTGTTGTTCTCTCTTTCTCAGTCGTTCTCTTTCTCTTATTCGAATCCTTGTTGATGACGATGAAACTTGTAGCGAGAAAAACTTGTTCATCGGGCTACATTTTTAACCGAACGAATGAATGAATTTTCGGATTTGATATCGTACTCTGTGTGTGTGTGTAGGTACAATCATATCACGATTTTTTTTGAAGTTCAAGTTTCTGTGCCATTTTTTCTGCTTGATAATAGTAATAATAATAATATATCAAGAGGTCTCTTTCTTTTTTCTGGTTGTTGTTTTGATTGAAACAAAATTTTTTTTGCTAACCTGACATTATCTGCTCGGTTTGTTTTTCTCTTGAAATGTTTTTTTTTTTTTTTTTTTTTGGAAGTATTCGAGAGAAAGAAATCCGTTGCTGGTTATCGTTGGATATTTTTCTTTTCTATTTTGGAGTTAGTCAGTCAGAGTCATCTTCTCTTGTGTATCAGCTGCCATTACAACAAAATACGATCGTATTGTTGTTTACAAGTTCCACACACACACACACAAACGGTAACTTGTTTGTTGGTTCATACTTGTTAAAACACATTCATTTCATTCTTCAATCGATTGTTAAAATTTCGTTATTTGTGTCAATCTCATTTTTTTTACCCACATTTGATCCGAATCGATCGATCGGATTTCCATTCATCAATCGATTTTCGTTTATTTTTTTTGTTGTTGTTGTTTATTACATATTTTTATCTGATCGAATTGCTTTTTATACAACAACCATTCCATCATTCAATCAATTCATCAGAATCGATAAGATGCTTTTGTTTGTTTGTTTGTGTTTGATTACATCTCAAACAAACAAAACATCAATTGAAATGTTAATGTTTATCAAATTGTTGTTCACACATATCCAATTGCAATGATGATGATATTCCGATTAAATATAGATTTGATTTAATCATTTTAAAAATAAATCAATAGATTTCCGATATCCGGATGTATGTTTTCATGTGAAAAAAAAAGATCATCAATCATCATTATATTGTCGTCTTTTTTTTGTTTCACTCTTCGTCATTGTCATCATCATCATCATTAATCCTCAGTCATGAACTTGTTTTCCAAGAAGTTTTTTTCTGAATTTAAAATTTAAACTTTTGTTGTTGTTTTTTCTTCTTAAAAATTCAGCCATACTTCTGTTCATGATCATCATCATCATCAGCATCGATGAAGAAAAAGTAGATCACGATTCATTCACATATTGAGAAAAAAACTATTCACCGTTATATTGTTGTTGTTGATATATCTAATGGTTCGATTTTTTTTTTTTGCTCCATCCACAAAAATCATTCCAAACAACAACAACAACTTCAGCAACACGATTTTGATATTTTGGCCAAAAAAAATAAAAAATAAAATCGACAATAATGAAACACAAAGATCATCATCATCATCATCATTATAAACAACATCATTCACATTCTTATCATCAACATTCTAATCATTATCATCAACAACATCATCATCTTCATCATTATTTATATTTAAATAGACAAATATTATCATATATCATCATTATATTAGTGTTAATATTTCGATTTGATCATGTAAGTCAGAATCTCATCAGTATTAATCATCAAGTTCATTTAATTTTTCTTTTTCTTTTCCATTCATTACGAAACAATAATCAAGGTGATCTGCCAAAATGATTATTATGATGATCTATTGGCCAATGTTGTAGGTGCCGGTAGCAATGTTGGTGATGGTGATGATATGACAAATGGGCAAATGAATAATAATGGCAATAATATGATGATACCAAGTAGTACGAAACTTGATTCCTTAGATGTTATTTGTGGCAAAGAGTATATGACTGTTCGTGCTGAATTCAATGGACAATTCAATGGTATTATTTTCTCGAAAGGAACATATGGCCAAAGTAAATGTGTTTATGTTAAACCACATTCCGGATTGACACATGCAACATTTAATGTACGCTATGATGAATGTGGAACGAAACCAGATTTACAAGGAAAATATTTCGAAAATACAATCGTCATACAATATGGTACTGATATTATTGAAGCATATGATGAGGCTAAACGATTACGATGTGAATGGTTTGAAGCATATGAAAAGCCGGCTACATTTCGACCTGCCATTCCTGTAAGTGATATTGGTGATAGAAGATCATCAAAAAATCCGTTTTACCCATTCGATGATGTGATTTGTCAAAGAACAAGTCTAGAAATTTTCGGAAGAAATGATATCTAAATATGATCTGATTTTTTTTCTTATTCGTCTTCGTCTTTTTTTTCTAATTATAGGTCGCCGATCTAGATATAATCGAAATGAATTTTCAAGGTGATGAGATTGATTGCTGGATGTCTATACAGGAAGGTAAAGGACCATGGTCGAATGAAATTAATCGAATCGTCACAGTTGGTAATTATTTAAAAATTTGATAAAATTTATGATTTTAATTCTATCTTTTTACCCTTTTTTCGGTATGAATTCCGCAATAATAAATCAATCAATCAGGTCAACCATTGACCATTGTCGTGGCAATTAATGATAAAAAGAATCAATTTGATATGAAAGTAAAATCCTGTTTTGCACATGATGGAATCAAAGCACCAATTTATTTGATCGATGAAGATGGTTGTATACTACGATCGAAAATGATTGCACCATTTCAAAAGATTCGAGGCCTAAAAGGAAAAGCATCCCTCATAGCATATGCACAATTTTTAGCATTCAAATTTCCGGATTCAGTTGATGTACAAATTCAATGTACAGTGGAAGTATGTAGACATGGTTGTATTGATACATGCAATGATGGTATCTCAAGTAATCCACAACAACAACAGCCACGTCAAAAACAAGATCATCATCGAAATGATTTCCATAAAGAGAATAATCGATTTCAGATTGAAAATGTCACTAGCCATAGATTTGTGATGGATAATAAAGATGATTTACTTGAATCAGCTGATACAAATAAAGAACCTGTCTCTACAAATGTTCATTTGCCTGCAGATATTATTAATGATAATAAAAATGTTCAGCCAGTACATTTAATTGATGATGATGATGAAAATGGTAAACGAAATTATTTGGATATTATTGCCGATTATCTTCATAATGTTGACGCCAATAAAGATAAAATTATTCATAATGATTATCAAGTCGAAACAATAATGGAATCTACACCGAATCCAATAATATCATCACATAACAATCATCAACATCAACAACCTAGACATCCTACACCTAAACCAATGATTGATATTCCAAAGAAAAAAATTATTCGTCCACCAGCGCCACAAAAACCTTATCCAATTCCTATGAGAAATATGAATCTTGGTGAACCTGTTGCACAGGTTATGACTATCCCATTGAGTCCAATTTATTCGATGCCAATGCCATTGACAATGGGACCGCTGACACCACCAATTCATCAACAGCATCCATCCAAATCGAATGGATTTGGTTCATTATTATTGAATCCATTCAATTCATTAAAATTATTTGGCAATGGAAACAATAATAATGGTGGTGGTGGTGGTGGTGGTAATAAAAAATACATACCACAGATATTATCAAATTATTTTCAACAAAAACGTCAACAACCATCATTACCATCAACATCGATGATGATGAATATACCAAATGATAATTTTGAATTATTACTCAATTCAGCTATTCCATCATCACCGCCGTCTCATTCATCCAATGGAGGTCGTCTATATCGTAGTCGTCGTTATATCAATGATAACCAGGGCGAGATTGGATTGAAAAAAGGATTTCAAGTTGTAACCACATTAGATCTATCATTTGCTCCGAACATATCACAGGATATGATGCCTGTATTTGAAGGCAAACCAGAAGCTGTTGTATATGGCTTATGTTTTTCAAGCACATATTTTATCTATGCACTTGCTACGGCCATTTCGTTTTTATTTAGTGCTATATTCGTATCGATTTTTATCGTTTGTAAATTAGAAAGAATTAAAGTGGCCAAAAAGAATATCGGATGCTAAGATTTTCGAATGAAAGAAAGAATCTGGGCCAAATATTCATCATTTTATTTATTTATCCACGCTTTATATCTATCTGTATCTGTAAACGATTTTGAATATTTATTTTTTTATAAATAAAAAATGTTGTTATTTTTAACCAACTACACGTAAGATGAAATTGTCAAATTTTATTCATTTTCATACCTTTCATATGTTGGTGTGTGTGTGATGATCACATATACATTTGTACATTATCCAATTTGGGCAAAATGTCTAAAAAAATTTTTTTTTGTTTTTGATTTTCCAGTTCATTTTTCTTTTCATTGATGTCCTTGTTCTGTATTTCAGTTCCGTTGTGAGTAGGTTCCAAAATTTACACTTTTCCGCTATAATTATGGATGAGTGAACAATTTGAGACTTTGTTTTTCGTCTTCATATATTAGATGGATGGATTGAATTGTCGAATTGAAAATGAAATGAATTTAGTGTATGGAATGAATCGTTGAATTGAAAATTTTTGTGTATTTCACCAATAATAGATTTGATTTCAATCAACAAAATTAACCAAGTTTATATGTTATTGTTGGCTCACTGCTGCTATCATCATCATCATCACAACCACAATCAATGATGGAGAATTATTTTTTCATTCGGATGACTTTCTCTCTAGTTAGTTGTGTATGTGTGTGTGAACAACAACGGCCACAAGCAAGAATATAATTATATCAAATTAAAAGACCAGTGTGTGTGGACAATGGTAATAATAATGGAAAGAACAATGTCACACTATCAGTTTTTTCTCCTTTTCTTTTTCTTGTTGATTGAATTTGCTAATTTAATAAATAATTTTTTCCTTTCGTCGTAGGATCTTCCAGAAGAAACCAAAAGTTTCATCATCATCACCGTAGATTATTATGGCCAATTATAGATTTTTGTGTGTAGGCAATTTTGTCACAATTTGCGGATTGATAAAGAGAAAGAGAGAGAAAAAAAATGATGTTTATTATCATTCATCAGTGGAGAAAAAAAAAACAAAATTCTGGACACGTACCTTATGGGTCATTCGACTAAATGATCATCATCAATGGATTTTTGTTCTATGAAATTCTTGTCTTTTTTTTCATTACTGTTAGATTTTTCCAGTACAATTGGAATTCATTCAAACAATTTTTTTTTGTAAGTAAAATTTAGGTTTTTTTGTTCTTTTTTTGACCTGAATTAATTGATGATCCAGGTTTAATTTGATGATGGTGTTGATGGGAAACTTTTTTCAGTTTGTTTTTTTGTCACTTTCATAGAATTGTTACAAATTTTTGTTTTTTTCATGATTCGTTGTTGTTGTTGTCGTTATTGTTGCTGTTGCTGTCGTAATTAATTAATTTAATCAACCAACTTATGATTGGTTGGTTTTCTGTTGGATCATCATTATTAGTTGACTAAAAACTTTTTGTTGTTGTTGTTACAAGTAATTTTAATTTCAAATTATCACCAGAAAAAAAGTATCGAAAAGCACAAGGATAATATATTCTTCTTCTGGATACAAATCGTATAGCAGCAGAAGCAGCAGCAGACATGGGGAAATCAGATTGAATTTAACTTATGAGAATCGAAATTTCATTCATTCACTTACAAAGTTTTCCGGTAACAGGATCCTTGATGGATTGATGAAAAAAACTTTTCATCCGTTTTTTGTTTTTCTTTCTGATTCGGGAAAAGAATTTTTCATTTATCTTTTTTTGTTGTTGTCTCTTCGTTTGATGATGATGATTATTATTTTTTTCTGTGACAATATTTTATCCATTTGAAACCCGAACGAACAAAATGGAAAAAAAAGTGAAATGAAACTCTTTGCTAAATGTATAGATATGGTTGTTTAGTAGTGATGATTTTTTTAAAGATGAAAAAAAAATGATGACACTGATGATGACGATTATCGAAGAAAATCTATTAATTTTCAATCATCACGAATCATATAACAACGATGATGACGATCACATTGCGAATTTCTGATAAAGAAAACGAAAAAAAACAAAAGATCAGTTTGATGATAAGCAAACAAAATATTACGAACCTTTTTTTCTCCAATTTCAATCGAATCGAATGTTGTGTTTGAAAATTCGTCTACGGGTTTTTTTCTTTCTTTTTTCTGGTTTTTGGATCCAACTATTACAATAAGAAAAACGATTCTTTTTTCATCGTAAAATGCTGGATGATGAAAAAAAATTGGAAAAAAGAATCATTAATTTCATTTTCAGCTTTTCTTTTCTTAGAGAATTTCGTTTTCGTTTCTTCTTCTTTATTTTTTTTCTTATCAACGAATAGCCACCATTGATAGATAAAATCAGATGTTTGTGTGTATTGTAAACGATTCGGGCCAATAGAGACACAACAAAAACATTGACTATGGTACAAACACAGATAAATAGATAGTTATTGACAATGAAAATGGCCATAGATCCATAAACAGATCTTGTTTAGTTCATTCACGATTTACTTGTGATTTATTATATTTTTCATTTCACGGCAATGGAAAAATGATGTTTAAGGACGATAAATATACGAACAAGCAAATATTGAATCCGAAAATGATTCTTTTTTGTCTTTTTGTCTCGATTAGGGTCAAGTTAGCCGGTCGCAATGATTTTTTTCTCTCGCTTTTACATGTTTTTGATGTAACCAAAAACAAAACGATCGTTGTATCGACCACTATATCTTGGTGGCAGTTGAGAAATTTTTTGCACATTAGAGCTTCTGAAGATGTTGTTTTCGATTTTTTTGTCATCAAAGTTTTTCTTTTTTATTATTACGGTTCAATAAATATAGTCAAGCAGCAAAAAGAAAACAAAAAAATTTTCAGTGTCCGAAAAAAAAATCGAAAAACATTGATGTAAATCAAATATGCTGCCCTCTATGGACGGCTTTATTAAACAAGCCGGCTCAGCTTCGCCGCATTAAATGCAAAGTTTATACACAGTGCAAGCACTTGGCGAGTGTAAAAGTTGCAGTTACTCACAAACAAGCCTCATAATAGAAGTGATGATGATGATAATGATAATAGAAGTGATTTCAATTTTGTATTTATTTATGATATGGTGATGATGATGATGAGAAAAAAAATCAAATACTAACAACAATGACAACAAATGATCTGATTGCGAATCCGCGTAAATAAAATTCATTTGCTTTTTTTTCTCTATTGTTGTTGATGGCTGTCAAAATTCTGAAGAAAAAGAAGAATTGAAAATTCATTCTAGATCTCTAACCCTCAAGGAGAATTTGGAATTACGTTTCGTTTTTTTTCTGTTGCTGTTCTTTTTCTTGTTCAATTTTTATTATCTGTCCACATACAAACACACACATACAGTTTAAATAGTATCATTATCAGTATTTATCGGCACTTGGACCGATTAATCATTGGTATGTGGTTCATGGTTGATGATGATGATGATGATGACAATGAAACCATCATAGCCTTAAGGCATTTATTTATTTATTTGACCAACCATATTGAATTTTATTGAATCTTAGAAAAAAAAAATTTCAAGTGGTCATTTTCTCTTTTTTTTTCTTTTCTCAAAACAACTATGTATGCATTGTAATACTTCCATTGATAATAATGGTGATTGGTGGTTGGTGGTGTCAGAAAATCATTAATGTATGCCTGATTTTGAATGAAACATACCAACAGCCAAACATTTTGCCGGTTTTTATTTGTAAACACATACGCCCAATCCATTAACTATAGTTATTTGTTAGTTTGTAATGATAATGATGATGATTGTTATTATTGTTGTGTTAATGGTTTATTGTTGTTGTTAAGGGGTTAATTAGCATTTCAATCTTCTCTATCTATATAAAAATGTAAACCGTTTTTTTTGTTATTTAGAGCTACTCTCCAAAGTACTGGACCGATTGTTTTGAAATTTTCACACAATGTTGCAATCAAACAGGAGCAGGTTTGTAAATAATAAAATCTACTAGTCTATGTCGCTTTCCACTGTAAACTGCAATTTTACACTCGCCAAGCGCTTGCACTGTGTATTAACTTGCCATTTAATGCGGGTGCCTGTGTGAGTATGTATTTGATGTTGAAATCTTGCTTGAAGACTGCATTTATTGGAATGATTTTTTCTTTGTTTTTGTTCCCGTTATCTATGATCTACTCATCGTTTGGTAAGTTATTTCGGTTATTTAACCTGATTACACCTAAAATACCTGATAACTTTTTTTTTTAAATAAAGAAAATGGCGCATAGACGCAACATTGAAGCTCGAATATTGACAAAGTGGCTATGATTCATTTTGCAGCAAAACGATCGAGATCCTAAGCTACCATTTAAGTTAGTGCGTGGACGATTTCCTGTCGTATTGGTTTTTGGACTGACAATTAATTAATGTTTTAAGGGAAATCTTTCGATAAAATAAGTGTGTACCTTCCCACACCAGTATTGCAACATGGAATGATTTATGTGGCTTTTAGCCCCTACAAAAATCCTTATAATCTGAAGATAACAGACGTGAAGTGACCAGGATAGCGTGGTTTAATCACGAAAAAGAAAATCATCGACCTTAAAATGAAATAATAATTATCTGCCAATGCCAATTTTTTTCAATTCATATTTTTTTGCTTCATCGTTATTGCATTATCGTTTTTTCTGGTCCTGAAAATATTTTTTTTTTTTGACTTTTATCGAATTGCTGAATTTTTCAAATTTGTAAATAAAGACAAAAATTATTTTTTTTTTTAATTTTTTCGTTTTTATTTATTTATATAAATTTATTTCAATGCAAATTATTTAGAATTGAGTTTACAATGAAATCTTCAATGATATTCCTCATTATCGTCATTATCAGGAAAGTTATCATCCGATTCGTCAGTATCATCATTATCTTGAGAATTATAATCCGATTCCTCATTGACATCAGATTCCTCATTGACATCCGATTCCTCATTGGTATATTCTTTATAATTTATCACTTTACGAACACGAAGTGATGGCTGTTTCGGTGTTGATACTGCCAATAATTGTGATGAATTATCATCATCATCGCTTGATAACATAATGGTTTTTTGTTTTTTGTTTGCAATAGTTTTTTTCGATTTGCCAACAAATTCATCAGATTTTCTTTTTTCATTTATAGTCTACACAACAAAAAGGAAAAAACAGGTCATTTAAAAAATGAAAAAAAATAAAACAAAAAAAACATACCGAAGTTGTTGATGTAGTGGCTACAACAATCTTTCGCATTTCTTTTTTATTATTAATCGATTTTTTTACCCGTTCATTTTCCGATTGATTATTTTCAACTTCTATTATCGGTTCAATTCGATAAGACAGTGCACTTGGTTTATAGATATCATCCATATTTGAATTCAGCGCATTTTCACGTTCATCTTTTTCCAAACGTTCAAGTTCTTCAAGGAATGCATCCAAATCTTTTTCCCAAAGCATTTCTGGCGTGCTACGTTTAAGTTCTTCTAGTTCAGATTTTTTTGCATCAAGTTTTTTAAATAATTCTTGAACTTCTTCTTTGAACATTGTTAGCATTGTCATTTCGATGAGATAATCAAAATCATATTTTTCTTCTTCTTCCGTTTCAGGAATTTCATCATCATTTTCAATGTCTCCATTTTTGTTATTTAACGTGGTGTCGGGTTCATTTTGATCGATATTAAATTCCTTACGACATGCTTTCACAGGATCAGAATCATATTTTCGTTCAATCAATATCTTGAGAAATTCTTTTCTCTCAATATTTTCCATAATGATTTTTTGGTCATTTTTTTCCAAAATGAAACGTACTTGATTTTCAAGTTTAAGTGCTTCAGCTTCAAGCATACCTTCATAGTATCTCTTGCGTCGAACATAGAAATCCAAACGGAAAGTGAAAAATTCTCGTAAAATATCCAAAGGTGATTCATATCGTCGAATAACACCATTAGTATCAAACAAAACCATCGATGAAATTGACATTGAAGATTGTAATTTGAATTCTTTATGTATGCCATCTCGCATTACTTTTTCCCATGCATTTTTATTCATTTTAACAACAAATCTATTAAACAAACAAAAAAATTTTAGAATTGAACCTCAAGAAAAAATTAAATCAAACATACTTGACAGTGGTGTCGGTATAATATTCTTTATAGTCATCGATGAGTGCAGGACTTTGTTCCGTATCATTTAGCATTGGATCCAAAACTGATTCCTTATAAACTTGAGTCCAGGTACGTATCGGTAATTCTGTAATTTCGATAGTTTGTTCATCCAAAATGGCAACTTCACCATTGATAACATATTTCATTGGTTCCACTTTCACCACGGTACCTCTGAAATCTTTATACCATGGATTCATTTCCAAAGGTTCTTCATTACGAAGCATTCGTTTAATGTTATCAACAATAGCTCGTGGATCATAATTAGGAACCTTGGTACTCCAACCGGTGCCAATACCTTCTGCACCATTGACTAAAACCATTGGAATGATTGGAACATAGTATTCAGGTTCAATTCTTAGATTATCATCATACTGGTAAGCCAATAATGGATCATCCAATGGTGGAAATAATTTCTTGCCAATGGACTTAAACATGTGAAAATATAACGAGGACTAGCAGCATCTTTGCCACCTTGAAGTCTTGTTCCAAACTGGCCAAGTGGTTGAAGTAGATTAATATTATTACTTCCCACAAAATTCTGTGCCAAATTGATAATGGTTGACATCAAAGACATTTCACCGTGATGATAGGCACTCAATTCACCAACCGATCCAGCTAATTGGGCCACTTTTACTTCACGTTTGTCATTACGTTTGAAACAAGTATATGTCACTTTACGCTGTCCACGTTTAAATCCATCCACCGACGATGGTATAGATCGTTCATTATCCATATTGGAGAAAAGAATCAATTCTTTGTTGATAAAATCTTTATACGTAACTTCACGTGTGTTTTGTTCGTAAAGATAGATTTCTTTTTCACCATTATCACGTCTTCGACGACGTTCTTCCATTCCTTTTGTGAGCCATTCTTTTCTTGCTTCGATCATCTTCTTACTGAATGCCAATTCCACTGCTCTATCATCGTCCTCATCATCATAACGGAATTTGATTCGATGGCGTTTCATATCAGAAAAATATTCTTTGGCTTCTTCCGATGTGGAAGTACCCAAACCTTTGGACAAACAAAAGAAAAAATTTAATAAAGAAAATCAAAATCAATAAAAAAAATACCTTTGTAGTATTTTATCTTGTAAGATTTGTAGTTTGATGTCTCTTGTTTCCATTCTTCGAATTCGGGTAGCGAATAGAAGGCACGTTTGAAACTACCTTTACTCGCTTTTACTATAGGCGTGATAAATTGTTCGATAAAATTCAATTTAAACAAAGATGGCCAATATAGTTGAATAAAATTAATAACTAGGCCAGTGATATGACAACCATCTAGGTCCTGATCACACATGAGCATCAATTTGCCATATCGGAGTGTTTTTAAATCTTCAGTGGTTGTATATTTCTTCTTATATTGTAACCCAAGAATTTTAACCAAATTGGTGATTTCCCGGTTTTGTTGAATTTGATTATTATTGGCCTGGCGCACATTCAAAAATTTTCCCTTTAAAGGGAAGACTCCGAATTTCTTACGCCCAATAGCACTCAATCCAGCAATAACCAACGATTTAGCTGAATCACCCTCTGTCAATATCAAGGTACATTTTAATGATTTTCTTGTTCCCGCATAAATGGCATCTTCCAATTTCGGAATATTTTTAAGTTTACTGCATTTTTTCCAACTCGATTTCTTTTCGATTTCAGTTTGTTTAAAACGAATCCAACTAAGGATTGAATCCACGATACCGATTTTCGTGATAGATGTGAAAAAATTTTCACTTGGCGAACATTTCGATCCCACATTTTTTTTTATTTGTGATGTCAACTTTTGTTTCATTTCTGAGTCAAATATTGGATTATCGATATAACAGTTAACAAAAACCCACATATGTTTGCGTATTTGATTTGGTTCAAGATTGATTTTTGATTTTCCACTTTTTCTCTTGACCGTTTCTATTAAATGATCCATGATTAGATTTGTAACATGCTCAACATGTTTGCCGCCATTTGTTGTAGCAATAGTGTTTACGAAACTAATTTGTTGGAAACCTTTATCACTTAAAGCAAGGGCGATTTCCCAACGATCACTCAAAATTTCGTGAGCTAATTTCAATTGTTTGTTATTTTTATCTTCATTATCTCTGATAAACATATTAATGTAACTTTGAAATCCTTTAACATGGAGACGTTCACCATTTAGAATTACATTTATCTCATTTGATGAGCCAGCTATATCGTATGCACGACGACTGAATAGATCGACAATATCTTTATCTAAATGTGTCATATTGAATTTTTTCAAATCAGGCTTAAATGTCACACGGGTGTAATCGTCACCCTCCGATGGTCGTATGATTGGTTCTTCAGCCGTTTGCATGTTATCTTTCCATGTTTGTGAAAAACATTTATTATATTCACGTGATGATGTTTCAATCTTGAACATTGTGCTAAAAATATTACACAATTTAGCACCATAATCATTCCGGCCACCAACAATTTTTTTTCCATTGTCATTATAGTTTGATGATGCTAATAGATGACCAAAAAACAATGTCGGAACATAAATTTTTTCTTCTTCATGTATAACAACCGGTATACCACGGCCATTATTGTAGACACTGATTTCATTATCTTCACTATTGATATCGATACGAATGAGGTTCATATTTAGATCTTTTTTTATTTTATGACCAACATTGACTAGAATTTCATCAAAGATTTTATACAATCCAGGCACAAATGAAATATCACGTAAAACCATTCCATGTTGACCGTCATAAACCCACATTTGCTAATGTTGATAAGATATAAATCAATTAAATGATTGAATTCTTAATGACATCTTACCTTTATCTTTCTGTTAGTTGAACCAATGAATTTTCGTGGATGTAACAGGACTTGTTCTATTTGACTTTTCTTCTGATAAATTTGTTCAATATCACGTTTTTGGCTACTCAACGCCTGTGTAAAAAAAAATAAAAAAATTATGAAAAATTAAAAAATTATCTGATTATCAAAGGATTCAATTCAATAATTTGATTACAATATTTCTGCAGACAAATTGATAAAAATATTTCGATTGAAAAAACAATTGCCTTCGTTTTTGCAGACAAAATAAACAATTCATTGACATTCTAAGATTTTATTAATCGAATGTGGATTCATTCGATCAGAATTTTTCTATATTAATAACTAATTACAATAATGAAAAATTAATCGATGATGAAACCATGAATTTTCATCATCATCAACACACTTGATATGATGCTAAAGATATGTTCTATATGAAAAGTTCTTGAATTTTGATTCAACAATCATCATTAACAATTTAATCAATTCATGATCAATAATCGAATGACAAACACACAAACCTTTAGCGGAGGTCGATTATCATCCATTATAATGGAAAGATTATATTGAATTATAATAATAATAACACAAATAAATATTAACACACATAAATGATGACATATCAATTCGAAATAGCAATTAATCAAAACTATGACAGACAGTTAGCGTCATCTGTCAACAAAAAAAACAACAAATGTATGTTATGAATATACCATGAATGAAAAATATATTGTCTATCAATAATGAATGGTGATTTTGTAATTGATACTGATGATATTTGTCTGTCATTGATGGTTCAGAATAATCTTTAGAAATGAATAATTCTACTAATTTGCGCGGTTCGTATTTATTTTGTTTCTTTTCATCTAAAAATCATTTACCTTCGCAAATTAATCAATAGGTGAAGAATCAATTTCGATTGTTGAATTAAATCGAGTCCCCTATTTCTTTGAATCACTCGCACGCTTCTTTTGATGAACAACAACCCATTTCTTTGGATAAACCTTCCATTTCTTTTGATGATTCTCATACCGACAATGAATCAGAAACTTCTGACGATTTAGATGTGATCATTATCGACGAAGAAGAGCCATATGAAGATGAACAATTTGTAGATCATGTAGATCAATCATTTATCCATTGAATTTGTAGTTTTTGACTGAGAAGTGTTGATGAATTTTTTGATTTTCTAAGAAATTGTCATTCGCTTGATCAACTACAATCAGAAGATCGATGTAAACTATTTACTGTAACCATTTTGTTTAATCTTTAATTTATAGGATGGATTCAACTTTTAATCGTTTTGATCAATAACTGAGTTCCAGAAAATTGATAGCCAAACATGGAAAATATATGATTTTATGGCTCAAGATTCGTTTATTAAGATACCACGAGATTGGCACGAAGAAAAAAACTCATAGAATAATGATTTTTTCATCTATCGACTTTTCATCAAAATGCTCATCTCTGTCTTGAAATGTTCAATCAATGAATCATAATTATTGTCTGACGATCAAGTTCAATCTTTGCCACATTCATCCGTCACACACATTGGCTACATGAAAATGAATCATTTCGATGGATTCGAATTCTCATCGCTCTGATCAAAGGATCTTGATATTCAGATGAATCTTTAATTATTGGTAAATTTCTTTATTTCAACGTGACTTATCTCTAATTCTCATTCACATTCAAATTTCAGATCATTTTTAATAAACAGTTTGAATCGGGATTTTTGAGATTTGAGAAAGAGAAAAGCTGGAAACCGGAGATAATGTTTTTGTGCATCGATTCCGATATGAGCACAGGATTTCGTTCTGAGTCGTTTCATAATTATTTAAGCATTGGTGAAATTATTCATGAGAAGGCTACTGTTTATACTCTTCAACAAAATGGTCGTTGTGAACGGATTATGCTATCTCGTTATTGTCTTGAACTGATTTACTTCTTTTTTTTTTGGGACGAAGCCGTCAATTGCTCAGCTTATTTGATGAATCGCAAACTAAATTCACGTGATGAAAATCCTTATGTAATTGATATTGGCACCAAACAAGATGTTTCCAACCCACGTATCTTTGGGATGGGGGGCCAAGCGTTGGACAAATATCGTGACAGCAAATTTGGTGCTAGATCAAAATCTGTTAGAATGGTTGGATGCTGAATTATTTGTTACCGATTATCGACCGGTACCATTGATTGAACATATTGTGACTGGCAATAAAATTCTCAAAATTTCGACAAATTCAATTCAATCACCAGACACACAGTTTGATTCATTAGCATCGACAGTTGTTTCAAGTGGTGGTCCGAGTAATGATGACAACAATGGTGAAATCGAATGTATACCATTGAAGACAATTGATTATAATCAATTGAAATTAAATACAACTTTTTCTCAATCATTGATTTACATGGCCATTGAAACATTGGCTGAAGGATTCTCTACGTTGATTTTCTGTCCAACTCGTTCAATGTGTGAATCGATGGCGAAAAATATCGCTTCCAATATCTTTAGCATTGGCCAGAAAGATCGAATTCCACAGAATGATTTTGAACGTAATATTCGAAACAGTATCCATTCTGATCATATTCTATCCTATCAACGATTGGTTTCACTAATCAACACATTGAAACTATCATCTTCTGGTTTTGATGAAAATCTTGAACGTGTAATGAAATTTGGTTGTGCATTCCATCATGCCGGTATGACAATGGAAGAACGTGGTACAGTGGAACAAGGTTTTCGTGATGGAACAATAAGGATTCTTTGTTGTACAACCACACTTTCAACCGGTGTAAATTTACCAGCACGACGTGTTATGATCATATCACCATACGATTATTCCAGAAAACTATTGCCCGTTGGTATTTATCGTCAAATGATTGGCCGGGCTGGACGTAAAGGTATCGATATATTGGGCGAAAGTTATCTTTTCTGTACGGACAAAGATATCAATATGGCACGTCAAATTGTTTCGGCAAAAATGCCACCAATTAAATCGAATTTGATTACGATACAAAAATTAAATAATAACACATCATCTGCAACAACAACAACTAGTGTTGGACAACAAATTCCAACTACATTTAATAAACAATGGGAACCTGTAGTTAATGATCAAATTTTACGTGCCGTTCTTGAAGTGATTGCAAATGAAATGGCGAAAAATATCGATGATATTCATATTTATCTTGGCTATACTTTTTTCCATAATTGTCCATTAAATTTATTGTTGGCATCTGAACAGCAATCACAAACAAATATGGTAGAATTAAGAATGGAAAAGGTTGAAATCATTAATGAATGTATACGTATGGCATTGGATAAATTAAAAACTTATGAATTTATCTCTATTGATTCATCTGAAGAAGCGATTAACAGTAGTGAAACAAAATCGGTTGATTCATCATCACCAATTAATGTAACTGAACTTGGTCGAGCTGTAATAAGTTCAGGTGTATCACCATCGGATGGCCAATTCATCTATGAAGAATTGATACGTTTCCGATCAAATCTATTATCACCGTTGCCTGACTTATATCTGGTATATCAAACAACGCCAGTGTATATTATAAATCAGCTTCCCGATATTGATTGGCATCATTATTTAAATCTTTATGAACGTTGGGATGAAAACACTAGGCATATAGCTGAATTGATTGGCATAAGCCAACAATTTCTCTGTATTCTGATAACAACGTCTGGCTTGAAGACATCTACACAAGCTCAAATGCATCACACATATCTGCAAATGGCATAATAATAATCGATTTTATGAAAAGGGAAAAAAAAGATGCTACAAATGTCAACAACAGTGTGTGTGTGTGTGGGGGTGGGTACTGAGAATTTCATTTTTCTTTCTCTATTTCAGTAATATGGAATGGAATTGTCATGATAATAAATTCTTCATCTTTTTTCTTTTTCTTTCTGTTTGCTCTATTCAATTCATAATACAATTTCACTGACCTTTAATTAGATCTGATATAATTATCTGATCACCAGCAGTGTTACCACCACCAACAACACCATTATCATCTCTATGGCGAAGCCAATTTGTAACACGAACATGTTCACGAATAAAACTCGGTATATGACATCGTAATATCTAAAATAAAATTTTAGAAAATGAAGAAATTTTCTTGGAACAAAATGAAAAATTGTCTGGCAACTTACCCCAGTATTTTCTTTGATAACAAAATCATCATACACTTGTATATCGTATGGTTGTCGTACGGCTAAAATGTGGATTTTTTTAATTGAATTGGAAAAAAGATGAAAAAAAAATTAACGGAAAAATAATGATTCTGGCGATAAAGAGATAAAACTAAGGAAATGTTTCACAACAAAAAAACAAAGATAAATATTTTTTCAAATAAATGGAAAAAATGAAAAAATTTTCAACAACAAAAAAAAAGAGAAAAGATTTTTATCACCATCACAGGAATTCTTCCATATTCCAGTATTCTTTTCCAGTTTTGTTTTTATCTCTTCGCTAACAAGAGAATGAAAAAAAAACTTTTCTTATTTCACGCCACGTTGGTTGAAAAATTCAACCAGTAATAACAAATGGAAAATAAGAAGAAAAGTTTACAAAAGTACAAGAAAAATCTTTTTTTTACATTCAAATCATCATCATCATCATTATTTTTAGACAATTCGCCTGTATACACACACACACACACACACACACACACACACGGTTGACTATTTTACACAACAACAACAATGTGGAATTGAACCAAGAAAAAAAAGAAAACAAGGAAAAAAACGGAATAAAAGAATAATTTATGACCATCGTAAGTAAGAACATCAATGATTAGGATGATGGTCGTTGTTGTTGTTGTTGTTGTTGTTTGAATTTTCCAACTTTTTTGTTGTTGTTTTGTTTCAACCAGTGAACCGACAACAACAAAACAACCAAAATGGTTTTGTCTTTGGTTATACATTGTCGAAACAAAAAAAACCAAAGAATTTGTTTACGGAAATGAAACAAAAAAAAAACAAAAACAAAACTGTATATCACATTCATTTGTATGTAAATATCGGATTTTTTTTCTGGGCAATAAAAAAGTTTTTCATTTTTTTTTTTTCATTCTCTTGAAGCATTACCCAAATATTCATATCATCAAATGTTCATTGTTCATCACTTACATGCACGTATTTGAATATCATGACTTTGAATGGAACCAAATTGATTTGTTGCTATACAACGTATCCTGATTGAATGTACATCTTGTCGATATTGATTTGATTTAAATGGTAAATAAATTAATTGTGATGCCAAAGAATCATGACGAATTTGTTGCAGACCATCTACCGGTATTAAATGATTCATCATGCTACCACCACCAATGCCATTTTCTGTAGCGATTGTAGCATAAATCCAATAAATTTTTGGCGATGGTTGTCCACGTGCACTGCAAGTAATTACCGTACCGGTATCATTTATAAATGTAATTATTCCGGGTGGTTCAATAAGAAATTCTGGTCCACGTTTTTGTTGTTGAACATTAGCATTAATGGATTGTGGTGATGATTTTATTGATGAAATTTTTAAACAACAAAAATCATCAAATAAAATGAATGCAAACGATAAAATGATTAAATAATCAAAACTTTGATGATTGATTATAATAGCCATTTTGATTGAATTCAATTTATCGTCATTTTCAACGCATCACTACACACACACATATATACGAATAGTCGTAATGGAGAAAACGAATTTCCAGAATTTCAAAGAAAAAAATTGTAACAACACGTTTGATGTCCAAATTGTAACTGTGTCTAACCACCACCACCAGACAGAGAATTTTTTTCATTTTGATTTTTTCAACAGCCAAGAACCAAGAGAGAGAGAAAAAAAAATTCTTCATACCGGCAAATCTTCTCATACACTCTTTTGAATCTAGTTTTAGAACGCAAATGCTGGCACATCATCATCTTGCTTAACATTGACCAAAACCGTTAGCAATACAGAAAAAAAACAATCATTCTATCTAGTGGTCTATATTCTTTCTCTATATATAAATGTACAACAACGGAAAGATAACCAAAATGACAACGAAAAATTTGGTCAGATTTCACAATATGAAAAAAAAAATGAAAAATAAATCTTTCTATATTTCAAATTCTTACTTTATTCATCCAGAGAAAGAGAATCCAAAACACACACACACACACAACGGAAATAAATAATATTTCTGAAATTCTTTATGAAACAAACGAGAAAAAAAATTATTATTATTAATAATATTGTCCAACACACATTGGTTGGCACATGATGATGATAATGATGATGATGATGATGATGATATTGTCACTTGGATAAATGAATCAGAATATTTTTTTTCTTCTTCTTCTGGCTAACTATAGTTACTCAGTAATCATTCACATGCACACACACAAAAAAAGTCCATTTTTTCTGTTCCTTACTATATTAAATTCAATTCATTATGATCATCAACAATGAATGAATGAATGAATGAATTCAAAATGATCAAATCAGATAAAGGAAAATATTCATTACATTTTACCATAATGATTGTGGTGGTGATGGTGATGGTTGATAATGATCAAATTGGCCATATATACAATACAATACAATATTCATAGAACGAAAAACGAGAATAAGAATTTATTCAAAAGTTTGATTCTCTCTCTCTATTTAGTTCGGTGATTCATTTTCACACAATTAGATTGAATGTCTTTTCTGCATGTATCATCATAGAACATTAGTTTGTTTTAAATACAACAGAGAAAATTTTTTTTTGAATTTTCTCAAAGAAATTTTCTAGAAAAAAAAACGAAAAAAAAAATTTAAACTTGACAAACACACGAACACACAATGCAATTTTGATTTCGTTATGTTTTGTTTTCAAGCAAAAAAAAAAAACTTCACCGCTACTTGAACAAAAAAATATCGTCATTTTCAAATGTCCAACTTGTTTCTTATCTCTATTCACTAAGCCAACAACGAAAAAAAAATCCAACAGAAACAGAAAATTTGTAGATATATACCCCAAACACCATATTAAATCAGTTGGACCGAAAATAATAATATCCACCGAAATGAAAATGAAACAAAAGAATAAAATTCTGGTGAAATACAAAACGAAACAAAACGAAAAAAAAAATTCATGCCATAATAAATTCAGTGAAACATAAGAATTTTCGTTTTTCGAAAAGTAGTTAGTCATATTATCATCATCATCATGATTATTATGGTAAAGTTGAAACATCATCATTCTCTCTCTGTGTGTGTGTGTGTGTACAACTAGAACTACACGAAAAAAATATAGATAAAGAATATGAACGAAAAAAAAAAACAAAATGAAAGATTCACCGTGTTTGTTTGATCTAACTTTTTACTTTTAACTTTTTTCTCTTATATTTCTCTCATGAAACAAAAACCTTTTCACTCATTCATCCATCCGTAATGAAGAACACACACATGTACACACACAATGACATTGTCGAATGTTTTAATTACCTAGGCTTATGATGTTTTTTTCTTCTTTTTTCTATTTTTACATCACTGATATACTTTACTTGTCAGGTTTATATGTTTTTTTTTCTTTCGAGATTTCATTTTCATTTCACTTCATTCAAACATATAATAATAATAAATACATCATCATCATCATGCTCATTATCATTGTAGCACGAGAAAACAAAAATTCTTGATCTTGATTGAAACTAAAAATACAATCACAAACTATTCATTATGAATTTTATTCTGTTGTTTTTTTTCTCTCTCATTACAGAATTATTATTAGGAATCATTATTACGAAATGTAGAAACAAATGAAAGAAAAACACTATCTAGTGATCAAAGAATCTAATTTTTTTTCGTGATATAAATTCTGAATTACGTAGTTTGTGGATTTTTTTTCTTTTATTTTACAAACATCATCACACATTATAATGTATAGCACAATTCGAATATATTTGAACCAGCGCACAGATGTTTCAGTGATCATCATTTTTTTTTTCTTTTCGTTTTCAAAAAAAAAAAAAAAAAAAAATAAAACGATGATTTCCCATTACAGTTATGATAATAATGGCAATAACAATAATAAGAACGGAATAGATTGATCGTAACAGATGACTTTGATTTTTTTTCTATTTTCAAAAATTGATTTCACGAAAATGAAGAGAATCTTCAGAGAAACACATTGATCCTTGATTCATTCGAGTTTTTCCGTGAATCAATTGCAGTAAGAGATTGAGAAAGATTTTAAAAAAAGAGATATAGAAAATATTATCATCAACAAAAATTGCAAAACGATTGATTTGTAAATTGTGTGTGTGCGTGTGGGTGGGTGGAAATGTTACCCAGTTTGATGATGTGGATTTTCTAAAACATTGCCAGCGTGGCAAAAAAAAAAACATGAACAGGAATTACTTCAAACAGTCTTGTGAACTCGAATTTTCAGTTACAATGAAGAAAAAAAAATTCTGAACACAGAACACAATACTTTTTGATGTTCAATTTTGGAAAAAAGAAATATCTTTATTAATTACATTTGGGGATATATATATATAGAGAGAGAGAGAACATTTATAGATCATCATTGTTTTTGTTGGTTGGATCAATGTATATGGATCGCTGTTGTTGTTGTTGTTGTTTTATTGGCCATATATATGATGATTATTAATCAACAAATGAAAAACAATAAATAGTCTACAACAACAACAACAACAACGATCACACAACATGGATATAGGAATCATTTATTTATTTAGTCATTGAAACAGAATTAGTGAATGAGTGTTAGTGTTGGATGTGTCCTTATTAAGGGGAACACACATAGCCAACAAAATAAATAAAGGATAGAATGGAATCAACCCCAAAAAAAAAACAAAAACAAAACAAAACAAACAAACGAACGTACAACCAAAATGGATTATTCCCAAATGGGATCAAGTTCTTAGAAAAGTAAATTCCAAAGTTTTCTCTCTCACTGGTTTTTTTCTCTTCTTCTCCTTCTTATTAGTATTGGGTGGTTTTGCTTTTGTTTTTCTCATCATTGTGTATTGTGTGTGTGTGTGTGTGTGTGTGTGTTGGAACATTTAATGAAATAATATTTTTCAATGATTGTTGTGTTTGTGTTAGCAGCCTCAATCATTGGTCGGTTTGGTTATTAAATATTTTTTTTTTCTAAATTCCGGTTTCTCCCTCTCACTTGGTGGTTAGTCTCAAATGATGATTATGATTATGTAACTGAATGAATGTATTTCTATTATTACAATAATAATAACTAAATACAATTACCGAATTGATGAATTTCTAAATCAAAATGAAAAAGAAAAAATCTGGGGCAGCAGATGTTATTATTATATTGTGTAGTTGGGGGTTTTTTTAATGAATTTTACCATCGATTCTGTGTGTGTGTGTGTGTGTGTGTGTGTTTGTGGACATTCGATTCTTGAAGCATCACATTCCCATCTCAAAAATATATAGGTCACACACACAGAGAAAGAGCACCAGAAAAACAAGTGAACAAGAAACCAAAATGAAAACTTGACCTATGATTCTTTTTTCCCGGTGAACAAAAAAAGATTCGAAACTTAATTTATTTCTTCATCATCATCAATTCTTGCAATACTTACACATTAAATGTACACAACAACAAACATACACAGACCACATTTATTATGCAATAGAATCATGAGAAACGAATGATGAAGATGGAAAGAATTCCAAATGAGATATAGATAGGCTAATAGAATAATAAAGATATTGATGTAATGCATTGTTACTTGGTGTTTTCTTCTTTTGCAGTTCAGCTTTGGTTGCTGTGTGTATTTGTATCATTTACTTATTGTGATTGATTATTATTACTTACATGTTGTTGTTGTTGTTGTTATGTTTCAAATTTTTTCGATCTTTTTCTCTGGTGAATCAATGAAATGATAAACAAGAAAAACCAAATGAGAATTCTGTGATTTAAACAACATTTTTTTCGATCTATGATAAAGAGAAAAAAAATCAAAATTATTCTGTTTGTGTGTATGTAATGTATTTTTTACCATTGTCATTTTTTTTCGTCGTCGTCGTTGTTGTTGTTTTGCTGTGTAATTACAATTTAGATTCAATTAAAACATCGTTGTTGTACATTTCATTCATTGATGATGATTCTTTTTGATGATGATGATGACGATGGTCATTTCTTAAGTTAAGAGAAAAGCACAGAAAAAAAACATTCGATCAATTTTCAATATCAAAATAAAAGTCAAGAGCGTGGTGGTAAGATAATTTGATATTTGTTCAGAGTGTTTGTTTATAGAATAATACTATATACACCAAAACTGTTCATTGATGTCCGGCTAATATGATTAGCATCGATGATTTTCATTCGAAATAATAAAGATCATCGTTTTTTTCTGTTTATCTCTCTCTCTCTATTTCTCTCCGAATCGATTTCAATCGATTATTGATAATTAATTTCAATTAGATTCATTTTCTTCATCATCATCATCATCATTATTATCATTGCTTTCTGGCTTTTTTAGAGTTTTCATGAGTCTGTGTGTGTGTGTGTGTGTGTTTACAAGAAAAAAAGTTTTGCTTCACTGATGATGATCATGATGATGATGATGAGATCGACAAAATAAAATGAAAAAAAACAATAATCGAATTTCGATCTTGTAGTCGTCGTCGTCGTATTTGATTAGTGTTTGTTTGTTTTTTTCAATTGAAAAAACACACACAAACACATGTAGTATATTTGACAATATCAATTCAAATTCAATGCAAAACAATAAATGTTGATTAATTTTGATTTTTCAGAAAAGATTTGTTTTTGTACGTATAGTTAGAATCCATTTTGGGATTTTTTCTTTTCGAGAGAAAAAAAAAAAAAAAATAAATCCCGAATTTCTCCGGAAAAAAACATACAAACACACACACACATATGAAACAAATATATTGAATTGAATTGATGATCCGTGTATACATCATATACGAATCATCGTTCATTCAAACATTCGAATTTATGTGAATTTATTCTGAGTGGCACATATTCTGTAGATTTTTTTTCATAGAATTTATCAATATTTTTGCCATTTTTGTTGAAGAAGATTTAAATAATTTTTTTTTTGTTTAGAATTGTAAAAGAATCATGTTTGTCTCTGATGTTTGTGTGTGTGTGTTTCAATTTCATGTTTTATTTTTATTTTTCCATCAATTCAAATCCGTTACTTGCCATTCATTCATTCATTCATCCATATACAATTCATTCATTCATTCACGAATAAATTATTCTTTTATTCTTTCCATTTATACATATAGAAAACACACTAAACAACAATAACAAATGAAAAAAAAACCAGCCAGCCAACCAACCAATAATCATAATGATGATGATGAGAATATTTCAGCTTCTTAGCTTTTAGTTTGAATACGAAAAAAAACGAAAACGGAATTTCAACTTGAAAATAAAAAAAAATTTCTCTCCAAAACAGAAACCAAGTAAAATCGATCGATACATTTGAACAACATGGACCGGATATATTGATATCCAGAAGGCAATGACGATATCAAGTTTTTTTGAAAAAAAACAATTTCATTTCAAATACATAATGTAAATGGAATTTGATCAATCGAGAATTTTGAATTGAATTTATTCCTATGTTTCATTCCCGTCATTATCATCATCGTTGGGTTTTATCTCCATTAAAATAGATGTAATAAAAAAAATTCTAGCAAAAGAGAAAGAAAACAAACAAATGAAAATATAGGATCAATGATCACAGCCTAAGTAATATGTTTATGTGTGTGTGTGTGTGTGTATTTATAATTGTTGAACGAGAATCAAAATAAAAAAAATTTGTTTGATTCACAATTTATTTTTCAATTCATCATTGAAGAATTAATCTCAACAACAACAACAACAAAAAATCTGGACGTTAAGCTGATTTCGAATGAGAGAGCAAGAGAAAAGCTTTTATGATCATCATCATCATTATTAGTTTGTATATTCTGGTCGTTTGGTGATATAATCCTGAAATCTGTTTGCACACACACGATTCCAGTGCTGGTGTGTGTGTGTGTGTGTATGTGTGATTTTGACTCAATTTGTCGCATACAAAAAAAAAAAGAACGAAAAACTGTGAAATGAAAAGAATCAACGGAAGAAAAAATTCATTAAAAATTTTCATCATTGAACATCAAACATATCGATGTTTTTTTATTTCTTCCAAATTCTCGAATCACAGGATTGGAAGAAAGAAAGAAAAGAAAAATGAGATGAATTTTTTTTTTTCTTCATACATACCATGATCTTCGTTTTTTCCATATGTATTTTCTTTAATTCATAAATTATTCATTTTATCTTTCTTTTTTTTCTATAGAAAAATTGATGATGATTTCCAATTCGAATGTTGATGATGATCATGATCATCAAAATGGGATCAACATAAAAAAACACACATATCGAATCACTATTTGTACAACAGTGACCTTTTTGAGTAAAATTCGAATATTTTCTTTTTCTTTATCGAAATATATCCGTTCTATTTTAGCTGTGGCAGTATTTTTTCTTGTTGGATTTTTTTTTTCATTTTTGCAAATTAAATTTTTTTTTCTCTCATAAATAATGTCGACTAATAATCATGATAAAGGCGTATTTTCTACCATAGATGCCGATGATGATGATGATGACGATTTGAATGATTATGGACAATTTTCATTTGAAAGTAAGTCATTGGTTACTGTCTGTCTCATTTTCTTCATAAAAATCATCATCAATCAATTTTTCAGATATTGACAAGTCAAAACAAATTAAAAGACAAAAGACATCATCAAATTATAAACATGGTAAACAGAAGAAAATAACAGATTTTTTCAACATTTTCAATCAAGATAAAAATGTTGATTCAAACGTGGAATCGTCTTCTGTTATTCAAAATGATCAAGCTAAATCGAAACATGGCGATCATGATGATGATACAACCTTAAAATTATTCGTGACCACTTCTTCATCTTACGACATTTGTGAAGGCAAAACACAACACGGTGAGCAACAAGCTTTTTACCATGTAAACAAATTCCATGTGATCATAACATTGACTTTTATTTATTTATTTTTGTTCGAAAGTTAATATTCGAAACAAAAAAATGGAACTTCGGTCTGGCAAGATTGCATCTTATTCAAGAAAAAAGAACGAGACAAAATCCAAAGCTCCATCATCAAAACAAACTGTTACGAAGCCCAAAAAAGATTCAATACCGAAAAAACCTCCTGTCAAAAAAAATGTCAAACAAAAATCAAATCCAAAAAAAACCAAAACAAATACTGTTCATAGTGATGATCTCGATCATGGTATAGTTCAAAAAGATTGTGGTCGATCAACTGCAGCCATTCGAAAGATGAGTAAATTTGAAAAAATTCAGAAAAATTATGCAAAATTGATCTTTTGAAAAAAAAATTGGCAAAAGCTTTGGATGTCAATCTTGGACCATCGATCGAAATTGAAAATTCTAGTCTTCAAAACGTGGAACAAATGAACGAACCGGACAAATGTCAAACAATTTGTTTCAATGAAAAGATTGATTATAGTAGATATTTATTTCAAAAAAATCAATCCGAACGAATCGGTCAATGTTTGCTCGATATTCTACAATCACCGTCAAAAAACAGCATTAATTTGAAAGAACTTTATCAAAATTGTTGCGACCCATTTGGTATTGTTCACTTTATATCCGATGAATTTGACCAAAATGAAACGAATATGGAAGACCTATACAAATGTTTATGTAAATTCAATCAATTGATTGAAATATTCAGCGAACAAGCTCGTATTGATCAAATTTTTATCACCACTAGCAACAATAATGATATGTTCATCAATGATGCAGGAATTTTGGCAGAATATATAAATTTATTCCTAAACGAAATGATCAAAGTCAATCATTTGAAGAAAAATTTATCGAACAATTTTTTGGCCATTCCATTCATCTATATATTATTTGTGCAGAAAATTGCCATACATAATTTGAAAAATTCAACACCAATCGATCTGTTAACCATTGAACTGATCGATTCGATTCCATATCATTTTGGTATTCTATTACAAAATTCAATTGGTGAATCAAAATCACAACAGCTACAAAGCCAATTGTTAGCCATATTGATTATGGGAATGAAAGAAGTTTTCGATGTATTGGATCATGATCTTGAAAAATTTGCACAGCTTTTAGAAACAATTCTAATATGTCAATTGAAATGTATGGATTTATTGAATGAATTTTGGTGGCCACAACAGAATCAATATAATCTTGAACAACATGAAATGGAGAAATATGAAGATAATAAAATGAACGAATTATTACTATGTCAATTGTATAGTTTGCTTTCAATGAAAACTATATTTCGAATACATTTGAAATATCCTGAATTAATCACAGCAAGAACAACAACATTGATTAAACAAACAAAAATTATCAATTATGATTTTTTGTTTAAAATTGGCCATCATTTTCGCAAGTTATTTTCACAAATTTTTCATCAAATTTCATCATCATCAAATTCAGCTAATTTATTTGGAAATTTTTCCATTACATATTTCGTTGGCATAATGCTGACAATATCGATAAATGTATTGAAAAACATTTCGATAATGAATCATCATTGAAATCAATACAGATTATATGCATTATAGACACACTATCCGAACTAATGATGATGATGCCATATGATGAATGTAAAAGAAATGGCCATCATTTTCATTTATTCTGGTTATTATTTATATTGATCAAATTGAAAAATGGATTATTAATGAAACCTGAAGAAGCGATTGATTTTAATCGTATTCGTAATGATTTTAGCCAAGCAATTAAACCAATGGAAAATATTCAATGGCGTGAATTGCCACAAGGTTCACAATCGTATTTGGCTGATTTTATACTTGCTTATTGTAAAAATTTTGGTATCGATTCGGTTAGTTTTTTTTAAATTTCTATTTTTTTCAAATTTTTAACTTTTTTTTTAATTTTTCATGCATATAGTTTGTGATCGATCTCTGTAAATACATGATAAATATACCGAAAATCGAAATGGGGGTTAGTTGAAATTTGAAACATTTGAAATTTTATTATCATACTAATTCTATCATTTCTCTAAACCTTATAGTTTAAAATGATCGTTCAGCCTTTGATTTCCTATCAATTCGCCAAATAATGTTGGATGATAACGATGATCCCTTGTACGAATTGTTTTTACATTTTGGATCTCGCACAATAACAGCTACAGTATCAACCGGAAAAAAAATCCAAACAAACAAGTCAAGTTTCCATTGTGGTCCAATTTTTCAATTATTTCCTTTTTTTTTCTCTCTCTCTCTCTCTCTCTGTGTGTGTTACCATCAAATTGTCAATATAATATGGTTGTTGCACACATATTACAAACGAGATAATGACATCCAGTCGATTCTTATCCGTTTGGAACAAACAAACAAAAAAAAACTTACATGGTTTCTGTTTTTTTTTTCTCTTTCTCTTTCTATTTTTTTACATTTCAATTGAATTAAATTATTGAGTTAGTTGAACAACAACAAATGACAAGAATGAATGGAAAAGAAAAAAAGTTTTTTTTTTGTTGTCATTTTGTGACTTTATAATACGCCCGCGTTGCAATTTGCTATTTTAGAAAAGTTTATTTTCTCCTATAGAAAGATATAGAAAAAAAACGATTCACTTTTTACCGGTTTGAAAATGAAAAAAAAATTCTGTTTTTTTTTGTTGGACAAATATATCGACATTCGATTCGATTCGATACAATACACTGTCGCTATGATGATGGTAATTGAATTTAAACAGAATAATAAAGTAATAATGTCTATTTGTGTGTATCAAGGTAATTTTTTTCATTATTTTTATTCTTGTTTAATTCAATTTTCGTGAATCGTTTGCAATTTTTCGTTTTTTTCCTCTATCCTACAACCAGCATTCATTCGTGCATGCATTTATTTTGGCAGAGATTATTTAGAATCACTGTAGAATCACTATATAATACATGAAGAATACTTACAGAAAATTTTTTGGAAAAAAAAATTGAATCTATTGATCGTTTTTCGTTATTGTTGTTTGTTTGTTTGTTGTTGTTCTATAATCATCATCATCATCATTATGTTGTTACACAATACGATGGTGTATTGGTGGTGGGGTTGTTGTTGTTGTTGTTGGTTTTTTTTTCATCCTCGTCATTTACAGATTGTCACGAATATCATATTTGTTTTCGCAGAAAAAGCAGCAGCATAGATAGAAGAGAATGTTTGATGAATTTTTATTATTTTCTTCATGTTTTTCATCTTTATTCTCAAACAAATTGATAAATTTAAGAAGCAAAACTTTTTTTCCGGATATTTCATTATTGTTTTGTCGCCGTTGTTGATCATGTTTTGAGGTTTTTATTTGTCTTTTTTCTCAAACAGAAAAAAATTGCGATAAATTCACATTTTTCATTGGATGATGAAAATGATGATGATATCACGTTAATCGTTTCAAATAGGCCATCCATCCATCTATCCTTTTGGAGATTGATAGTTATATATCTCATTTCTCCCTCCCCCCTCCGGTATAATGTTCCAGATGAAATGAAAACAAAACAAAAAAAATTCCCGTTTCTATTTTTACTCGCACGGTTCGCTCATTCGTGTTTCGAATGTTTGATCGTTCGATCGAATCAAAAAAACTAGAGAAAGAGAAACATTAATGTTCACTTTATGTTGTGCGTTTGTTGACGACTTTGCCTTCATCATCATCTTCTTTTTTCACCAAACCAACCAACAAAAAAAACGACATAAATTCATTTAAATTCGAATTCGAACTCTGAAAAAAAACTTAACGACCTTAAAAGTCAAAAAACAAGATGATGATGATGACGATGACAACTATGGAATCAAAAAAAACAAGAAAAAAAAGATCACCAAAAAAGAAAGAGACAAGCCGCCAAAAAAAAAGTTGAAAATTCAAACATTTTTTTTTTAAAGAAAGAAAAAACTTCTGAAACACACACAAACACACATGGTAGACCTTTGGAAAAAAAAAAAGTGAAAAGAAAAATAATGTTTAAAACAGAAGTTGAACATCGATAAGAATTTTTTTTTTTCGTTTTTAATGTTACACCATTTCTACTACGCTTTTTCATGTCATCATCATCATCATCATCACAGTTGTTTCACAATTTATTCCATCATCATCATCATCATCATCATCAATATTGATGCCAAAGCAAGATTTTTTTTTATTTCGTTGCCAATTCACTGATCAAACATTGGCCAAAAAAACATTTATTTCATGCATCTTTGTGTGAATGTGAATGTCCAAATGTGTCGAATTATAAAAATGATACACGAACATTCATTCATTCATTTTTTTCTGAATCATCATATAAATCAACAAATCAGTTCAGTCTTTTTTTTTGGTTTTGTTTTGCATTCACAATTCATTCATAACATTGATGCAAGTCAGGCCCTGGCTTGATTGTCATCATCATCGCATTTCATTCAAGTCCTTGGTTATATGGAACTTTAAATGCCAATGTCATAATAATGATGATGATGATGATGATGATGATGGTCTTGATGATGGAACAAACAAACAAACAGAAAAAAGTAAATGTTCGATCCATATACACACACACACAGATACAGAATATCATTCTCTCTAAATCTCAATTCAACATATAAACGCAAGATGGGCAGGAAGAATAATAAAAAAAATGATACGATTCTTATGTAACAACAATATATTCATCATCACTGTGTATTTATGTCACAAGGGATAGACGAGGGTGGGTGGTTTTTTGAATATAGAAAAGAATATCATTTTTTGTTGTTGTTGTTCAAAACAATATTTTCTACATTGTATATGTGATGATATATAACGAATATATCATTTTCAAAAATCTTGTTGACAAATCCATTTTCTACATTTTCACATTACCGTTGTCGTCTTCGTTGTTGACGATGATGATAATGATGGCGACAATTCAGTGATTCATAAATTTATTGTCATCATCGTCATCGTCATCATCATAATCATCGTAGCCGTTTGAAATGACAATTTTTGTTGTTGTTGGAACAACAACAAAAAAACTATTAGGAATGTAATACTTTTTCTCTTGAAAATGGAAGATGATGATGATGGTAAAATGAAAAAAAAATTATTTATTCGTACGATTCATTTTCATCATTATCATTATCATTATGATTTCCATTTAAAATAAAGTTGTTTTTTTTTGTTGATTCCATCATCACTTCATCAATTGCGATCATCTTCTGTAGTATAACCAAGAGAGAGAGAGAGAGAGAGATGGTGATGATGAAAAGAGGTGATAATCGTCGTTTTTGTCATCGTCAATCATCAACAATGATTATGATGATAATGGAAATGAATTTAGCTTGATTGTAGGAAAAAAAGTAGAATATTATTTCGTAATAGAATGACGACCGTGATGATGATGATGATGATTTACATAAATTCTTATTCGCTCTCATAGTCAATTATTTTTATCATTTTTTTTCTTCCGTTATGATGAATTTCCATTTGAATTTTTCCAAGTCGTCCACCTTTGTGAATCGATTTTTTCTTCCTTTTTTCCGATCAGTCATTATCGAATAGTTTTTTTCGCTTAATATTCATATATATGGTTCCAGTTGAATTTTTTGATTTTATCGCTATCTCATTCTCGCCGGCAATGGTATGATACCCGTTATTCCATTATTGCATTCTATTATGGAAAAAATAGGTAAAATTATGGCTTTTATTTTCGTGCTTGAATATAAAAAAAAATATCAGTGACAACGGAAATACATCCGTCAACCAAGAAAAAAAGACGGATGTCTTTTGTGTTATCAAGAAAGAAAGAAAGAAAGAAAAACTTGATTGGAAATAAAAGCTTAGAAAATGAAAGAAACTTTTTTTCGGAGGTAAAGAAAAAATTTTCGAAAACTCACCTTAATGATTATTCTTCGTTTGTTCGTTCGGTTGACACACACACACACACACACATATTTATTCGAAATTGAAAAAGTAAATTTTTTCAGAGATTTTTCGTTATCAACAGCTTTCTATTAAAAATAATCTGTCATTGACAATCATCATTATCGTAAAAATTCAATTTTCATACCTTTCATATGTAGGTGTGTGTGTGTGATGATCACAAACACATTTGTACATTATCCAATTTGGACAGAATGTCCAAAAAAAAAAAAAAAAAAAATTTTTTTTTTTGTTTTTGATTTTCCAGTTCATTTTTCTTTTCTTGATGCTTTCTTTTCATTGATGTCATAAAAAACAGTGTTGAACTACATCACTGTCTTTCTTCTGTATTTCAGTTCCGTTGTGCTTAGGTTCCAAAATTTACACTTTTCCGCTATAATTATGGATGAGTGAACAATTTGAGACTTTGTTTTTCGTCTTCATATATTAGATGGATGGATTGAATTGTCGAATTGAAAATGAAATGAATTTTGTGTATTTTTTCCACCATTCTCTTCTTCAAATAATAGATTTGATTTCAATCAACAAAATTAACCAAGTTTATATGGCCACAACATTGTTGGCTCACTACTACTATTATCATCATCATCATCATCATCACCACCACAATCAATGATGGAGAATTATTTTTTCATTCGGATGACTTTCTCTCTAGTTAGTTGTGTGAACAACAACGGCCACAAGCAAGAATATAATTATATCAAATTAAAAGACCAGTGTGTGTGGACAATGGTAATAATAATGGAAAGAACAATGTCACACTATCAGTTTTTTTCATTTTTTTTTTTCTTGTTGATTGAATTTGTTAATTTAATAAATAATTTTTTCCTTTCGTCGTAGGATCTTCCAGAAGAAACCAAAAGTTTCATCATCATCACCGTAGATTATTATGGCCAATTATAGATTTTTGTGTGTAGGCAATTTTGTCACAATTTGCGGATTGATAAAGAGAAAGAGAGAGAAAAAAAATGATGTTTATTATCATTCATCAGTGGAGAGAAAAAAAAACAAAATTCTGGACACGTACCTTATGGGTCATTCGACTAAATGATTATCATCAATGGATTTTTGTTCTATGAAATTCTTGTCTTTTTTTTCATTACTGTTAGATTTTTCCAGTACAATTGGAATTCATTCAAACAAATTTTTGTAAGTAAAATTTAGGTTTTTTGTTCTTTTTGACCTGAATTAATTGATGATCCAGGTTTAATTTGATGATGGTGTTGATGGAAAACTTTTTCAGTTTGTTTTTTGTCACTTTCATAGAATTGTTACAAATTTGTTTTTCATGATTCGTTGTTGTTGTTGTCGTTATTGTTGCTGTTGCTGTCGTAATTAATTAATTTAATCAACCAACTTATGATTGGTTGGTTTTCTGTTGGATCATCATTATTAGTTGACTAAAAACTTTTTGTTGTTGTTGTTACAAGTAATTTTAATTTCAAATTATCACCAGAAAAAAAGGATAATATATTCTTCTTCTGGATACAAATCGTATAGCAGCAGCAGCAGCAGAAATGGGGAAATCGGATTGAATTTAACTTATGAGAATCGAAATTTCATTCATTCACTTACAAAGTTTTCCGGTAACAGGATCCTTGATGGATTGATGGGAATGGGAAAAAAACTTTTCATCCGTTTTTTGTTTTTCTTTCTGATTCGGGAAAAGAATTTTTCATTTATCTTTTTTTGTTGTTGTTGTCTCTCCGTTTGATGATGATTATTATTTTTTTCTGTGACAATATTTTATCCATTTGAAACCCGAACGAACAAAATGAAAAAAAATGAAATGAAACTCTTTGCTAAGTGTATAGATGGTTGTTTAGTAGTGATGATTTTTTTAAAGATGAAATAACAGCCAGAAAAAAAATGATGACACTGATGATGATGACGATGACGATTATCGAAGAAAATCTATTAATTTTCAATCATCACGAATCATATAACAACGATGATGACGATCACATTGCGAATTTCTGATAAAGAAAACGAAAAAAAAACAGAAGATCAGTTTGATGATAAACAAACAAATGTTGTGTTTGAAAATTCGTCTACGGGTTTTTTTTTCTTTCTTTTTTCTGGTTTGTGAATCCAACTATTACAATAAGAAAAACGATTCTTTTCTCATCGTAAAATGCTGGATGATGAAAAAAAAAATTGGAAAAAGAATCATTAATTTCATTTTCAGCTTTTCTTTGCTTAGAGAATTTCGTTTTCGTTTCTTCTTTTTCATTTTTTTTCTTATCAACGAATAGCCACCATTGATAGATAAAATCAGATGTTTGTGTGTATTGTAAACGATTCGGGCCAATAGAGACACAACAAAAACATTGACTATGGTACAAACACAGATAAATAGATAGTTATTGACACTGAAAATGGCCATAGATCCATAAACAGATCTTGTTTAATTCATTCACGATTTACTTGTGATTTATTATATTTTTCATTTCACGGCAATGGAAAAATGATGTTTAAGGACGATAAATATACGAACAAGCAAATATTGAATCCGAAAATGATTCTTTTTTGTCTTTTTGTCTCGATTAGGGTCAAGTTAGCCGGTCGCAATGATTTTTTTCTCTCGCTTTTACATGTTTTTGATGTAACCAAAAACAAAACGATCGTTGTATCGACCACTATATCTTGCTGGCAATTGAGAAAGATTTTTTGCACATTAGAGCTTCTGAAGATGTTGTTTTTTTGTCATCAAAGTTTTTCTTTTTTATTATTACGGTTCAAGCAATAGTTTAGTCAAGCAGCAAAAAGAAAACAAAAAAATTTTCAGTGTCCGAAAAAAAAATCGAAAAACATTGATGTAAATCAAATATGCTGCCCTCTATGGACGGCTTTATTAAACAAGCCGGCTCAGCTTCGCCGCATTAAATGCAAAGTTTATACACAGTGCAAGCACTTGGCGAGTGTAAAAGTTGCAGTTACTCACAAACAAGCCTCATAATAGAAGTGATTTCAATTTTGTATTTATTTATGATATGGTGATGATGATGATGAGAAAAAAATGCAATTTTGTTAAAAATTGAAATAACAAAATCCCACTAATAAGGCCGTTATTCTAGAATAAACGGATGATGATGAAATTGGGTTATTTTTAAATTTAAATAACCAAAAACCAATGTTGTCATGGTAATCCAAATTCCATTTGGAACGTAGGTTCGAATCGAATATCAATTCTCGTAACCTTCGATTTCGTAGGAAAATTGGATTTACCAAAATGACCATTAGGTTCCTCCATTGGGCATTAATGGGTTAATATCAAATGCCAAAGGGCATTAACATTCATACCACCCCAAAAAGATGGGAAAATTTTAAAATGTCAGTGGAGAAAGTGTCATGAAAAATTTAAAAAAATGTGTAAATATATTCATCACGAATATTTTAAACACCAAAAAAAAAAATTGAAATGTGCCAGTTGTGGAAGAAAATTCACATCAAAATCAGGTTTATACAAACATAAAAAAAACCATGAAAAAAATTAGAGCTTCTGAAGATGTTGTTTTCGATTTTTTTTTGTCATCAAAGTTTTTCTTTTTTATTATTACGGTTCAATAAATATAGTCAAGCAGCAAAAAGAAAACAAAAAAATTTTCAGTGTCCGAAAAAAAAATCGAAAAACATTGATGTAAATCAAATATGGCGAGTGTAAAAGTTGCAGTTACTCACAAACAAGCCTCATAATAGAAGTGATTTCAATTTTGTATTTATTTATGATATGGTGATGATGATGATAAAAAAAATGCAATTTTGTTAAAAATTGAAATAACAAAATCCCACTAATAAGGCCGTTATTCTAGAATAAACGGATGATGATGAAATTGGGTTATTTTTAAATTTAAATAACCAAAAACCAATGTTGTCATGGTAATCCAAATTCCATTTGGAACGTAGGTTCGAATCGAATATCAATTCTCGTAACTTTCGATTTCGTAGGAAAATTGGATTTACCAAAATGACCATTAGGTTCCTCCATTGGGCATTAATGGGTTAATATCAAATGCCAAAGGGCACATAACATTCATACCACCCCAAAAAGATGGGAAAATTTTAAAATGTCAGTGGAGAAAGTGTTCAGAAAGAAAATTCAAAATATGTGTGGATATATCCATTTGAATATTTCAAGCATCAAAAGTGATTGGTAACATTGATTTGGAGAACAAATTTCTCGGAAGCAAGCAAATTGATAAAACGTGACCTTGTTTTGGTAGCCAGTTCATATCATTTTAAAATATTTATTAAACACATAAAATGAATAATACTACTTTATTAAATGATTTTCATATATTGTTGTTAATGTAATGATTACAAAACAATGAGCTTCTGAAGATGTTGTTTTCGATTTTTTGTCATGGGATAAAAGTTTTCTTTTTATTATTACGGTTCAAGCAATAGTTTAGTCAAGCAGCAAAAACAAAACAAAAAAATTTTCAGTGTCCGAATAAAAAAATCAAAAAACATTGATGTAAATCAAATATGCTGCCCTCTATCGACGGTTTTATTAAACAAACTAGAAAATTATAGCACTATCTATGGTACGCTTCCTTTTTGTGTGTTGCTCATTGTTCTCCAAAAGAACTTTTTGTTTTTTTCCAAATTTTGTTTCAACACAATTCAACGAGAATTCAATCAATCAACTCGATGATAAAATGTCGAATATTTGTTTGTCAACACTTTTTCTTATTATTGTATTGCAGATGAATTCGATTTCATCATTGGATATAATGGCAAATCAAACGTTTACGTCTCCATCATCATTATATTTTGAAAATTCTACCAAATTCGAAATTGTTTCATCATCGAAATCTCATGAATCAAATTATTATCTACTGCATTCGATGGAAAAAAATTCGTTACCAATTTTCATTTCAATACTTGGAATAATATTCTTTTCGTTGGCAATATTGTTTTATATCAACTATTATCGTAAATATAATCGAAAATCGTCGAATGTCAATCAACAAAGAGATGAGATGTTTGTAAGCATCATTGACTATGATTGCAATTCGTTACAAAATTTACAATGATGACAATTCATGTTTATACTATAATCATTACAATTTCATTTCATTTTTTGTAAATTTGTATATTGCTGGCCATAACTTTTTCATTATTATCGATCGATGATCGTATATTTTTTGAATAAAATGATTGTTTGCAATTTTTATTTTTACATAAGAAAAATAGAAATATAGTAACGTTCGTTCAATGGTTGAGAAGAAAAACTTTGTTGGTCAACTAATTTATAAGGTTAAATGCTGCATACTCCTCAAGACGGAAGTGGCCCGGTTTCTGAGTATGTCCAAATCGGTGTTTTCAGCCAATGATTTTTTTATGTGGTTGCGATGGATCCCACTTCAATTCCTGTCCTCGATTTTGATGTTTGGATAATTCGTCATTATCATCGAATTGTCCTCGTCGTGGTCGTGGTGGTGTTTGTGGTTCTTGTCCTCGTTGTGGTGGTGATAATGGTTCTTGTCCTCGTCGTGGTGGTGTTTATGGTTCTTGTCCTCGTCGTGGTGGTGCTTGCGGTTCTTGTCCTCGTCGTGGTGGTGGTGATGGTGGTTGGGGTGGCTTATTTTTTTCATGGTTTTTTTTATGTTTGTATAAACCTGATTTTGATGTGAATTTTCTTCCACAACTGGCACATTTCAATTTTTTTTTTGGTGTTTAATAATAATAATAATAATAATAATAATAATATTTTATTTTAAATTGTCCCCTAGAACTAGTCGGGAACAACTAGGGGAGAATGAATTTGCACAAAAGAAGAAAGAAAAAAAAACAAATGAATCAAGAAAAGCTTAAAAAAAACAGAAAAAAAAAAAAAAAATATACAAAGTACAAATGAAAAGAAAAGGACAAAGGAGTAAAACTAAGAATAAAAATAAAAATTTCAAAGCGCAGGAGGTATAATAATGTTTCAAAGTCTTTTGTAGATTGTTTCCATTAAGTCTAGCCAGTGATGTAATTCTTTTGGTGTTATGCTGAGGGATGTTAGTTCCTTA